AAAAATGGTCAAATATTCTGATGTCAACGGCTGACGTAATTCGATGAATGCATGATGACAAGGGCGGCCATCGTTTTTGTCATCATATCGTGACAATGTATGGCTTATTACTCCTAAGTCATTGACGATGGACTGATAGTACACCTACAGCGGAAATTGTGTCCACTACTATTGCAAACAAATTTTCTAGCTGCGTAATAAAGCGAATAAAAGGGATTGCAACAATTGATAAAATTTAAAGCTGGTATAGAAGTCCAGGCCGTCGTATACCAAGGAAGAGATGTGTTCATCAATTATAAATTGCCTAAGGGCAAATAAAATTAACAGATAGCCAAACAACCAAATTATCATGGTCAGCATAATACTGATTGCCTGTTGATACATTCAAATGCTTTTTGACAGCCGCATGCGCTCTAGATACGCGACGTTTACACTTTCCAGCTGATAAGCTATATTGGGCGAAACGGGATGAAAGCACGTTAATTATCAACAGTGAACAAGTAATTGGATTTAAAGGCCTTTCTATGACCAAAAAATTCGATTTAGTCATCGAGGTGCCTTAAAATACAACTACTTGTTCAATGTATCAGGTGGATACTTATTTATGAAAAGTGAAAGCTCGTTATGTACTTCCTCAGAAAAATAATTTTTAAAGTATAAAACAGTGGAGTTTTTCTGAATTAATATCGTTGGGACGCCGATTTGCTACCGATTTATATTGTTTATTGTTGTAGACATGTATAAAACTGTTGTTTGGATTGCCTACACTGATCCCGCGCCGCACAACAGGTTCTTCCATCCCACGTTCTACACCTAAACGAACCGCGAGCCGTTCCCAAAGCCACTAAAAGGGGAAAAACACATCACTACGACGGATGACATGCACATTGCTCTAATCTAAATCACACAGCAAATTCAGAGCTGACCCAGATCCAAAACCTTACCTAAATTTAGGAAACGCACAACGTCAAAGTGATCCAGGCTGACGCATCCAACCCACTGAATCAGAATTTAAATATATCAAGCTCAACAGTGATGCAAACGCAAACCGTAAGCAATATCGGCAGTCATTTATCTTTAATAAAAGCTGCACTCGCTAATTGGCTCAAATGTCATCAGGAGCAAGCAAATGAGAGCGGTGAACTTGCGTACGAGGCTGCCGTGAAGATTCTCTACCTTCCTTACGCATACCACGGTATTTTTAGTTCTACAATCGCTGGTTGGAATAATTTACAAACCGGCATGGCGTTCGTTCCTACCATTGATTTGTCAGGATTGGTAGTTTGAACGCGGATATCGTCGTCGACAACCCGTTACGCCTGGTATAGATTACTTGACCAGTTTGAGTGGACGGATATCTAGAACATATATCAGACCGCCCTCCTCGGTCCCTTTGTCTCTTCTGAATGCAGTTGATTGTTGCAGGCAATGATTGTTTGTTAACACTCGCTATGTCATTAATTGTACTGAACGAGCAACTCTGTTGCGACCTGGCAACTGAAAGGACGTATATAAATTAAGGATCACATGGACGTTGGTTTTGCTGAAATGGAGAGGGCAGCCACAAGATGTGTCCACAAATTATTGGGAATTGCGTCAATCCCAGAATTTTATAAAAAGGATTTTGTGCGGGAAATGATCTGAAATTATCAAAACAACGCTTAGGTGTGGATGGCGCACAAACCTTCTTCAAATGGCTGAAAGACCTCGATGGTAGCATGAAAAATCGTGCGTGCTGCTGATTCTTGAGAACTGAAGCGCTCATTTCCCTGTCGTCGATCTTCCTGCCAGGATATCTCTTCGAAACACCACATTTTTGTACCTCCCTCCCTATACCACATCAAAAAATTAAACCGTGCGATGACAGTGTGATTCGATGCTTCAATGTACACCACCGACGCAGCTTTAACCGTCGCCTTTTGCAGCGCCTGAAACAAGTTCAATTAAACCTAAAAAAAATGGCGTCAATAGGCCATTTAGATGGTAGTGCTAGTTTGTACTACTATCGTTAAAATGAAATATATCCATATCGAACTCCACCACAGCAAGATATGAAAAAGTTTAGCTGGCAATCTATCAGTTTAGAAGAAATGGATCATGGTTTACGCCATTTTGAAAAAAGTGAAGTCCTAGATTCGCCTGTATCTTAAAAAGATAATATGGACATCCACAACCTTCCCAATTACCCCTCAGAGCAAGTGGTGTTTTCCAGCCCATTCATTAATAATATGGTCGAGAGCGAACAAATGTAATCCAGCAACACTACCACAGAGTGATCTGACGACGGAGGTTGAGAGAGCCAAGATCATCCCAAGATCAACCCGCCAGTGCACAAACAGTAATTGAAAGACTTACAACCTTCTAGTGTAATGGCATATAGACTACCAGGAATTCATTTGTACATGATGAGGTACGAGATTAGAAAGATATTTATCACAGATGCGTTATAGCATGGGCATTTGCATAACAACTTGCAGCTCAAGTGATTGGATGTGGCAGCGTTATGCGAGAGGTCACTGGTTCGATATCCAGTGACTGCAACAAAAAATCATATCCTTCGGGTACTGGTGTGCCGGGGTTCACGAGTACTGTCCTGCCAGAAAGTGACGTCCCCCATGTTAGTAATTTTGTCTTTTCATAGAAACACACTATCTGAGTCAGAAACGTATGACGAGAAGATCAGTAATGCACGACTAGACGATTACTAACGTAGAGTCAGAAAGAATGCGGTAGGCTTGGAGTAGCGACTGAAGGTTGTGGACTAAGGACCAAACTATATTCACTGTGCATTTTGTCAAACTTCGATCACTTTCTTTTCTTTATGAGCCCAATTCTGTCATGTTCTGCCCAAGACCTCGATTACGCCTTCGCCATAGACTCTTCTTCGTTCACCGCCGCTCACATCAACAGGTTTTAAAGAAAAACTTCCATGTGTGGAAGTTTGAGATGCAAATGATGCTGGAGGGGCCAGACCTGTGGGACGTCGCGAGCGGCGAGGTTAAGCTTGAGCACTGCACAATTACTTTAGACATTGTACAATTTAAGCGAAATTCGCTGAAGGCAATAGCGATAATCTTTCTTGCGATGGAGGATTCATAGTTGCCACAGGTTTGCCCAATTAATGACACGTTTGATGCATAGTCACGTCTGAAAGAACACTACAAGCAGAAGAGCTTGGCTAGTAAGCTCTCCTTTCGTCGCCGGTTCTTTCTGACAATGGTAAAAGAAGGTGATGACGTGCTGGAGCACTCAAGACTCTGGCGGAGAAACTGGACGCAGTCGGTGCTCCAGTCAGTAAGGAAGATTTATTCATCACGCTTCTGGTTAGCCTTAGCGATTCGCGCCGGTTCCTGTTAATAACATTGGAGTCAAGAGCTGACTCGCAGTCGTGGGCATTATTGGCGTCTCGCATGCAGACATGAAGCGAAAGGAGCAAGGTGAAGGAATCGAAGGAGCTGCGCACGGTCAATATCAAGCATTTGTGTCAAGATTCAACCAGCGCAAGGCTCGACCGGCTTAGAAGGTCGGCATGTGCAACAATAGTGGCAGGCAAGGAAATTAGATTACGGAATGACCCTCACGCATCCAGGAAGACGATGAATGACACAGGTTCCAGCGTGCAAAGATCTCGCAAGAACCGGATCTTGGCGAATACCTTTTCTTGGTTGGTGGTGGTAAGACCTAGTCGAGTTGCATGTGGCTGTTCGACTCAGGGACGACGCATCACATGAAAATTCTAGAGTTTATGAGGAACTTCAAGAACTTTGGACCGGTAGATGTGAATCTTGCTGATGGTGGTGTTGTACAGGCGATTGGAATAGTGACATCGTCATGTAAATGATGACTCAGCAAGGGCTCAAGAAGGGTGTGCTCTTTAATGTGTGGCACATCCCAAATTTATCTTTAAACAATTTTTCCGTCGAAAGTTTTCCAAGGACGTTGGATCCGTCACCTTTATAGTAGATGGTTGCTTTGCGAAAATGAAGGGGTCAAGTGGAAACTTGGCGCTCTCGAAGTAAAGAAATTTCTCAAGCTTTGTATGACATCAATGCTTAGTGACGGGATCAATGTAGCTACAACAGTAAACTTAAAAGTAGACAACACTTCCTTCCTTTCGCATCTTAGAGTTGGCCGCATCGGTCATGACGGTCTAGATTACAATGTCAATAAAGATTGCGGCAGCGGAATCGGGATAAAGTCGGTGCAGAAGTGGGAATTTTGTGAAGGATGCGCACTTGGCAAGCAAACACGTGTGAGCTGTATGCTCACGTCACCCGACTGATTAACTACGTTGCTGGATGTCATTCACAGCAATGTGTGTGGGCCCGAAAGAATTACTACCTGCATTAAAACGGTACTTCGTGACTTTTATTGACGAATAATCGCACTACTGTGTAGTATGTCTGCTTCAAAACAAGCCTAACGTAGCGGCCAAGTTCGCTCAAGTCGTCGCGTGGGCGGAAACCCGAACTGGCAAGCGTGTGAATGCTCTTCGAAGCGATAATGGTGTCAAGTACACTTCCAGTACGATGTCCAAGTTCTATGCAGACCATAGTATCATGCAGAGATTCACTCCGTCTTACAATTCTCAATTTATCGGTGTCGTCGTGCGGATAGATCGGACATTAGTGAAAGGCGCTCTTTGCATGATGGAACATGCCGAGTTAGCCAAGTCGTTATGGGGTGGGACGATCATGACTGCGAACTTCCTACGTCTTCGTTGTCTAACTCTTTTAACAAATCACGACAAGTCACCCTAGTAAGTATGGAGTGGTAAGACACCTACATTTATAACCCTAAAGGCGTTTGGATGTCATGATACGTACATGTGCCCGAGCCAAAACGGTCCAAGCTCGATGCAATATCGATTAAGTGTCTGTTCATTGGATAATTAGACCATATAAAAGCGTACCGGGTCGAGGAGACCAAGAGTCGTCGTATACTAATCAGTCGCGACGCGCAGTTAAAGGGCAACGTTTTCTACAGTGGGTGACGAGACTATGCGCAATATGAAGCCGCCGTCCGAAACTAAGCTTACATGGAAGGGAAGGATGTTTTATATGAAGGAATGCTACTTTCATGACACTAACTACATGAAATTTGAAGAGGCTACAATGGGTGGCGTTGATGAGCCGGGCGGTAAAGGAAACCACCGCACACAGTCGCTGGAGTCCTCGGCCAAAGCTCTTGAGCCAAAACGTCGAGCTCGATACCTTACCATGGCCGAGATGTCTGTGACGACTGATACCAGTCACTCTGTTGCCTACGTCGCCAATTTAGTGGGAGATTTACCTAGGACATTTAAGCCAGCAATGGGATCCAGCGACGCATTCGAGTGGAAAGAGTCTTGTGACTCCGAAATAAATTCCCTTTGTCACAATGCGACCTGGAATCTCGTGCCTCTTTCACAGGGACGCAAGGCAATTGGTAATCAATGAGTTTTTTCGGGTAAAGGAGACCAAGGATGGAAGAATCGAGCGGTCCAAAGAGCGTTTGGTAGCCAACAGCTTCTAGCAGAAACATGGCTATAACTATGATTAGACCTTCGCTCCTGTGGCCTTGTGTGTATCCTTCAAAATTTTATTTAGCTTGGATGCAAAGTACTCTCTCGTATTTCACCAGATGGATGTCAAAACAGCATACTGAATGTACACCTTAAGGAAGAAATTCACATGGCGCAGCCTGATGAACACGTCGATAAAGATCATCCAGATTTTGTTTTCCAACTAAAGCGCTCTCTATATGGACTGTAACAGTCCTAACGGATGTGGAGCCAGGCCATTAACAAGTTAATGCTGGAGTTGAAGCTCAGAAATGCAAGACCGACCATTGCATTTGTGTCAAGAGAGATCACGATGACGTGATTTTTGCAGCGCTGTATGTTGACAATTTGGTCCTCGCAAGCAGCAAAGATCGCTCAGCTGGCAAGGTATCGATTTTCAGTCCGAATTTGCGAAGGACATTCTTAAAAAATCGGCACGGTATACGGCAATCCTGTCAGAACTCCACAAGAACCAGGACTTAAGTTGAAAAAGTCAATGTGCGTGGGTGCGTGCAGGCATGACAAAACAATAGCAAATGTGCCATTTCGCAATGCAGTCGAATGCTTGATGTACCTTATGGTAAGTATACGCCCAGACCTTGCAGCTGCAGTGGGAGTGCTTAGTCAGTTCTTGGCAGACCCTTGTCCGACCCATTGGCAAGCTCTTAAGCGAGTTTTCCGTTACATCCAAGGCACGAGAGCATATGGAATTGAGTATCAAGCAACAAGCAATGGCAAACTGCACGGCTGCTTGGATGCAGACTGGGCCGGAGACGTGGAAGCTCGACGAAGCACAAGCGGGTACACATTCATATTGAACAACGATTGTGTAAGCTGGAGAATTAGGAAAAAGAGCACTGTGGCTTTATCGTCCACGGAAGCAGAGTACATGGCTTTGAAAGAAGCTGCACAAGAAGCAATTATGCTGAAGGCACTCTTATGTGAGCTTGGCGAAATGAGGAGCGAAGAAGCAGTCAAGATTTACGAAGAGAATCAAGGAACCATCGCTTTGGCCAAGAAATAAGAATTTTACAAACGCACAAAAGGCACTGACTATCTATGACTTTGTGCGCTAAAATGTGGCTGAAGTAACATCGGTATTGGAATACTGCTCGACCAAGAATGAGAAGACCGACCTGATGACCAAGCCTATTCCTGCAGTCCAGTTTTAATATCCACGGAACATGCTGGGTTTTAAGGTGCTAAATTCTGCCGAGGCGAGTAAGAGCTTTGTCACAGGTGCACCTGAGCATGGACATTCGCACAACAACTTGCAGCTCAAGTGATTGGATGTGGAAGCATTACGTGAGAGATCACTGGTTCTATATCCAGTGACTGCAACAAAAAATCATATCCTTCGGGTACTGGTGTGCCGGGGTTCACGAGTACTGTCCTGCCAGAAAGTGACGTCCCCCATGTTAGTAATTTTGTCTTTTCATAGAAACACACTATCTGAGTCAGAAACGTATGACGAGAAGATCAGTAATGCACGACGAGACGATTTCTAACGTAGAGTCAAAAAGAATGCGGTAGGCTTGGAGTAGCGACTGAAGGTTGTGGACTAAGGACCAAACTATATTCACTGTGCATTTTGCCGAACTTTGATCACTTCCTTTTCGATTGTTGTCGGTCAGACGTTCCTGCAGGATTTTAGCCACTTCTTTAAACGTGATGAGACACCTTATGGCTTCTTGTAACATTTGTTTAGAAAAAGCGATTTCAAATTCAATTATGCTATCTCTGTGAAAAGATTTCGGATAACTTTCTTGCTATCAACTTTAAAGAAAAAGAGTACGATGGTGAGACGGTGAGCGTTCAATGGGATCTTTTTGACGAGTTCGACTTCTACACAAAAAAAACTTCATTATCCTGTTCTTAAAAAAATTATCATTCTCTTGCAAAGCTTTTTATTCCGTGACAATGTTGGTCTTCAGTATTCTCTTTATAGACCAAGTATTGCGTGTCTCCCCGCTTACGTGGGCTGAACTTGTGCTTGACCAAGAACAAGTTGGCCACACCATGCAGAGCGCACCCACGATGATGAACGCAATGCTAAGGAACAGATTTCGGCCACAGAACCGTGATGTGGTAGATATCACGATTGACTTCTTGGCTTCTCGAAGGAGGTAACCGCAAACTCTGACGACACTGTACATAAGCTTCAAAGTTAGCGCCTACTCTCCACATTCCCAAATATGCATATATGACACGCAAAACTGACTGCTAGAAACGAGAAGCTTAAGCTTCGTGCCCTCCGCCAAATATGTATCAATATGGCTGTAAAGTTTAAGAAAACTTGGCAGTCCGGCCGTACGCATACATACAATAGAGTGCTAGTCCTGGACCTTGTAAGCAGATGTGCTCATTGTCCATGCCGTCTTGTTGGCAATAGGTTACTGAACTCGTACAAATGATGTTGTAGCGGTAGCGGCGTGGAAAGGTGCTGCCAAAGCAACATCGTGTTGTCCGGACCCGCATGCTCGCTCAAGTTTTTATTCTGAGAGTTGGTTTCAGCATCCGGTTTCTAAGCGATGCCTTTTTATTTCACAAAATCCACAAGTGTCGTAGATGTTGCATCAATTTTTTGAAACAGGCAAAATCGATAAAATACTGAGTAGTCAGAACTGCTTTATTAGTTAACAGCTAGATATTGGAAGACTATCAGAATAAAAAACGTCCGGGTCGGGGCCGAGCCATCCGATCAAATAATGGAGGTTATGATTAACGGAGGCTAAATTTAGGCAGGTTCTACTGAATGACGCCAGTATAATCATATAACTAATAACGTTCGCTTGCTCGTAAGATGTTCTTACCGAGGCTACATGTTAGCAGAGGGGGACTGCAGCAAATTAATAAACCTTCTCCTCACTTAGGACCGCTGTTTTGTTACGTGTTGCCACCTTCTTCTTTCTGTACATCCATCTTGACGACTCAGATCGTGAAATGAAAGAGCAAATTCCATTACCAGTACTACATTTATGCAAAAGTTTCACAACCAGAACTATTCTCAAATGCAGTACCACCTACAAAAACAAAAGCGTTTAGCCACTCTACGCGCATACTCAACAAGTAGATAAGACACTGCGTAACCATTAAAGAGTCTCTCCATTAAATATGCGACAACGGCCAGGATGATATGGTTGCGCACACTCCATTTTGACCAACAGTAGGCTCACTTGTCATTTGGCGCCCACGCGTGTTATCTGCCTTTCCCCTCGTCAGTTCGATCGCTGCATGCGTACCCGGTTACACAAACTGGACTCGCTCGAGAACACGGGTACTCCGTTGTGATCGGTCGGTTATGTAGAGTCACCAGCAGTCCTTTATTGATATAAATTCGTGTTAATCGTCGCTTTCCAAACAAATGCGTTCGTCCGTGTACAGTTGCGAGATATACAAATGGAAGACAAAAAGACGAAGACCTTTCCAAGTTATGCGCTCAGAACAATCCATAACATCATGTAAGTTGGAATCAGCCAGATGAGCTAATCAAGTCAACCCGAAGATGATGGCAGGGGTACGTCATGATGGTTCACTAGGACTGATGAGGTGGACTCGTCATGTTGTCAGTACATCGATTCCGGACACGGCTAGCAATCTACCGATTGGCGCTGCGCGTGCTGACACGTCGTGTATCGTCCTCGTCATTTGTCCGTTGCTTGCGGAACTTGTGCACTCTATTAATCGAGATGCGTCCTCTCCGCACTAAGAAATGGTAAACCAAATGTGAGGCTGGGCGACCAGATCTGTCGATTCCTCGTAACCATTTGGATAGCTAGAAGTGTGGCTTTGACGCAATAATTGCTGCCGTTTGTACAGTCGTAAGTGTAGACTTGATGTAGCCCAATTTGCACGTCTAGTACAAACTTTCGGGCGCATTGTAGCCGGGAGGCGCGCAGTAACAATCGACACGCGGTTGGCACTCGGCCAATTGGCTTCACGCCGACGTTTCTGTCCGTGTTCTTGTCGTTAGTGCTCGAAGAACACGCAGATTAATTTCGGAAAACTTGGCGCGGACTGGTGTCCCGTTACCAACTCAATTGGACAACAGCAGTACTTTGTCGGCAATTTTTATAGCCTTCTTGATGATTTATTTCATTTCAGTCATTTCTTACCTTGGTGCTTCGAGCCTCATACAGACCTGCCATGTAGCATCAAATCATTGTGTACCACACTAATTCTGGTCGATTTAGTATTCTTTTTGGAGCTGTTATACTCACCTCCAATTTCGGTCGATCTAGCATTCATTCTGGAACTGGCACCCTCACCCCTCTTAATAAGGGATCTTTATTAGAGACACCCTCATATAAGGTTACAGTGTCGCCGAACATCTCAACTTGTATAGGAATTTGCACACCGTTCTCTTTACAAGCGAGTAAGATTGTCAGACACGATAACACTCGCCCATTTGAGTGAAACCTTCTATATGTGACTCATTACCCCTACTTCTGCTGCTTGAAAGAAACACGTGACATTTGATATAACTGTTTTTCCAGCCGAAGATTTGCCAGCACCTTTAGCCCATTCAGCAACGTCATATGGCCTCGGACGTGACCTAAAGGAAAGACGTAAGGCATGTCATAATAGACTGCGGTCTTTATCCAACTAACGTGAATTCCACCATCCGGCCGCTCGATGCAGGTACGCAGATATATCATGATTTAAATATGCGCACCTACAAATGTGGTAATAAACATCATCCGATTGTTAAACGCTTGCTACAAGAAACTTCATACGCGATAACAATCGATCTGAATGGAGCAAATATGTAACGCAAACTCAATGTCCTAGAAGCCGTTGGGTTTGCAGCTGGGAGATGGAACATTCTTGTTGGGTCGGTAATTCGAAGTTGCTGGATCAAGAGTGAGACCATCGAAGCGCCACATATTTCTGCGCCACAAAATGATCATCAAAAGTCCAGCGTCCATTTCCAACAGAACTGCCGCGATCTGGCTGATATGATCAAAACTGTATGAGTAAGCGTTAGCGTGTAGAATTATGCCGAGATCCTGGACTACGAGAGCATTCACGAAGAACAAGATGCGCTGATTGAAGCAAAAGCGGAGCCCGTGGAGGTCAAAAGTGAAGAAGATCGAGCACCTGTCAGTGCAAAAGAAGTGCCTACGTGCTGCCTGCTTTTGCATTCGTACTTCGTACGCTCATATAGAGACGCGCGTGTCGTTCAGTCAGGTCTGGATAAGACGTCGTTAGTTATTCGCAAGAACTGGCACGCTAGAGTGAAACAGCTCGACATGAGAGACTTCCTACAGTGAACAAACGTTACACATCATTACATATGGAACGTGTTCTGTAGCGTTACTTGAATGCCCCGACATTTAATTGTTCAGTCGTTGTAAGATCATGCAACTAGTTTCTATCATGTCCTCAACAAGAAACTTCTTATAAGACACGCTGTAAGAAATCGGGCACGAACTTGTCTCTGAGATAGAGGGGTGAGTGTACTGGTAAATTGAGACTTTTGCATGAATACAGCAGTCGTAATGAGATTCGCTTGAAACAAAACCCACTCAGCTACAAAATGCTGCACCTTGCTCGCTGTCAAAACAAATCGTGGATCACGCGATAGTCGTGGCTGAGTCGGCTGTGATGGGGTTGGAAGTAGCGGAAGAATTCGACAGCGCTCTTTTGGTCACGTTTTTTCAGTGAGGAATGCAGCATTGACTTAAAAGATGCGCTTAGAAAACCACGTGCGAATCTTCAAACACTTCCGCCACCACTAATGATAGCAGCAATTCCAGTACCGGTGGCTGGCACATGACCTCAGCCACTTCGGTGCAAGCTCGTGTCCAAGGCGACACTCCCGTGTGGGACGAAGACGCCAAGATGTGGCTATCCAAGCTCGGCACGACGGAACTCGCGTACATGAACTACTTGGACTCTGTGAACACGGCGTCAGTCGAAGGCGCTCTGATGTTCGTGCAGGCTGAAGGCATCAACGTGAACGACCAGTCGGTTCTGGGCGACCTGAACATTGACGACCTGGTTGGTATCACCAAGATGGGCTACAGCAGTTACGAGGAGTTCTGCGAGGACGGCGGTGTGGAATTCAAGGCTTCAAACACTGGGAGCGGCTTTGAGGTGGAGGAGTCGATCGAGTTTTTGGGAGAAGCCTGGAGATAAAGACGCCAATGCGAAGCGAGCGAAGAAGATGGTGAAAATGTACAACAAGCTGGCACGGAACGACTCGAGCTCGAAGATGTCGCCTCTGCCATCTGTTGAGACACTTACAGCAGCGAATCCCGGGTATTACCTGAATAGGGCTAAGTATGGCAGGTGCTGAGAATGGCTGCAGTCGGTCGCTGTACTCACAGATTTGCTCCGCATGTACGTCGTCAGACAGTTGTGATGCTACTTCCTCGGCGTTCCCAGATTTGGAGCTGCCTACAAACTCGTCGTCATTCTCGCTGTCTTCTACATCGGGCGGAAGCTTCGCGAGTAGCTTGACGGATGCTGGCTCTACAGGTGGTAGCACTAATTCTGTAATAACAACTACGAACGATGCCTCATCGCCCTCACGTGACAGCGACAAGACCAATCGTGGTGCTATGACAGTGACAGCAACGTCGGGTATTGTGGCGATTGTGGCTCTTGTCGCCAGTAGCTTGTCGTAAGATTACGATGCTTTACCAGACGTCTCGGTCCAGACCAGTCTTAGCGCTCTTGCTGCTTAGATGAAGAGTCGAAGATATCGAATTTGTGGCTGCGTATCAGTGTCATGTACAGCTGAGGGTATGTCAAATTGTCGATATTAAAGTGCAGTACAGTTTGCGACAGAGATGCTATAGTAAGAGCCGCGTTTCAGGGTACATACATCCGCGCACTGACCTGCTCCTCTTGCTGGCCATCGGTAACAGTGACAATGATTTTTACATTTGTGATTCAGTGACGTTTACATATAAGGCGTGGAAGAGAATGGGCGGATGTAAGACGAGAGACTTTCTGCCTCCTTAAACCGTGAGACTTAACCATCCGATTTGCGAGACCGAAGGGTGAAGCTATTAGTGAGTGTGCGCAAGGTTAAAATGCCGAGCTTTAATTCGTACTTTTCTGGCTCCGTGTCTGTTTGTCTGTCTGTAAATGACGCGTTTGGGTGTACCTTACCAGTGCTAAGTACGACCTAGCCTGTCCCCCCTCACAGGTCGATTGGCAAAATCGATGTCACTCTATGGCAAAGTCAATATTATGATGCACACACCTGATTGGCATAAACTCGATTAAAGATGAATATGATCACATGAGCAAGTGCTGGACGCTTGTAAGCAAAGACCGATCACGTTGCCCAAGTGTACTGTAGTGTGTTAATACAGACATTGACATCATCATGCTCATTCTTCGGTGACGGCTAATGTACAGTGTTATGTAGCTTGACACAGTTCTCCGAACTGAATCACTCAGATCAAGGGGCGAACTCCAGGACTTGCTCCCCTATTTTACCTTCAAATACGAGCTTGCGTCGTTGCTTCAAGTGCGTTGCAGATGACCTTACAGTTGATCTCTTCTTAAATGACTGAGCATGTAATTATCACGGGAAACTCTCGAAGCAATAAGAGTAGCATTTTTAACCGCCACAAGTGCAATGCAAAGCGCATTCCACACTGAAACGTACACGAAAGCAACTTGCTAGTTGAAAGAAACGCTCGACTGACTGAAGAACGTGATATGAGGTTGCTTTTCTCGAATCACAGAAAGAAACGCAAATCTGCTTCGTGAGCTTTCCAAGACCGTCACTCCTGTGCAGTATTAGAACTCGTTTGTCCCCCCAAAACATGAAGTTATGACTACCGCACCTACCCATGTCTTCCCATTCGTGGCAACGCTGCGTCTTTCATAGTTTGAGAGCTCCACACATACAATAAAGGTGCTACTTGTTCGCACGACACACTCAACAATCCAGCAGAACATGCTTTGGTGGATGTGTGGCGTTGAGGCCTGCACCCCAGTCGTAATGGTTCATGCTCACATGAAATGGTGATACTGTTTATGCTGGTGACGTGCCCGATAGATTCCGCACTTATCCGAACTTGAAATAGTGTGTCGCTCGTTGAACGTTTTTCAACAAAGAGCACTTTTGAGCTACCTATTTTTCCGTTTTTCAATATTATGCAGAAAAAGATTCGCTCGAAAAACACTGGCGACTGAAGGGAGCGAACTACCCTTAGCATGCAAAGGCTGCGTGGGTATCAATACGCTGTGTAAACTTGACGTCCATGTCGTTTTCTTCCTTAAAAATGGCTCCATCTAACGGCGCCGCCTCCATCCGCACGATCGATTTTCACATCGCGTTTCGGAATCCATTCCGGGCTTGCGGGTTAAAATCGCGTTCACATTATTGACATGCGTGTCAATCGCACTCCTACTGCAAAATGGCTGTATGTCCGACACCCTGTAGCCCTGTGCATTGCACCAACCCCTTGTCTGATTGTCGATTACTTGTCCGTCAGTGGTGGTTGAAAAAACTTTGCTGGACTCATGAGTTTGCGTCCGGTAAATGTAACAGTAACTATCGAGACACTAGCCACAGCATCGATAGGTTTCAGTACGCTACATGAGACTGGGAGTTCTTCAGTCGGTTTTCGAGCGAAGCTGTTGTCGAATGAGAAGAACATGGAAGGGAGCTCGGAAAACCGTAAAGTGAGCGCAGTACAATACATCAACTATGCCTTTGAGCCAGATAGGCGTTACGTGGACAGCGTCTGATCACCTGCTACGACTATTGCAAACATCAGCGAATCGTCGTTCAACAACTGATATTTCATGTATTAGATTGTATGTGAAATGTAAACGTAGCACCCAAGACGGTAACGGGCCATCGTCCTTTAGTATCCACAACCAAAACTCCGTCTGTCCACCATCCATCGCCGCATTGACGGCCCCGAACGGACAGTGACCGTGTACACTCTTGACCGCAGATGCACGCGCCGGACCAGTCGCTGTCTCGATGCACTGCAAGTTCAGCCGTAGTCATGCCGCCACTGCTACATTTCCGACGGCCCCTATTCGTTCCCATCCGCGCCGTCAGAGTAGCGAACGGATTTGTTGCTCTTGGGTTTCGAGGTTTCTTTCTTGCAGATTTTTACCTGCGCACTGTCCCACTCGCACGATAACCCTTTGGCGCACCTTCGGGCCTGGTTCGGCCGCTCGCATACCTCATTGAGTTTCGCTGGTACGAAGGGTTTGGGTTTCACTTGCACGCGCAAGCGGGTCAAGGCGTCGGTGGTGAGCGCATTGAGGCCCAACAGGGCGACGACGACCATAGCGAATCTCATAGTGGCAATAGAAAGATCACTTTGTGCCTGAGCGGTAGATTGGAGAATGGCTGGACCTGAGGATCGTGGAGCGCACTTCGGCGTGAGTGAATGATCTCGATCTGATTTGATCCAGACCCGTGGAAACGCATACTCCGGAGGATCTCGTACTTCCCGTTGGACGAAAAGAGGTCAATCGCCGCTTCCGTCGACTGATACGGTGAGATCGGATACGGACGTGCTCGTTTTCAAGGTTCTGAGTTCCATTTCTAAACAGATCTCGAGATCCAATAGATCCGTTTCGGTCAACTTCAAGGTTGCATAACGTTTCGTGCGGACTGACAAAAAAGTTGACCACATTATGGTGTCAGTCATATTGATGACATACTAGCACAGAGCTGGACGGAACCTTACTCACGCTAGAAGTACGGGATCCGATAGGTCGTCTGGCCATTTTTCATCTTGGTCATTTCGCAATGCTTTATCCTGAGTCACATACGCTGACGATATACCCTCGGGTACAAATGGTCAGCTTCCACACACGACACTCACTATGCACATAGCTTGCAGCGATCGATCCTTACCGCTCACGACAACTTGCATGCACGTTTTTGGTCACTCTGGTCTCGATTGTTAACCTTCTTCGAAGCAAGTGCGAGAATAGTTCAGACGAGTGGACAGGCAAGTGATCTGACGACTGAAACGGCGGGTGATCTGAATCCACACGCGACTTTCCTGGTTAGGCTGTCATGAGATGCCTCAAGTGATCACTCTTTCATTTCCAATAAGGAGCCACGACGAACACATGGCTCTAGCAGTATCACAAGCACTTGAAGTCTTCATTGAGCGCGACCAAAGTCGCGACAACTTGTCCATCCTCATGTGCACGGAAGAGGAAGAGGTTCAGGACTATTTCGACGCCGAGTGGGACGAACAAGATGTCGATGGACTGTCACTGAGTCCGATCGAAAGCGTGGACGCCATGTGGAGCTCCTTTGTCTCATCCGATTCGTCCAGCGTGCTCGGCGGTTGTACGACCCCAGCGACTTCTGCCATCAACCTTTTGCCTCGTCGGTTGAGTTGTCCGCTGCTCACGTCCATCGGTGATGCTCGTCCACTACCGAAGGTGAACTCCATGCCGCCTCTGTACCGACCTAGCGAGTTAGGCATTGGCCTCTTTAGTATCAACGGGGACCCACGTGATGACAAGATTCGAAGCTAGTCGCTACTAGATACGGGATATGCACAGAAAGAGCTCTCTGTACATTATGAGTAGCATGTTAAAGTTGATAGGAACTCCGGGTCTTCAATCGATTTTCGAGACCAAACATGTGCTACGTGTATTTTTCTTCTTCTTCAGATCGACTTCTGGTTAAGAAAAAGGGGAACCGACATCTGCCTTTTCCTGCGTGCATAATCAAGACCAGATGCTGAAACAGGTTGCAGTGGTGCTAGTGATCCATGGACTGGAACCGCACTGGGGTCGGTCTCGATTGACGGTGCGAGTCACTTCTGTGCTTGGAGCTGCCGCATGGTGGCCTCAGTCATGCCGAATTCTGAAGCTCGATTATTAGTGACACCTACGGCCGTCGAGGGAGGGGCAGCCGTGATGGACTCGACGCTCGTCTTTCATGTCATCGTGTCAATGGCCAGACAGGACTTCTCTGTGGACGAAACCGTGAAGCTGAAACGAAAGATGCGATCGCCAGAATGAGTCTGTGTCGAGATGTCGCCGATTTCGAGATGACTTAAGACCGTTTCGTCTTCTCGAACGACTAGGATACAAGGTACCTTTATGATCACGACGTTGTGCGGTCGCGAGCATACGATAAAAGGTGATGACGCTCGGATGCAAGAAGAAGACGCGATCGTGTGCGGATGCGACGGTTGGTGCATTGAGACGATGGCACGTGGCGTCGGTCTGAGATCGAAGGGCTCGACGCCACACAGTTACGATGATGACAAAAAGGCGTGTCGGGTAGATCTGGTTGAGCGAAGATGACGCGAGGCAAGTTAGTTACGCGAAAACGCACGGACCCACTGTTGTCTTGGAAGCATTGCAGCTTCTGATGCAGTGTCGACGCTGGGGAAATAGGCACGTACTACAGAGTCGGTGTAACGGCAGGTTGATGCTATCGCGGTAGTAGCTTCAGCCATTCCTGTCCTCCGCGATACTCAAGATTGAACAATAAATACTAGGAATGCGTTGGCGGTTCAAGTTCACTCTGCGTAGGTTTCTTCCATAAGGACGGATAGCTAAAGCATCAGATACTTTTCTTCGATTGTAAACGCAACTTGGTGCTGACAATGAATGAACTTGTGGTAAGATACGACCGCACGCGTATACTGCCAACGTGAGGAGAAACGAACGATGCAAAGTAAAAGTGTCCAAACTGCACCACTCACTCCTTTTGGTCTCCATTCACCACTTCGAGCCTGCAGCCAGGAAGACCACGGGCCAACGTGTCGGGGTGAATGACTATGTGATAGAGATTGCACATTGTGTAAAATTATAGCAAACTATCTCCATTTTTCGTCAAAAGCATCGCTCCAGCCACTTGGCAGCACAAGAGCACGCGATGTTTTATCACCCCTAAGATTGCTAACGAATGACTCCGGGCTTGGATGACGTAGGCAGTTATTTGGCGATCTCTGCGTGTACAGAGTCAGTGTTGTTTGATGAACGCCGACAGCGTGGTCAGGCCACTTGACCATTCACTGGAACCGGCACCACGGTGTCTTTGTGCTATTGTACATAGTCCGCGAAACCGCGATGAAGTGAAACAGCGGTGTAGTGACCTTCAGACGAATGGTCCGAGAAGTGGTTGCGATCCAACTGCGTGGCATGACTTTCCGACATCCGCACAACCTGGACTCACGCGTCCTTTGTGGGTATCACAAAGGGCGGCTCACATCACTCGTCAAGTAGGTCGATTATCACATCTGGTATGCTGCATCATGTTATCTAGCGAATACTTAGTTTGGCACAAGCTCCTGCCGAAACTTTCTCCTTCAGGGAGACAGACGCGTGGGCGATTTACTATCCGTGCAGCGATTGACAATCAATTGCAACACCCTCCCCTATCAAGCGATGTCTGGCTGACCTCCTCCTGTACCGGTCCAACGTCGCGTGGTGGTGTTGCAGGTGGTTTATCCATAATGGCTACATTGCGATTGGATTGCAACTCGGCGTCGCTGCTCCTTTTCCATTCAAGAAAAACCGTAGCACTTTTTCATGTTGTACAACGTCAACTGTTTCAACGAGAAAAAATAGGACGCTGGGTGCCTCCCCAATCAGTACTAGAATGATCTCCCGCAGTATCCACGCTCCTCTCCGGTCTCTGCAATTCATGTGATACTAGTATTGCGCTTACAATTGCTCCAGGATATTACAGACGGCGATGTGTCGACGTTCGAGTGCCATTAACGATCTCTTAGATGTGATGAAAGGATCAGCAGACGCTCGAGAAAAAGTGGAGGACCTACTACCGATAATTTGAATACTAGTTGTTGATGGATTCAAATCGAAAAGCTCCGTTGGTCTCGCGGCACTACATCACGATCAGTGCTTCATTATTCGCTGCTGATAGCGATACCAGCTTTGGGCATCACTTGCTCGCGACGCTGCTACGAGACGCGGGGTCGACCTTACTTATCCAGTATTAAAGACAGTATTAGCTCACTTGTGAGTTGGTCGTATGCGGTTTTACCTTTACCGCAACCTTTGCCTTCACGGCGACGCTCAAATTCTATCCTTGTATTCTGACTTGCTTCACCGGCTTACTTCACATACCCATGATTCCAGCCGCTAAGGCTATTGGAGTAAATACTTCATTTATCTCAATTCTACTTTTCACGAATGTGATGACGTCATGTTTAGAAACGTGTGTTGCCTCGAAAGACAGGATACTGCAGCTAGCTCACATGTGTACACGATAGAGTCTGATCCTGGCTCAGAATCATTGCACTTCGTATACTTAAACACGTCCCTGCCGAATGAATGCTATCCTAGGTACAGCCTAAAAACGAGGGACAAACACGTGAATCACCTCGACCTCTAAAGTCAAAGCTCCAGTAGTATCAAGCCCATACGCATACAACGATGTCCTCCGATCTCCTATCACCCGAGGAACAGGAGGTACTTAGTATCTACTGGACCATAGTCGAAGAGCATCGAGATCGAGTGCGTGTGGCTCGTGACGCTATAACCGCGCGCTATCAATTAGAGATGCGCGCACTTGAGGCCGTTGAGGAGAATCTACTTGCCAACCTCGGTCCATATACAGCTTACCACGCTGTTCTCTGTGCTCCAGTCACGACGTTCCAGCCAAATCACGTCGTTGCGACGATGAATCGTCGGGATGATAGTGCGAAGAAGGTGCGCGTGGCTATGAAGGCCGCGAAGCGGAAAGCGGAAATTCAAGCGCTTCCGTCTGTTGAGGCAGCCCGGGCGTTTCGTGCACAATTCGAACTTGGTGTCATTGGCGGTCTAGAGGGGGAAGGAGCTAGCTCGCTGTTTCGTGGGTAGGAACAGAGAGGTTCAAGCAGCATCTTCTTCTTCTGGATAGGAAATTCTACCACAGAGAGTGTGACAGTAGAATCACGAAAATGATGTTGCTGCTGTTGCCTGGTTCATTGTATGCAATGCGATCGTGTTTTGTCCAGAGTCTTGTATCGCATGATGAGGTGGGTAGTCTGCTGTAGAATGGATGCACTGGGTGGAAGGTGGGCTGTTTGCACCGTATGAGGCGAATACAGATATACACTTTCATTCGCAAGCATTGTACGAGGCGAGTATGGATGAACAACTCTTCTTTCCAAGCACTGAACAAGGTCTAAGGAAGAAACATCCGAATTGGCGCCATTTCTCGATTGAATGTAGGCTTGCAGTTGTAAATTTGGTAGGTCGATCACGTCCTGGATACAGGGGTACTTTGTCGAATTCTCTAGGTGGACGAGAGTTACGCTCAGTGCACCCATTCGAGGACGAGGCACGCCACAGCATAAACATACGTGCAGCCCAAAAAGCAAGACCCACTTCGTCGCGTTTAAATAAAAAGCAATCTGCACAAAACAGAAAAAGCAATTCCCACAAAAAGAAGTAACGACTGTTACAAACAAGCACTCGTGCGAAAACACACACACACAAACAGGGGCGGCCGTCCCCCACCCCCACCAGACCTCAATTAAGTAGCCGTGACAAAACGTGCCATCACTCGCACACACCACCTCGTCACCAACCAATCCGTCCGTCCGTCCGTCCTCGATCAATCAATCCATTCCGAAGCTTCATGTCGTCTACAGCGCCTGGCGCTACGCCCACGGCCGCGTCCGCTAAACCTCCACGTCTCGTCGGTCTCTCACGCGAGAAAATGGCGCAATGTACGCAGCAAGCCGAGCGTCGCGGTGTCGTGTACCTCGCGCGTGTCCCTCCGTACATGAAGCCGGAGAAGTTGCGGTCTTTATTGACTAAGTACGGGGCCGTCAACCGCATTTACCTCGTGCCCGAGGACAAGACATTTTATAAAAAGCGCGTGACGGCCGGCGGTAACCGTCGTCAAAAGTATACCGAAGGCTGGATCGAATTCGAGGACAAAAAAGTTGCCAAACGAGTGGCGAAACGGCTCAATACGATGCCCATTGGCGGGCGTAAACGTGATTATTACCACGACGATATGTGGAACCTCAAGTACTTGAGACGGTTCAAATGGGACCATCTGACCGAAAAAGTCGCGTACGACAATCGCATTCGCGACCAGAAATTGCGTCTCGCCATTGCGCAGCACCGAAAGGAGAACGAAAAGTACTTGGAACGCGTGGCACAAGCCAAGCAGTTTGAGAACATGGACGCACGCAAAGCGGAACAGAAGAAACAGCAGGAGAAGAGGCAGAGCGTGGAAGACGAGGACAAGAAGCTGCCGCACCTTCGTCGAACGTTCCAGCAGAAGAGACCAATGAGCAGCAAACAGCTGCAGTCGCTTGGAGACGAGGCGATTGAAAAAGTGTTTCTGGCCAGCAGGGATGTCAAGCAGTAATCAGTGGCTTGACGAGGTACCCAGGTGATGTTGCGCAGAGAGATGAAGACAATAGAAGGACTGACTATGCAGAACGTGCCAATCTGTTGGGTGTGTGTAAGTGTGCGTGTGTGTGTGTGTTTTCTTCTTCTGCTTCTTCTTTCTATAGCTCGACTTTGGTGTGGCTGCTTTGCTTGGTCTTGTCAAGGACGTTTGCTTCGGGTTCATCCGCTGCTTCCTCTGGTGAAATTGGCGGGACGATAACGGTCTGTTTCTTGCCACGTTTGGCATCCACGACGTGCTCGAGCAGGACGCGGTCATTGTCCTTGATGATCCACGTGTGGCCTGTAAAAGACTTGAAGGTGATCTTGCCACCGTTGCCATTCAGCGTATGCATGAGTTCGTTGGACCAGTAAAGCTGCACTGGACGCGCCGTCGGGTTCTTAAACGTGATGCGGCATTTGAGCGGATCCACCAATTGTTTGTTCCGGACACTGAGACTAGCGATCCACTTGGTGCCTTCGATCACAGGACAGCCTCGATGCAAGGACATGGGATCCCACTCGCCATTCGGTCTGTGGCTGTAAAAGAGCACCGCGGTACCTCGTGAGGGGTAAAACGCCAGCGTTGAAGAGCACGTGCGCACCATCTCCATCTCCCAGCTGCCGGGTGTAAAAAGCTGTGCGCCAGCTGCCTCATAGTCTCGAGCGGAGTTCAACGAGTGATCAGATCCAGGCGGAAGACCACCTGCAGGCATCTCCGCGAGCGGAAACACTGTCTGGCCACCGAGCGCAACATCCGAGAGATGCAGAAACACGGTCGCAAAACGGGTAACATCTCGTTTACTCGAGTCGACGTCCATCCCGTCAGCAGCAGCAGCGACTTGGAAATGGTCGTTACCAGCGACATAAGCTTGCTTCTGCTCGTACTGCAGCAGCTCAAGACCGTTATCGGATCCCCTGCTGTCTTTGTCCTCTCCAAGTGAGAGCACCTCCAACACGCGCTTGCGCACGTGCGCCGCCGTCTCCGAAACGGTATCAACCACACTCGTGACAGAGTTTCCATCATCGTTGGTCGGGTGGCTCTTGTCATTGACGGCATCACCAGTCGACAGCTGCACTGCAGCATTAACCGGACCACCCTCACGTTGCACCGCTTGCTGGATCAACGTATCTGCCTCGTCCTCACTGAACAACTGGTGGAGCCGGAATGTCCGTGGCGACTCCGAGATCGACTCGATGACGACCGACTCCTTGGTCGCACTTGTCACGACCACGCGGTGACCGGACGCAACAAATGGCCACATGAAGTACAATCCTGGAGCCACGAGGTAGAGCGCATCGCCCGATTGGATGTCGGCAAACCTCTGCAAGAGCTCTCCACGGCCATTAAAGACCCGGTCAGCCACGACGCCAGGCACGTCGGACTCGGTCGTCTCCTTGTTCGACTTGAAACGTCCTTCAACAGCTACAAACTGGGACAAATAAGCGGCGAGGTCGCCTTCTTGGGTACATTTGGTCGCGACCAACTCGGCACTGAGCTCCATCTCCACGCCACCCGTTGTGTAGCCATTTCGAAAGATCGTGACGCTCTTTACCGGTGCGTCACGGTCTCCACGACTGAGCGAGCGGTACTCGTACGTGAGCTGCAGTGCTTCCCGCACACTCTGGAGCTCCTCCCAGAACGAACAGATGAGCACGAGAGCAGAGACTTGCAGCAAGGCAAGTGCGAGACGCGAGCGAGTCACCATTGGATTGAGCGTCGTAGCTCCTGGACGAATAAGAACGCAATGACAACGGTTCGAGCGCGTCCAAGACGACGTCTTCCTCCCTTCGCCGCGGCCGGAGTTGTCTAAATCGAAGCATATTCGTTTGTACAGGTTAGACGTGCTCTCACGTGGTACCGATGACACGATTCCATAGTCGGATGCATTTGGTGGAATGTGTTTCTACAAGTCACACGTCACACGTCACACGTAACAAGAAAGATATCGTGGTCATATGTCATGATGACTGACTGCTCATGTTTCAGCCTGTAAATGGACATGGAATCACTCGTTCTCGGTACCCCCTAATGATGCCGACGTCACCTGCCAACTCCATTGCCTGCCCTTGCATTGAGCGACTGCCATCTTCTCGACAGCGAGGGACTCGTTCCACCCGCTAAGGAGGATGGACTCTCAGTACAAATGACTCTTGACCAACTTGCGGTACTTCTGGTACGCGACGCCGACACCAACAGCGATCAGCACGACCATGATGAAGAATGGCAGACGCCAGCTCGACTGCGCGACCGCGAGCTCCCCTTCGATGCCCGTAGCAATCTTCTCATTCACGCTCGAGCGCATATCCGCCACCTTCTGGCCAACCTTCTGGTCCATCATGGTCGTCATGCGGTCCACCAACACCTGGATCTTGTGCTGATTCTGCCGCTCCTTCTCCCTCAATTTCTTGATCGTGTTCTCCGTTTGCTCGCGCAACATCTCGAACCAGTGCTCAGTCTCCACCTGGAGGTTCGCTACAAACTTCTCCATGATCGCCACCTTACACGACTGTTTACAATCGGCATCATCCACAAACGACTCGAATTCCTTCGAGTAGTTGTGCGACCACGTCTCGCTGTCCACCGCAAATAATCCTTCGTCATTAGCTTCGTCGAACGACTGCACACTCAGAATGTCGTGGTTGTCCGCCAATGCACCCGTCGAGGCCGTGATGCCAAATGTCGCACGACGCAGCCAGTCGGATGGGAACGGCAGGTCGCCCTTATAACAAGCTGTCCAGGTCCCCGAGTTGCTCGGATCGACCTCTACCTCAAGCACGTTGCCTTTAACCATCACCCGGATATGCGACGAGCTAAAGACCGGGTCAAAGCTCGCGTTGTTCGAGTGGTAGCGAAACGCCGCGTCACAGCCAACCTTCGTCTCGTCATTCAAGTCGTCCAGGACCTTCTGGCCATCGTTCACCTGAATCGTCACGTCCTTGTGACCCCCGCGATGCTCGACGTTACGAAACGTGTCCAGGACAATGCCAAAGCCGTAAAACTTGTCTGTAAAGCCGTGATTGTCCCCGTTTTTCCACTCTGGTTCCTGCGTAAACCAGAGTCCGATCCCGTCTCCAAACCACTTTTTACCCTGCCCATGGATCCGGTACTTGATCACAGTAGCCAGCTCGTCCTTGCCAATGGAACTCTTGGTCCAAATATGGCCGCGCTTGCTCTGGCGGTCCGTTGTCAGTCGAATAAAGTTCTTCTTCACGTCCGTAGCGCCGCCGTAGACGAAACCGTCCGATATCTGGCGTTTGCCATCCGAGTCGACTACTTCATACGGGGGTTTGAACGTCAGCGAAGGTAGCGGCGAAGCTGATACAGACACGAGAGCGCTCAGGGCTGAAGCGGAGAGCAGTGCCACGGCCAGACGAGGCATTGGAGACGAGACGCGGTGACTGGGGAGTGATGGATCGCTCCCTCCCTCCCTCCTGGACGAATGGACTGAGGAGCTACGAGTCGAAATGGCGTCAATGCCACGTGGGTCGCGACTCTTCCCTCGTGAATGAAATACCGATTATCGGAGGGAAAAAGGGAGGCAGAATAGTGTGGACCACCCTAATGTGTGCGACCACGATGAAATACAGTGACCGTCGAGTAGTGTATTGAGCTTCGGACATAGTAGAAACCCGTCAAACGCGTCAATGTAGCTATAGCAAGTGCGACTTCATGAGAGACTGGTACTTGCGGTACACGTACGCAGCCCCAGCTGCCAATCCGATGAGCAGCAGCGCGAATGGCGTTTTCCAGCCGCCACTGGCAATGTCCGGGTTCTCCTCCAATTGCTTCGTGATCTTTTCCTGCACCTCGTTCGCAAGCGCCTTCTTCGTATACTCGAGCGACGTGTCAATGCCATTGCGTACCTTGAGCTCGATCTCGCGCACGCGACGCTCGTTCTCTGCCTCTTGCTTCTTGAGCTTCGCGACCGTGTTCTCCGTCTTCTCTTTCAGATCCGAGAACCGGTGCTCGGCATCAATGCGAAAGTTCGACATCTCCTTTTGCAAGAGCGACACGAGACAGTTCGTGTCGCACAGGGGCGAGTCGATCCATCTCTTGTAGTCCTGCGACATCGAGTTCATCACCGCTTCCGAGTCCACGGCTCCAATCATCGCGTCCTGGAACTCCGAGTACGCGTCAAAGCGGATGATATCGTGATTATCAGCCAGTGCCCCTGTCGACGCCGTGATGCCGATCGTGGACGATTGCAGCCAATCAGCTCGGAGCGGCAGCGTCATCTCGTGACAAGCCACCCACACACCGGAAGCGTGCTCATCGACTTCAACAATCAATCGGGTCTTGTCGATCCGTACTTTGATCCGTGAGATACTGTGCGCCGGGTTAAACTTCGCACTCTGTTCATGGTACCGCACAGCTGCATTGCACCCAACGCGCGTCTCATCGTACATTTGATCGTAGCTCTTCGTCCCGTCGTTCACAAAGACGCTAATGTCTTTATGTCCGCCCGTGTGCTCCGAGTTGACAAACGTGTCAATCACGATGCCAATACCGGTATACTTATCGGTAAACCCGTGGTTCACGCCAGGAGCATGGACCGCTTGATCGGTAACCCAGAGCCCGATACCGTCGCCAAACCAGCGCTTGCCTTGGCCAGAGATGCGGAACGTCAGAATAGCCGACAACTCGTCGTGCTGCACGGGCTCTTTTTGCCACAAATAGCCGCGTTTGCTCTGGCGGTCGGTCGTGAGGCGCACAAAGTGCTTCTTCACATCCGCGCTGCCGCCGTGCGACCACGTGGTGTTGACAATGCGACGATTCCCCTCGTTGATGAGCTCGAACGGAGGCTTGAAGGACACGCTGTGCAGTGGCTCGGAAGAGACGGGGTGGCGGTAGAGCAGAGCCACGAGACCGCACAGAAGGAGCGGCGCCACGTGGCGACAAACGACGGGCATGAGATGAGAGAGGAGAGGTTCACGCGCGACACGTAGCTCTTCGATCCGGAAAAATGGCAAAATGAGGTAGCGGATGGGTGTGGACCACATTCTGGTAATTCAGGTGGACCACATTTTGATGATTCAGGTGGACCACACCGCTGAAGTAGAAACACCGCGGGGTTATTCAGATGTGTACTGAAAGAGGGGATGGAAGTTGTTGCTGGCCATTATTGGCTAGCAGGAAGTTTGTCAAGTCGAGCGGAATCGAGCGAGTGGGTTGTATTGTAAGAACGAGTGGGAGAGGATGAGGACGGGAGCAGGGTTTTTAGGATGGAGATTGCGAGGCTTAGTTGCATAGAAGACATGAGGTTCTGAGGCTACTGCGTGATTGATCCCACGAGGTGTCGGCGGCTTTTCGGTGTTGATCGCCAGCAGATAGTCGGTAATGGCACTGTCACAGGTAGCAGCTGCAGATGTACTGTAGAAGCCGCGCGTACGAGGAGTCAGTTGGTTCATTGGCGCCACGGTCGCAACGGATGGGAAGATTACTGCGCATTGAAGTGTGTCCCCGAGTTGCAGACTTGAAGCTACCGGTGTGTCAGTCAAGCTTTTGCCATGCCCCAAATCGAAATGTCCATGCTGGAAGAACACAATGACTGGAACTCTTTTGACAGCACCGCGTGAATTGTGAACATGCTTTCTGGCTTATCCAATTTGCTAAACGTGCACCGAACTGAACCATCACAAGCCTTACTGAAGCTGCTGGGCCAGAATCGGCCAAGATGGGGAGTCCAAAGCTTCTTTGCCGTTGCCACACACATTCACACACTAGTACCAAGGCTGTCTCCATGACCGAGCGTACCACGCGTCATAAAGGGTCTCGAGACGTAATGAATGCTCTAGTAGAAGGACAAAAAGACAGGCGTTGGCAACCGTCGTTGTCCTGCGTGCAAAAGCAAAAGTAGGACTGACTGAACGGCGCCTCTACTACACCTTCTTAACAGAGACCGTAGCAAGCCAGTCCGTGGAACACCATCACATGGCCAGAAGCGATAAACGTTGCAGCAAATGATGAAGAAAAACGCATGGCGTAACGTATGGCATGGCAAAGTGAAGTCACCGCGTCCACAGATCAAAATAACCTCATGTGGTCCATACCCCGTTCCTAATCGTCTTTCTGCCGCCGTGATACGGCAACTGCCGGTACCGGAATTAGCTCGCCCACTTCGTCAGAGGAGACTGCTGGCTTTTCAGTTGTAGCAACATGTCCGTCGTGGCGCGTCATCGAGCGATCCCTGTGATTGGTCAACCGTGACCGAGAACGACGTTTCAGCCAATCGTAAAGCGCTTTGCAACACTAACCCCCCTCCCTTGTGAGGTTTTTCCACGCTTCGGAAGTAGGGACGTCCATTTTGCGCCGAGCGGAAGGCGAGTGCTGCCGAGACGAAGAGAACGCGACGAGTGGCGCGGTCCAAGCAGACGTCACGTACGTCCAGTCCTGTCTCTCTCTCTCTCTCTCTGCACCTGTGACCTCGTTACCTGCGTATTCACGTGTCCACCCCGTTCTTCTAGCGCGTTTGTTGCGACATTTCGGCCCCTCTGGACCCCTGCGCGGCAGAAAAAACCTTGAAACTCTGTCAATTGGTCATTTATTATGGAGTACGAAGTCATGTGGGGCGATGGGCCGCTAGGCCTAACCCTTCGTCCGGACCTGGGAGAGGACATGCCGCCCGTCGTGGGTCGGATCACGCGTCAGGACTCGGCTGCTGCCATGGCCAAAGTCGCAGTGGGCCACATGCTCGTGAGCATCAACGGCATGGACACGGCTCGTCAGGGCTATGATTTCGTGGTCAAGACGCTGCAGAAGATCCCACGACCGGCTACGCTGCGGTTCCGCGTGCCACGAGCTATTACCAGCAGCACAGGCGTCTACCGTGACTCGTCCCGGAGCTCTTCGCGTCAAAGTCGCGGGTCCACGAGTACGTCGTGGTCGGATTCTGGTAAATCTCCGTCCCGAGCGAGCTCGTCGTCGTCGTCGTCATCTCGCCGACGGGAGCAGTATACAGTCGTGTGGACGGAAGGTCCATTGGGAATGATTCTCCGTCCAGATGACGATGATTGTCACGTGCCTTGTATCCGTAAAATAACCGGCAAAGGAGCTGGCACAGGCATGGAACGAGCAACGGTGGGCGATGTTTTAGTTGCTGTGAACGGTCAAGAGACAAAATCGCTGGGATTTCGGAGCACGATTTCGCTGCTCAAGACGATTCGCAAACCCGCAGTGCTCAAGTTTAAACGCATGGGACGACGCATCTCACGCAAGAAGTCGGTGCTCGAGTCGTCCGGAGGGAGTCGAAGCGTGAGTGGTGGCATTCCTAGCGAGATTGGCTCGTATGATATTGTGTGGCGGGAAGGCGATTTAGGTCTGAAGCTTAAACCTGGACACCGGGACATTCCAGTTCTTAGTAAGCTGACGGGAAAAGGGCACGCGAGTGGTCTCCAGAATGCTCAAGTAGGGGATGAACTTGTATCGGTCAATGGAACGCACGTAGAAGGAGAGACTTATCAGGATACGCTGCGGATGCTAAAACACTCGCCGAAGCCTGCTGTGCTTCGTTTTCGCCCTGGAAAGACCCGTCGCGAGTCAATGATGTCTGTAGCATCGGTGTGTTCGGTTCGATCGAACCCGAGTACTGAGCGAGAAGTAACAAGCGTTGCGAGTCGCCATCATGTGCCGTTATACGAGGACGTGATTGGGGTTCCTGCAAAACCGACGCCAGCAGTCAGATCCTTGCGCACTGAGCATGATCGCTCTCACCGTGAAATTTCCAGCCGTGACCGCTCCAGCCGTGACCGTTCCAGCCGTGAACGCTCCGATCGTGACCGTTCCGACCGTGAACGACAGAAACGAAAAAAGCGCATTCCGTTGAATGTGGCACGTGAGTTGGTGGCAGCGTCACAAGGGTCGGACTTGGACCATGCCATATTTGCTGGCATTCCTATAACTGCCATCGAAGAAGGCTCTAAAGAAGCACATTTACTTCGCGTTCAGGCCAAGCTTTGTATTTCGAACCAAGCGAAGGTTGAGCGCGTCACACCTGCCAAGGAGGCGCTATCGCGTGCAGAGCAGGAGGCTAGGGTCCTCCAGGAGGCTCTCGAAAAGGTAAAGAGTCAGGCAAAGAAGTACGAAGAGATTTTGGAGGCGCAGTCGCGCGAGCGTGTCCTTGCGTTGGCAGTGCGGCACAAGCCAGAAGAAGTGGTGAAGCGCCAGAACAATGTGATTAGCGAGTTGGCAGGTGTAATTTCGGGTTTCAAGCGTGACTCGTACGGTGATGTGGATATCGTTCCCCCCGTGATTGAAGAAGATAAAGATGTGCAGAAGATTATGGACGACTTGCACAATGTCATGAGCATTCCAGTGGTCGTACCAACGGTAAAGTTCTGTGCCGAGTGCGGTACTACGGAGAATGAGTCCAAGCTAGATCTGGATGACGATGGCGAGTATTACTGTAAAGACTGTTGGGACAAATTCTTGAATGTGCCTGGATCTTCTCGGGGTGGGACGGTTGTAGGGGCTGAACCGGGTGAGCAATCTGTTGATGCTAGTCAAATTTTAACATCTGTACTAGCAGATGCTGAGGAAGTACCGCCTGCGTCGGTACATGATGCGCTTACGCGGTCTCTTAGTCGCGTGGCTGTCGAGGACCGTGAAGCTGAGGAGCTAAAGGCACGCATTGAAGCAGAGCGCAAGCTTATGGAAATAAAGGAACTCCGTCGGTCAGGATCGATTGTGCCCGAGCGACAGTTGCACAAGAATAATGCGGACCGTTCGTGGCGAGAGCGTCGCGGTCTAGAAGAGCTTGCTCAGGCCCTCCTTGAAGAAGAAGAACGCGCTCGTGCGGAGGGCAACATCGGGTTAGCGAAGAAGCTGAGTGCTCAACGTGCACGCACAATGGCCGAAACGTCCGGCGAGGGTCCGCATCCGGGTATCAAGCCGTTTTCGTCGATGAGTGACTTGCTTGTCGATTCGGATGCTGAGTTCGGGAATGGCGAGGACATTTCGTCAAAATCAAAGACGTCATCGCCCGTGCAAGCCTGTTCACCGCTGGCGTTGAGTCGCTCCGTCAGCGCAACCTCGAGCGTGTCTTCTCCCGTGCCAGTCTCCGTTTTGCCACCCCTTTCACCCGAGCCGACGCTGTCTCCTGTTGCTGCAGATGAAGATGAGGCCGAAGTGGCAGCTGCAGTGACAGAAGAAGAAAGTGTAGCTGCAGCTGCTATTGAGATGGATGCCTCAAGTTCACCACGTGGGACTGCAGATGTTGCAGCATCTTTGTCTGGTGGCAATGACTATGGTGACGTGAATACGGATGAAGAGGCCGAGGACCAAATGCACATGGACGATGAAGAAGACGTGCTTCGGGAGGTGGAGGAGAAGAACTTTGCACTCGCGCGGCAGCTGGACGAGGCTCATAGTGTCATTGAGCGTGCGCGTATGTCAATTAGCATGTCTGGCGACGACGACGACGAGGAGACGACTGACGGCTTGAGCGACGAGCAGATTAGTTTATTTAAGAAACTAACGAGTCAGGCGGACGAACGCATGTCGATGGTGGATCGTCTGCACCCGCAGGACGACTCGGACTCGGATTCCGACTCGAACTCGGAGGAAGAAGAGGAGGGCGAGGAAGAAGAAGAAGAAGACGAAGGCGTGTGGATTTGATCCTGCAACCTGCAGCGATAGTGAAGCGTGCGGCGGGTATCCGATGTTGCACGCATTTGTAAGCTGGCAGACAGCCCTGGCGTGGGCAACGGACCTGTACAAAACAAGTGAGCGAAGAGCAGTCACTTGTCGACATTAGATTTGGCGACTCGGTCGTGGGCACTAGAGGACCTGTGGTGCAGCCCGTTCGTTCTGTCTTCCGTAGTAGTGGTGGTACTTTGCTGGTGCGAATGCATCGTAGGAGAGTGAGGTAGCTCTTGCCTTTCCTTGCTTGGTCAGACGACACAGATTAGTCTTTTGCATTGATTGCGTCTCTCTTTTGGACAGCTGGTCATGCCGAAAAGGTCCGCAGTTGGTCAAAGTATTGAATTCACGCTTGACACGTCGGATGTCGTTTCAGCCAATCATCGACGTCCGTTTGCCTGATCTTGATGAGATTATTCGAATTCAAAGGGACCCGTATCCACATCATGACCGCATCTGCTTCTGCACTGGTGGGGGCTGCGGCTCCCGCGCAAGAGAGTCTCATGCAGCGCCTGTGGCCTGTGCTCCGCATGGTCTGCATCTACTACGCCGTCACGTCCGTCATTAACGTGTTCGTCCCAAAGCAGCAGGAGTCCCATCTCATCAACGACCCGACGATCGGCCCGAATGCGGACAACTCAATTAGTGGCCCCTCCAAAGTGCAACTGTTGACGAACGCGTTTCACTTGGGCGACGCGTTGAACTTGAGAGTGTATGTCACGCCCGACGCTCAGTTTGCATTTGCCGACAAGGGCGACAAGGCGGCGGTCGCGCGCGAGCAAGAGACGCTGCGATGGGTGCAAGACGCGCTCACGTACGACACGACGCCCAACCCGCAGCGGGGCGACGGGATGTGGGTGCACCACGTTAACGTCACGGTCGACGACCACTTGCTGGCCAATGGCTCGCTCTACGCGCACGTCTTCTTGACGCAGGACGACCACTCCCCCAACCCGACAGACGGGACGTACGACGCCATGAGCTGCCTCCACCGCACGATCGCACTCACGGCCTTCCGCCCGCCGCCAAAGCGGATCGAGAAGCGCCGTTTGCTAGCGACACAAGAGGAGGAGGAGGCAGAGCAGCAGCTGCCGCTTGATGCGGACGTGTACGTGTCCATGTGGAAACCGTCTTTTTACATCAATGTGGTCGTGGACCACACGACGTACTCGACGCGTCACCCGCCGCAGCCGTTCATGGCGACTGCGATGACCGTCGACGAGGCTGCTGGAGTGTACTCGCCAGTGCTGTTTCTGAACGAGTTTTGGCTGCTGGACGAGCATCTGATCGCGGTGAACGACACGGTGACGACGTTGCCGCTCGAGTTGTCATTCTACCCGCTGCCCGTGTACAAGTACGCGCTGTATACGCAGATGGAGCAGAACTTTCGCAACCAGGAAGCTACTGGCGCGTCGTCGAGACGTGACACGGATAACATGAAGAGCATGTTTATCGAAACGAATCCGTACCTACTGGCCGTGACGATGGTAGTGTCGCTGCTGCACTCGCTGTTTGATTTCCTCGCGTTCAAGAACGACGTGAGTTTCTGGAAGAATCAAAAGTCGCTCGCGGGCTTGTCGCTGCGGAGTATCGGGTTGAGTACGTTCTTCCAGCTCGTGATCTTTTTGTACTTGATGGACAATGACACGTCGTGGCTCATCCTTGTGCAGTCGGGGGTCGGCCTTGTCATTGAAGTGTGGAAAATCAAAAAAGCGCTCGTGTTCTCGCGCGACGCTGACAATAAACTCGTTGTCTCGGGCGTCCAGAGCTACGAGAGTTCCCCTACTGCTGAACACGATCGCGTGGCTATAGCTCATCTGTCGTATATTCTGTGGCCGCTGGTCGCCGGGCAAGCTGCATACACGCTAGTGTATGGTGTACACAAGAGCTGGTACTCGTGGGTGGTTTCGAGCCTCACGAGCTTTGTGTATGCGTTCGGGTTCATCATGATGACGCCTCAGCTGTACATCAACTACAAGCTCAAGTCGGTGGCACACTTGCCTTGGCGCGCTATGGTGTACAAGTCACTGAATACGTTCATCGACGACTTGTTTGCCTTTGTGATCAAGATGCCGTGGATGCATCGTCTGAGCTGCTTCCGTGACGACCTGATCTTTTTCATCTACCTATATCAGCGCTGGAAGTACCCGGTAGATGCTAAGCGCACGAACGAGTTTGGCCAGGGTCCTATTGACGACGAAGTCGCGTCCAACGCCATTGAAGGTGCTACAGAGTCCGACCCGGAATCGGAGACCGATGCCCCTCCAGAGTCGATTGCCGCCGCTGTAGACGAAACAGAGGACATCCCGCCTCCCCCGTCTACCCCTCCGTCGACAGAGTATCTCATGTCCAGACGTGCCAATACACTTCAGGAAGGGACAAGTCGAACGGAATAAGGTCTTTGAAGGTGTGTAACGAAACAAAGCAGTCGTGTTATACAGGTACTGTTTAGGATCTACACGCTTCCTCTTGTGCTTGCTTTATTGTTCGGTGCTGCAGGACATCGTTTCAGGTCGAGGATGAACGGGACCTTTGTGAGAGCTGTCCACGGTATCCGCAAGGCCAAAATGTGATTATGAGTATCATAAATGCTCGCCCTGAATACTCTTCGTACACGTACAGATGTGCTCCGCGTCGAGGGATTATGCGTACTGCGCCCATTTGACAGTAATGCCGACCGCAAGAACGGACAGCATAGCACGGATCTGCGAACACGTGTGTATACCGAGTCGTTGACTCCCCAGGTTTCGATGGCGTAGTGTTGTGGCTGACGGCATCGCTCGCTAGACAAGCCAGTACCATAGCAGGAGTCGCGCGTCCAAAGCAGCGCAATTCGTTCCTGGAGATCGGTTGGCAGACGGCCAGCCGCAAGTGTGACCGGCCCAGAGATCCCCATGACAGCATATGTGGGAATTTCTAGTCTGCCTACACAAACCGCTTCTCGCGTGCTTTTCCGTATGACAATCGAGTCAAGCGTCCACGATGACGTTACTCTGGAAGACGAAGACCTTGACGGGTAAAAAATGCAGCAGTCGCCTGTTCCATGCCAAACCCTGGTCGTCACACATCTTGGCAGTGGCACACATCATGTCCAGCTCATTCTTTTGTCATCAGGTCGATTTCGACGGTATGCGTCGTGTATCGTTCATGAACTGTGCACGGTCACGAAAGCCGAGCGAGTGTCCACCACTACGATGCCGCCAGCGGAAGTCGCACTTCAACTTGCTCAATATCGACGCCCGTCTCTCCTCGATGTGTTTTGCAAAATGGCGGTGTTCTGCGAGAAGCTGTGCGAGACCAGCAGCGTCTCCAGCGCTAAGCAACGACTCGGATCAAGGTACAACGTCTTACCGCGACGAAGGTACGGGTCCTCTTCGCCATTCTTGTCCACGTAAAGGCTACCCCATACGCAGCGTCGCTCGTTGCCAAAGAAAAGGATCACGGTGCATGCACGCAGAAGCAAGAAAGCGCCTAACCCAAGGCCGCAGTGCTGAGCGTGCTGCGTACATTCCCCCACGCCACCGCCTTCTTTTGCCTCGCAGCACGCTGAGAAACAGCACAGCACTTCACCACAGAAGAGACACAGCCCTGGATGCTGAGGGACCTGAGCGCACTGGCGGCAGACTCCCATGGGCTTCTCGTTGTAACGAATGAAGAGATCCATGTACACACGCGGCAGCGAAATGAGCATGCGGTACTTTGCTCTGTCGCTAGTAGCTCGAGACGAGAGCAGCATCACGCGCTGCTTCAGCGGGAAAGCGTCGATGGAAGAAGCACCAGTCACTTGCGTTTGAGAGCGTGCTTGCTGTCGAGAGACGGCAGCCTTTGCTTCGAGCTGGGCGCCCCAGAGCTGGCATAACGCACGCTGACTTGACGGGAACATCTGCCGATGGAAAAACAGTCTCAGCGGGGGCAAATGGAGTCGTCGCAGACACTTGTCAAGCAATGCAGAAGCCCTGGTTGACGTCGATGTCGACGGATACAGTCCTTCGCACACGGCACACGACTCGGAGACAACTTGCGATGACTTGGACTCGCTGCTGCCTTGACTGTCGTTGAAATGCTGATGTGATATGGACAACAGGACATCCATGAGCAGAAGCATCTGCTGAGCCAGTGGTAAGCACAGCATGCTCACTTGTTCTTCCATAGCGGTAGTATTCCATGGTCGGTGGACGGTCGCGCCAGGTGCCATAATCGATTCGCTATCCACTAAGCGACATCGCATGAGCACCGATGAAATCCACGCAGATGCATCCTGAAGCGACTCGACCCCATCAAAGTCACGAATTTCCGCACGAACAATCACGCCATTCGATTCTTCTTCAATTCCCGCTTCATCACTTGACAAGAGTTGGTCATCTTGCATCGAGAGATGGGCAAGCGACTGCAAGACCTGGGCTGTGAATAACACACGGGCCGAGAAAAACGCTTCTGTGAGCAGCTGCTCTGCAGCGACGTCAGCGCTGAGTGTCGCGATGCTCTGTCTCCACATCAACCGCAGTGCGAAACAAGTGAGCAACCGCGGATGACACAACATGGGCGTCCCCACTAAGGCCGCGTCCGTCGTGTCCTCGAAGTCACCGCTTTCCAGTTGACCAAAACGATTCCACCTCGTGTGGCATGCGGCGTCATCCTCTTCGAAAAGCACTTGCTGGCCGAATATCAGTCCATTCAGCCGTGTCATAATGCTCTCAAAGTGCTGCTCAGCTGGCGCTTCTACTGTTGTCCATGCCAATGAACTCGGCGACGTTGAGGCCACTGCCACTGCTGTGAGGTCTGCAACCTGGCGCATCGACCGGAGCTGTAATGGATCAAGACCATCTGTCTGCAACAGCGTCTTCTCACGCACAACCACACGTAACTGCACCTCCAAACAACGCAACAGCAATTGCCATGCAGGAGTCTGAGCACCGCAGTCCGAGCCAAGTTGCTGCATTTCCAAGTCCAAGCTACCTTCATCACGAATGGAACTGGCCAGGAGCGTCGGTAGGTACAACTGTGCGCGCACACAACGTAGCACGATTTCCTGGCAGAAGACGCCAATCTCGCCCTCGACGCTCCTGTCTGGCTCAGGCGACTGGCGCTCACCACAAGACAAAGTAAGCCCAGCAGAGGAGGACATGGGCTCAGAGGATAATGACGATTTCGATGTGGCTGACTGCAAACGCTGCCTCAAACGCATACTCGACTGCGTCCGAGAACGACGTCGCTTGACAACTGGCGAGTCATCACGAAAACTCATTTGCGCGTCCAGCCATGGAAGGAACGCCAGTGGATCCTGTCCGTCGTCTTGCTTTTCTTCTTCTTCTTCCTCTTCCGATCCGAATCCCGTCTTCATAAACTCAGAAGCAGACACTCGCTCGCGAAGTTCTCCCAAAGAAATGCACGGAACCAGGCAATTCGAAAGCCGGCGACAAATCGGACACAAGAACTCCATGTCACGCTTGCTCAGCAAGCGATCGTCACCATTTGCCAGCTCTACGGGACCACGGCCGTGCTTTTGTTGCCACAGCGACTTGAGATAAGCCGCTAAGCATGAGTGGTGAATAGCGTGGCCACAACTCCAAATCACGCTATCCGCAAGCTGCACGCGCATTTCATCATTTGTTCCCGGTTTGAGTACGCGGCTTGAAGGCAGACACGGTGGTAATAGAGAACAGACGTCCCTACCAGTGCTGCAGGGCGAGACTTTGTCTACTTTCTGAAGCATATTCGTCGGCAAAATCATACCCACAAAACCAAACGACGATTCACGGGAGCGTGGGTCACACGACAAACGACAGAGACCACACTCTTCAGTTTGAAGCGAACGATCGTCCATTGAGCCGTAGTCATAGCTTGCGGAAGACAATCGTCCCATGTGGTCGTTTTCAACCGATATTGACGAAGTCCGAGTACTTCGCCTTCGCCGCCGTCTCCAGCCTTGACATCTCCGCTGCTTGTCCATCACCTGAGCAATGGCTGACGAAACGTGGTCTAAATACAAAGACACGCTTACCTGCCCGGTAGGGAATCCCCACTCATCTTCCTCTTCGTGGTCTTCATCCATTTCATCATCAGACTCTATTGCTGCGCCGGCGCTGTCGCTATCAGTGTCGATCTCCAGACCATTGCCTTTGGTATTGCCACCTGTGCTTTCGCAATTGCCGTCTTCTGCTGCGGTGCTGCTAGAAGACAGGAACTGCATCTGCTGCGACCGCATTTTCTCCAATATTTGCTGCTGCCGTCTTCTCATCATCTCTTTCGCACTGAGTTTTGGTTGCTTATCACCCATGTCACCGCTCGTGCATAGGGCAAAGCTATCAGGATGAGAGCCACTAATACGTTCTTGAGCTTGGATGTCTAGCTTCGAACGCATCATTGCATCCAAACATAATGAACAGGCTGGCGACTTCTCACGTACTGATTGAAGAATCCGATTCACCACAGCGCACGAGTCCTCCAGACTGTTTTTCTGTTCACCAAAGAATAGCAGCAGCGACAGCAAACTTGAACTCGCTACTTCGTTCACGTCATGGTACGTGGATTCTACGGGCACATCGGTGCAAAGCTTGACGAATAAGCTGCTCTCTTCATCAAAGCAGTGTGCAATGTCATCCAGATTCTGTTTGCAGCTGGAGTCAGTGCAAACCTTGCGTACTGTCAGGTGGTGATTCTGGGTGTCTTCAGGGAGCATCTCAACTGCCACGTATAAACAATGCAGCGCTGCGAGCAACAGATTCTCGTTGGTGTACGAACACAAGCTGTCCTGGGCTTCGCCACTTCCTCGCTCAAGTTGACGCAATGCCACTGTTTTCCGCTTGTAGTTCTCAAAAATGATGAACAAAGCGCTGGCCATATACGACGAGTTCAACATCGTTTTGGCAATCAAAGCGTGCATGTCAACGCTACTCTCCCCTTCCAGTTGTGCGCGTGGCAACGTGGGCAGGACGATTGCTGTCGCCAAGACGTTGTCTCGTTCATTCGACTTGGGTAGATATTTGCGGATGTTCTGTTCGCACTGCTGTGCTTCCGATGGCGTAAAACACTCAAACAGCGGAGATACATGAGACCACAACTCAGGCTTCAATTTCCACACCACACTCATCTTGAGTCCGTATCCTTGTAGACTGCCACTTCGAGTAGTACGAGAGCCACTGCTGTTTCCAGCAGGCTCATCATACACACCTACTTTTTCCAATACGTGCGTCAGAATCTCCTCTTCTTCCAGCTCGGCCCACTCGTGCGCTGAAAGTTGCTTGATCAGCTCCACCAACTTCATATCCGTTCGCGTGACCACCTCACTACGCGTAGATGGGCCCAGCGTCAACCAGTGCATGATCTCGCGCTCTAGAAGCCACGCCGCGGCTGTGTCAGGTGAGCTCGCAGACGCCAATTTCACGGGCGCAAGCACCAGCTGAAGCAAAAGGCGCAGCGCCTCCTCTACAATATCCAGCTCCTGTCGAAGCTCGCGACCGCGGTCAGCATTGGCAGTGGCATCGCTGGCATCCGTTTGTGTATCATTCGGCGAGCTCAGTCCCAGTATAGATGAATTACGGATTCCAAACGGCAAATGATGAAAGAAAAGGCGCGTAAAGCTCCCGTGGGGAAGGAGCATAGCCCCCAGTTGGCAAAGGAACACGTCGGAGTGAAGACCGAAGAATCGCCAGTGTTTGGAATGATAATGAACCAACTGCTGCAGCATCACCCCGCCATTTCGAGTCCAAAGACCTGCTTTAATCTCTCTCGAAAAAAGGAGCACACGGAGTGGGTGATCCAACACACTATACCAAAACGCCAAGTCTTTTTGCTTTCCCGTATCCGTACATCCCATGCCGAGCAAATCGCGCCAATCGTCCAAAGTCTGAGGACGCACCACACCGCACAGAGCGTGAATCAGTGCTGCGTACATTTGATTGAGCGGAAAGTGAAAACTCTTTGCGCTTGCGCCAGACAAAGCTGCTGTTCCTTGCTCATAATACTTCATGAGCTGAGCGGTCACCTCCGTCGCAGTCGCAACTTCTCCACGATCAGCGTGCGACTCTGCTGCTTCCGCAGTGAACTCAGGTATTCCGTTGCGGTTTATCCACTGAGCCAACGCTTCCCTTACGGGTTGCAAAATTGCTTGAGCCAGTGCAACGGGTCGAAAAGTGTCCATTTCTAGCGGACTAAACCCCGCTCCACCCGTCATTACTCCTGTCGCTCTTTGCTTCCGCATGCTGTCATCCGCTGTAATCGTCTGCCACACCTCACGCGAGAAGCACGCGGGAACGCCGGTAAGAAAAGCGCTGAGCAACAGTTTGAGCTCGTAGTCTGCCACAAAAGCATACGTCCAGTTCTGCGACTCGTACTCGATATGCCGGTGGATGTGACGAGTCTGCAAGTCCATTTGCTGAAGCAACTCAAAGGCTTTCATGAGCTGCGCGAACACTGATGCCTCGTGAAGAGCACAGTCTTCTCCGCCAATGCAGCGAAAAGACCTCAACAATACTTCCGCTGCAATCTGTGGATGTACCAATAATGTTCGTAGATCTGAGCACAATCGCGCATAGATTCGTTTCTTGTACACATTTCTTCCGCAGTCCACCGTCTGGACAGTTCGTAAAACTGGAGGAGCCTCCGGCTCAGTTCCTAAGCCCACAGTAGATGTGCTGCTACCGTTTGTGCTGCCAATGACAGGTAAGCTCCCATCAATGCAAGGCTGAGGCAGGATTGTCATCAACCGGAGAGTACTTCGAAATAAATCATTGAGCTTTTCCAGCAAGAACACCATCAACCACTCGACACAGGATGACGGCGTCAAATCAGTTGCTACAGCAGCAATTCCATAGACGTGGTCGACATGCCGCCGTCGCCGACGACCATGGGTTCGTTGGTCCTTGTGTACGGCATTACAACCTTGTCGCATCGAAGCAAAGACAGTTTCTAGTTCACGCAGTTGTGCATTGCTGTGGAAAAGCTGACAGAATAGCCGATCGATGAATCGAGACAGGTTTCGCATGCCGTCCTCGTTGTTTGCGTCGCTGGCAGCCAAGTACAGCTCTATGAAATACGGATACCACTCGACAAAGTGGCAAGTATACATTTGCTTGAACGATTGGTCAAACAGCAGCTTTAGATATAGCACGCCAAGCACATCGCACGTCTCAACAGGCAGCAATACCCCTGCTTTTAGGAACACATCAATCATTAGCAGTGGTTCATGCGCTAGTGTGTCTTCTTCCACTTTCTCATCATCCGATTCGTCACTTAGCGGCATTGTGTCGATCGGTCCTTCCTCAAACTCCCCTTCCCGAGAACAAGTTTCGGCCGTACCCGCAAGAGCTCGAGCCGACACAACAGCACCATTCAGGTGAAACTCCGCTGGCAACTCTTCAAAGAACATACCCGAGATAATCTTCCGATACTGCAGACAGCTCATCGACAGCATTTGCAGCCACGTGAGTGTCTCTTGCATTCTATCCACGTACACCTTGACTAGTGGCGAGAGCGATGCACGCAGCACGCCAGTTCGAGGCAACCCCTTACGTGACGCCACACGATCGTGTGCACGTGGTTTCAAGCACGCAGCGTACACTAGCCGCAACGTCTCGACACAAAACCCCATACTTGTCCTCACCACCATCTGCACCACAGCATACTCTTCTGCGCCCATATCCATCATCCTCGGACCGATTCCACCCGTATCTGCTTGTGCAGCACAATGTTTCTTGCAAAACCCTTGCGGTTTCCACGCCAACGCGTCGCCACAGTCACAACAGCCACCGGACGAACAGCGATACACTCGATAGTCGTGTCCCTCGTGCTCGTCCGGGTCGAAACACGTCAAACACATGCAGCTCGAGTCCGAGAGGCCACACGTGCGACAGCGGTAGGCCATGTGGTCGCCGTGCCACACTTCTTCGCACTTCAGGCGCTTCACACTGCCATAATGGGTCGCTACGCAGGCAGAAAAGCGCGCCACGCGCTGTGATTCGGCAGCTGTATAGTCGACCGGGTTACCGAGCAGCTCCGACTCGTTTGACGGCGATTGGATGCCGCATGCGGCAGTAGCGTCCACGTATGCGTCGTGCGACGTCGCGTGGGCGGCAATAATCACTTGGACGAAAAATGACAATAGCGAGGAAAATGTATCGAGTCTCTGATTGGCTAAAAGTCGTTGTATCAAAACACGTTGAGTTGCGCGAGGCGTGGCGAGGAATGCGGTTACGAGGTCACGCTCATGAGAAGCAGCAGGCGCGACATGGACGGTACAGTGCGCCACGATGCGTGCTTCCAGTGCAGCATCGACGACGGGGCTGCTCTCAAGCGGCGGTGCGGCTGCGACAACGTCTGCGTCCGGCTCGGCTGCGGTCGTCGTCGCCATGATTGGATACGTCGGCGACGAGGTGCTCACCGGTTTTGTACCGGTTTTGTTGATCTCTCGTCTGTCCACGGGGTCCGTTTTGGGTCGAGGACTAAAAAAGAAGAGAAAATACACAAAAGAAAGCACGGGGGCAGAGACGATCGTCGGGTACTGACTTACGAGAAGGCGAAACGAAAGTTTTTGTGTCTGTGAGATTTCCTCTTCATCATCTCGGAAGGTTACGGTCGAACGTGCTGTTTCAGGTGGTGCACACGATACGTGAGTTTCGCCACCTGCGTCTGTAGAGCATCGCGCTCTCTACGGGCGTCGTCCCGTTCTTCGCGCACCTGGTCGAGACACGGGTCGTCCTTTTGCATCGTGTCTACGAGCCAAATCAACACCCCCGTGACGGCGTCAGTCAGTTGTGACATCCCTCTTTTGAACGACCACCCCGAGATTTCAGAAATCATCAAAGTTGAAAACAGAGTGAGGAAGGGAGGCATGCAGCATTTGGCGTACCTCGAATAGCCCGCAGCTTCAGCAGTAGCTGCTCCTGATACCCGCGCAGGTCGGCGGGACCTACTGGCCCGTCCACGTGTTGCTTGACCTCTTCCTTCACTCGCTGCTCGACAATGTCGGTGCGGTGCAACAGGTCCTATATACGGGGGAAAAAGAGGGAGAGGGAGGGGCATTAGGACGAGCCTGTGGGAGCTCTAGGTAGTACAAGAGACGTCTCTCTTTCTCTGTAAGGAGTAAGAGTTAAGTAAAGTAAATGACTTGTATATTACCGCGCACCAGACGCGTTTCGGCCCCCCGCCGGGGGCCTCATCAGTGGTTTGTCAATCTACAAGTGAGAACTATCCATACGTCTAGCTGCCGTACGACCTATAATAATGCATAGAACCCTAAAGAACATTCTAGACATACCCTATCATGGGTCGAATCTCTGGAGTCGAATCCAGTGCATCATGCACTTACAACATTCTCGTACGTCGAGGTCCATGCTGACTTGGTCGAGAGCCTGCAGAGACAGATGTACGATGCAGTAGAGTAGAGTACAGCAGAGTAGATGAGGTAAGAGAGGTTGCAAAACAAGGACTGAATCGAACGAGCCATGGAGATTGAGACCGAGCGCACCTTCGAGTCTGTCATTCGCTTGTTCCTTTCCACGCAAATCGACGTCTGTGACGGTCACCAATCAAAGGGGAGCGAATGTGCTTATTTTTTAGTGATATTTGCTTCTGTTTAAGTAAAAAGCGAGACATTACAGGCTGAAGTGGAGTGAGCATTCATTCGACTAATCGCTCACTGTGCCCTGTGACAGCCCGCCAGTTCTTTGGTTGAGTGTGGATGGATCGAAGATGGCTGGAGCTGTAACCTCCTTACTGCAGATTCCGACAAAGGTGGCGATCTCTCTCCAGGTCAGATATATATAGATACCTGTGTCTCCGTTCGACGTGGTACTTTTGTTGTCCTCTTGAACATTCCTGGAGCTCACGAACTTCCTTGCGGTAGCCAACCACACTTGCTACTGCTAGTTCGAGGGGGCGCTGGGAGACTAGTGTAGACTAGCAGAGGTTGAGGAACTGGGACATTTTGTGGAAACGACTGTGAGCGCGGGAGCGGATTAGCGGATACGCAGACAGATTGTTCACCTCCGTTTATCTTTGGTGGTAGATTCTGCACACGGCGCGGCAGTCATCCTAGACGACCTGGGACGGCAGTGGAGCACCTTGAGCGTCCTGTTCAGCGTTAATTGAAGGAACCCAATTTCGAGCTCGCGGTTACATTTAGACCGACGGATGTGATTGCTGCTGCTCGTAGTGCTTGCGTTTATCCGCGGGGTGCTGTCGAGCCCCGTGTATCACACGTCAAGCGCCGACATTCTTGGGCCATGTAGACGCGCGTGTGACCATTGCACAAGTTACTCGTGAATTCACTTCTCTACTGTACCAGAAAATGGCTTTGAGATGCCATTTATAAGACGACAATCAGTGCTGCGCTGCGCTCTTGGTACGTGATGTGGCCGAAGCAGTCACTGTCGTACTATTATCCAGCTTGGGCCTTAGAAGTCACAAATGTTGCCATCATGTTGTCTTCTTCCTTGACTGAACAATATCTCCAATTCGCTCGGCCTTTTCGCTTCACCTGCCTCGGTAACATGCTCATGGCATTTGAGAAAGCGAGCGATCTGTGTGAGCCAGAGGGCAAACCGGGAACTCCACACGTTTGTTGTGGCTAAGACGCGCTACCAGATGACTACAACAAGCAATATCCTACAGTCTCGTTCGATGTCGTTCATTACCATTGTAAACGGAGGTCCATAGCATTAACAAGTCTGGAGTCTATCTGGCTGTGGCATCGACGTGAAAAGTTCACGTCTGGGTTTGTGGCGGTTTGAGGCTCTTTGCATCGTGTACATCTCATCACTGCCCTGTCTCGGCATCTACCAGCGGATCGCTAACGAACACACTATCGGTCGCTGTCCCGTGTTCCGTTGTCTAGATGCAGGCTAACATCTCTTGCGTATCAGACAGATAATCGATCGTACATGAGAACGCCATTCGCACTTGGCCGTCACGAATCGACGTGAGTATTAGAGTGAATACGCATGAGCGGCACATCTCGAGCGTTCGCTCGTTCGGCTATCTTCATTGACAGCTTACATTTGTCGTCATCATGAACGACACATTCTCCAATCCAAGACGCGCGTGTCAGGTGCTTGCTCCACTGTGGCCGTTTGCTGCATGGACCAGGCCCGTTTGTGCAATCCGCTCGCTTGACCATCGTTCAAGAGATGCATGCCACGCTTGCGTTGCAAATCGCGTCCAGCGTGATACGTCGTCCGTGCATGAAGTCGATTAGTTCGTTACAGTGGACCCGTTGTAATCAGCACTCCTCTCCTGTTTGTAAGCATCTACTCTCCGGATGTTTTACGATACGGACCAGTTGCTCTCACGGTTAAGACTACCTGCACTTCCCCCTTCGACGTCGCCCACGACGCTCTCGAACGAAATCTTTGCATGCTGAAGCACGTCCGACACGTCTCGTAGGTCTCCTAACAACCGAAGCAAAGCCGGTATGAACTCGATACTTGTTGAAAACCGCACGACGCGGTCACTGTCTTCGTCGAAGAGAAAAGTCACGGAGCAGCTACAATCGAGGCGCTGGTCCAAAAGGCGCTGGTACAGTCGATTGCGGTCGCCTTGGACTCGATCTTGACCTGACACGTCAACCAAGTGCGGGAAAACGTGGCGCAGCGTGAGCTTGGTTATTGTCACGCTCAGTGTCGCTTGAGCAGCCATGACAATAGGAGTCACAGCCTCGATCCGTTGCAGCTGTAGACTCGGAGTACCAAAGTTATGCGAGTACAGTCGTAGCTGCTCCAGCAACTCGTCAAGTCCTTGCAAGTCCCCCATTGCCACGTCGTGTGCAAACGGTTGCTCCAACACAGCGATGATGTGCCGAGTCTCGGTGTACCTTTTCATCTCTCGAGTGCTGGTCATCCGCCACGGAGAGCAGAAACTAGCCTCGATGAGTCGAAAGACTTCGGTCGTGATCGACCACGGACTCTGGTGACTCCTCTTGCGCGACGACATATCTCGAACCTGTCGTTTCAACGTGACGAGCTCGTTCTTCAGCTGCCCGACACTCTTCTCGAGCATCAGCTGCGCATGTCGCTGCTTGTCACGGTAACGAGCCTGGTTCGCTCGGCATTGCTCCCGTCGACGAGCGTCATGCTGCTCAGCGCGTCTTCGGTCGTAAGGTTTGATGCCTTGATCGAGACTGTTGTCAGCGACTGAACTCGAAGCCGAGGACGTCTTCTCACCGATCGATAGCTGCATCCGTCTATCGGCAGTCGTGCCAGTGAGGTAGAGCAGTGCACCAGACGCCTCCCGTTTGGCTCTGAATTCGTCGACGAGCGAACCCAACGAAAAGCTGGCGGTGTGTTGTGTCAGGAAGTATGGGCTTGGCAGCATCGTGTCTACAACGTCCGTGTATTGACGACCGGCAGGAGCAAGCGGATGAACGAGACCCACGAAGTTGTCGACCAGCGGACTGGGTGCAGAAGGAAAGCAGTTCATGGCTTTCGGTTTGTTTTGTAATGAGACGATGAGAGAGAGAAGAGAGAGGAGAGAGAAGAGAGAGAGAGCTGAGCTAGCTTGTCGGTGAATGAGACGATTCTGTTCGGAAGTATCACGTGGCGTTGAGAGAGGGTTGTCGTCATCAATGTCTCGACAATGTCACGGGAACGATCATGGCAGGAGGATCGGAACGGATCCTGAACCCGGTGCTCGAAATCGCTCATCCTGCAAGAAATATTCACACAGCCGTTGTTATAGACCTGCCTGTCTTGACCAACAACTGTGCCGCCTTGATGCAAGGACAACAAAATGGCCAGAAAGCGGCTATCATTCCTTCAAACGCCAGGGTCGGCGCGTCCGCATCTTGCGCGTAGCTAGACAATTCGTTCTCCCCTCGTTGCATCATGCAAGTACTTGTTCCCAAGCAGCGTTACGCATGCAAAAGGCCGTGGATCCAGGAAGTGAGAAACTACGTTTGACGTGGCGACACTGTATCCTGTCGGAGGCCATTGTCAAATCGAGCCCGTGTCGTGTTTTGCACGGCGACGTCCCCTGAGGTACCACGCCTTCGAGGACGCAAAGCCGGCGCACGTCGAATGGTTCATGGAGGAGCAGATCCACGGCGGTACCTCTGACCTGGTTAAACAGCACTTCAAATTGGAGACAATGAAGGAAGGACACCGGAGGTCGAAATGTTTTTGATCCCTTGCTGTGTGAAGATGACAAAGATGACGAAGTGAAATAGTTTCCACCACGCGCCAAGCAAAGCTGGCAAAAGCCGCCACGATTCCAGCATAAGCGCTGGAAACAGTTCGAAGCTTGTCGTCTAGTAGCTGCACCGCATGGGGTCGCGTTTCTTGAACGTATCGTGAAAACGCAGCCATTCAACCACCTGTAGTCCAGCTCAAATCGAGGTGCGGCAATCGCAGGTACCAGGATCCAGTCTCTTCTTCTTCTTGACGTGTTGCGTATCGTTGCGTTGGTACTACCGAACGTCCTGAATCCAATGATACAAACTCAGTCCTTTGTCTTTCTCAAGGACCGCTCGCTCATGTCCACATCGCTTCAACAACACGAGCATCGCTTTCGATGTCATTACATGCAGCTTACGCACGTCCAACGACCTCCAGCCACAGTTGAGACACTCGGTCATGCAGCTGCCATAAAGAGAACTCGATGTGGTTCCCGAGGTGACCAGATAGACGTGTTGCTAAGGGGTCGTAAGCGATTACGACCACGGACGCTCTTCTGCCTGTCCTCAGTTCTCCCTATCCACGCGGGAATGCTGGCCAACGCCAACCACCAAATCGCCAGCAAATTTTCCGCAGAAGAACCCAGCAACGCACTCCAGCAACAGCCTCAGCAGGCACAAGCTTCGAAGACGAGGATGCCACTAACAGACGTGGCATCTAGCTCCCTTACCACGCGTGGATACCGCGAGACAACTGGCTGTCAATGATAGCAGACAGCCCTCACCTTCTGTACTACTATTGATCAAGCCGGTATGGAAAAGGGCGTGACTGGCAAGCGCATCGCACACGGGGGAGGTCCAAGTATCGCAGAAGGCGCAGTGATCGTCACGAAACGTAATGGCCATCGGTAACTCCGTGACGGACAGCAAGAGGTGAGCCCGACACGATGAGCAGAAGGGTTCACGATCAAAAACACGCGTATGCTCTCAGACTTGTCCTCGTGTGACGAGAGCATTCCAAGTTGGCGTGCACCTTCCGCAAAAGTCCGTCGCGGTGCTGGGAAGATCATCTGCGGACGATGCGACACGGGTGAGCTTCCAGGAGCTGAGCGTTGATCGAGCACCTTCAACCCGATTCCAAGTGCTTTGGTAGGAATGGTCAAATTGTGAGTCGGGTGGGTGTGCAGGTAGCTCAAGCGAACAAGTCCGACAACGCTGCGGAGTATGCTTCGCCTGAAGCTGGCAGTTGTGCTGAATGACAATGTAGTGTCCTCGTCAGCGCGATGAGCTTAGCTACCGAATGCGATCATACCGACGTGACCTTTGCATCCGTCGATCACCGAGGACAACTGCGAGGCTTAAGCTATACTTCCGTCTCACTGATACCATTAGTAGCACCTTGGCCAAACGAAGCGCTCCAACCAAGAAACCAACGTTGTTTGCAGCACACGTGCTGAAGTTCTTCGAGAACTCCTGACCGCTCGGTACACACCCACAGTTTGTTGCAAATTGCAAAGAGACATTGAACCGCCTGACCAGGTCTCGTCTTGCACATCTTCCTTTCGTTCACGTCGTCTCGTTATCACTTCAAGAGGAAGTCCCTGTCCGTAAACATTCATGTCAAACTGCTGGTTGTCGCAGGGGACACACGGATACCGGAATACGCCCATCCAGCGGCTAGTTCTCTGCAGATATGACGCCATGGCTGCGTCGTGCATGTCCTTAGGTGATCCTGCAGTCGAAGCAGATAGAGAATTTGAAAGCGTTCCTGCTGCTGGGCGAAACAGAAGAAACTGCATGTAGCTGCGAGGAACTCGAACCAAGGACTTCCAGCTGAGGTTCTGGCTGTTGATAGACTCATCCGTTGATCACACGTCTCGTGACTTTTTCTGCAGGTGGCCTTCCTCACCGAGATTTGAGATGTTGACGACCTGCTCCCGCTGACCTTTCGTGCTCATGAAGCCGGAAGACATCCGGTTCGCATTCGCGTCGGTACCGACAACTCGGGCGCAAAGAAGGACTCTCCTGCATTCTCGACTCTTTACCTGAGTCCGTTGGAGGATACGATCATATAGACGAAGAACCGCCCAGGCTGCATCCAATCTTCTTCATGCAGAAGACGCTGTCATCTCGCTGTCCTTGCTTTACAATTGGCGTCATCCATGCCGCAAGTAGACAGAACTAGCAGCTGCTCGCGTGGGAATACCCATGTGCGGTTCGGAATACATTGCGTGTCGTATCAAGCTCATCTTCGTCGTAAGGTCAGAGACCAAGAGACGCAGATGAGCGTTCAAGTTAGCCTTGAAAGTACGTGCACATCGGTGCTGCATTCTCCCACCGAAATAGTGTCGACACAATGTGTTCGCGACGATGTGCTTGTCGCGGGACAAACAGGAGCAACAGGGCATCCCTGTGTTAGTGCTGCATCGATCGGATATCGAGTCGCAACTACGATGCCTTACAAAAAGGAGCGACCTTGTGATGCACAGATGTTGTGAGCCTTAGATATCTTGGCATCCCATAGCAAAGAGCCCGTTCGTCCCATTTGAAAGCAGGTATAGCGCCAGAGCTTCATCGCAGTCAAGTCGTCCGTGCTAGCGAACCCAAAGAAACGCGTTACGTTGATCGTACATTAAATGGCTGATGTCAGCGCGTATTCTGGGCTATGTGGTGGTGCAGAGTCGATTGGTGGTGTAGCTATGATGGCGGAAGTGTTCACGAGTGCGCTGAACAGTACCGTGGCAAGCTGACTAATGGTTCGATGGTCTGTCGCTATTCACCTGGGCATCTGGTGGGAAGTTGACCTGAGGAGGTTGTCGATGTATTTCATGCTTTCAAACTTGCCCTCGACACTTGTAAGACTCTTTGCTTTCTCCGTGAATACACGTGTGGACCAAATGCTTGTGGTGAGTCCAGAGCACCTTGCTACGGTTGGATGTAATGATCATGTGCGTGTCAAACGCACGTCGCGCGGCCGCACTCTTTCCACTCGGAGTAGGATAAGACGCTTCGTACAAGTCATTTACGATACACAGCTATACTCACGGCTCGCTCGTACAAGTCCGACTGCTTTCAGCTACTGAGCCCGAAAGGCTGATCCAAGAGACAATCGCCCGAGCTTGGAGACAACAACATCGGACTCAGTGCTCGTATAAGCCGTGGCTATTCATACGCATATCTTAATCGACCGGATGCCGTACCCGCCTTGGACACATTCCATTCATTCGAGACTTGCAACGAAGCCCAACCACTACGGGATACCTTCCTCCGACCGTGGCAGACGTTGGATAAAAAGGATTCGAGTACGATAGCACCGCACCTTCCGGTAGTGAAACTATCGTCAAAACCTTCAGGTGCATGGGCGATCATGAAAAAAACACGCACACTCGCCCCACAAACGCTGGGAGTTGTCACTGATCGGATGTACCATTAACTTTGGCGGCTTGGGATATTACGGACGATTCAAGCGGTACGGAGGCGACGGTGAAAGTCCCGATCCCCTCACTCGCATGATAACAGATAACGTGTCCTCCCCCTATTGCTGCACTTGAGACTCCACCAAGGAGCCACAGAATCACCCGTCAGCAGATATACGCACATTCGCGATCACGAGCATTGCATCAAGCTGCCCTTTTGCCTACAACGGCACTCTACATGCAGCCAAGACAACCACGAAAACGTACGCGGGCTACAGCGATCTACTGGTAGAACTACGCATACCATTTGTACAATGGCCACGTTGTTGGCAGTAGCTAACTCATTATTCAACACTTGACCGGGAGACGCTCACCCAAATTTCACACGTACGTGATGCTGTGAACATTGTCACACTATTGCTGATGCTCTTCAAGATCGTGCATTCGACACAGCCTCGACGACATCTCAATAACATGTCGGCCGCTATTGCCATGCATACCAAGCAAAGGAGCCCCATCCTTTTAACAAAGGACTTCATCACATGGAACATGGCATCGGTATCTCTCGGGGAGACGTCAGTCACTAGGTGTTGGTGCATTCGCCTCCAGCATCCAGACGAGGATGACACTAGGATAAAAGCTTGGGCATGTTACGCTAACTGCATCCTCTAACACCTTAGTTGTTAGCGAACCGCCAAGAGATGTCTAGAATCCCTGCAGTAGGACATTGACCACTTGTTAGTATTGCTAAATGACTGTGATGCACCTCAAAGTATCAGCTTCAAAGAAGGATGGGCATTCACGCAATTGCGTGATGCATGGACGATCGCACAGCACACCGAAACGTAAGACCATAGCTGCAAGGCATGCATACACCAAAGCAAGTACAAACCGATGACAGCCATGAAGCTACAGACGATGAGACTGTTACCGCTTATTCAAGAGCCCAGATTGAACATGGGCCAGTGCAAGTTTCGCATCATATCCGATACTAACTCGTTCTCGAGGTGACAAACCGATCGACCTCGAAATCAACTGACGAAAGCCAAGATACAATCTCCATCCCGACACAGTGCATAGCCATAGTGAAGTAACTAAGGATCGTGCTAGTGCACCAGCCACATGGTGAATGGCAACACTCTTGACCTCATCATGTTCAGATATCCTGGCGAATATTCAATGTAAACCCGTTTTTGACCTGTACTTTGATCAATAATTACCGCAAAGACAGGGCAGATGATGATTGATACTCTTCATGAGCTCGTAGACTACTTATATTTCCAATTATTACATGTCGTAGAGCGATACATGAGCGTGCAAAGACTCAAGAGCTTCATTATGCCTTCCTCGAGCTCTTCAGTGTAGTCCACAAGTTCCGAATGTTCTCAGAATCACTGCCTCCGGCCGATCCAACTGCTTCAATAATGTCGCAGTAGTGACGAAGATCACTCATCAGCTTGCTACAACTAGCATTGAAGCCCGCTCCATTCGCCATGAAGTGGAAAAGGTCACTGCGTACAAGCGTGTATAGCTTGTCGAGTCCCGGTTCTAGGTCGTTTAGGACCACAGGAAAAATCGGTCTCCCTTTGTCCTCTGCAAAGGCCAATTGATCGCGCACGAGTTCATTCCCAATCGTCTGTCTCGATACTAGAACCACAAAGCACGAACAGCGCATGATCGCTTCTTGTGCGACTTGAATCCTCGCGTTAAAATCCTGTCCACTGCGATTTTGGTCGCTATAGCAAGCAATCCCTCCATCCGTGAGCTGCAATGCCAATTGACGCACAAAAGCTACATGCTTGTCACCGTGCGAGAGGAACACAAATCGGCGGCCATGCGAAACGGAGAGCGTCGTAAGGCTGCAGGAATCGGTTCCTTGGGAAAGTTGTGTAGCACTGAATGTCTGAAGCATCGTGCCTCGGTTGCTGCCACTTTCGAGCTCCATACCGAGGTCAGTTCGACGACTGCTAGCCACGTTGTTGCGTCGAGTGACATGACGATTTTTCTCAATCTCGTCCCGCACACCATCTAGCAGCAAGTGGAACTGGAATCGGTATCGGCTTTCCTCATAATCATACTCCACTCGCCCTTCGTCACATCGGACACCGGTTATAGCAGGTTCAAATGGAACGATCTGACGCGTGTACAGGTACACTTGCAAGTCATCGTCAATACTAGCACCTTCGGTCGAGACGGCCAAGATGGGTGTACCCACCTGCTTGGCCAGTGCTAGCTCCTTTAAACACCATTCGGAAGCCGCGTAGTCCTCTGTGAGTATACAGAGCACTACAGACGCATTTTTGATTCCACGTGCTATCTCCTCACGCCAAACGGCACCGCCACCAATACCACTCGGGTCCATTAGATCCAACCACGTCGTGACATTGGCTTCCTCCAGTGACTGTCTCAGCTTCAGCGCAAACTCTTGGTGCGAGTGCGTGTAGCTGATCATCACATCCCGCTGACCCGCAGCGCGTTTGAGTCCAAAGAGCAGCCGCGTTGAGAGCGTGCAATCGAGCGGACGCAATCCTTCATTGTTCATGCGCATCAAATCACCCCCACATGCTAACGCTGCCAGAGCCGATGCCTCATTCTCCTCACGTACAGCAACATGCAGTACAGTGTCACCCGTTGTTGGAAGCTGGTAGCTAATATTACCTCCTGCAGCCGTCAGCTCACTGAAAAGTTCACGAGATACATTTCGTGCAGAGGCAGCACACATGAGCGGTGTCTTGAAGTCGCGGTCGAGTAAGTTTGGATCAGCATTGGCACGAAGCAGCGATCGAACGACGTCCAGTTTGTTGAGCTGAGCTGCCCAATGTAACGGCGAGCGACCACGGACGTCCTGGAAGTTCGGGTCGGCTCGTCCTTCCAATAAAGCGTCGACAGCCCCAGTTGATCCACTGATAGCTGCCCAGTGCAACGGAGTGCGTCGATTGAGTCCAACATATCCCATTTCTCCCAAACAATTCACATCCGTCTTCCATGCTACGAATCGTCGTACTGCAGCCACATCATTGCGAGCCGCAGCCAGGTGAAACGGTGTAAGTGCGACGTCGCTGCCCCATTCCTCCAGTTCACGAGCAACCGCAAAATTGCCACGGATATAAGCAAGTTGAACTGGCGTGATCGTATTCATGTAACCCGGATCAGGAATCACCAACGGGTCCGCACCATGAAGCAGCAACTCTCGAGCGATTTCAGCATGTTCAGCAAGGAAAAGAGGGGGGATGCAATTCGATCGATACGATGCTTTTGCGAGTGTCCCAGGTGGGACCCCTCGTTCCAGTAGCCACCGAACTGTTGCCAATTGTCCCATTGCAACGGCACAATGCAGTGGGGTCACGAGGTTCGTGTGAAAGATCGACTCGGCAGATTCGGAATCGCTCCCAGCTGGACGTTTGACAAGCACCTGCACGAACTGCCAAAAGAGACCACCCGTTGAGATTGCAACGCGCTGGATTTTGTCCAGAGCAGTCATATCAAATCCGTATCCATCCAGGAGCTTCAGCGCCCGGATATTCCCGAGACTCGCAGCGACATGCACGGGATTCTCTGTCGATCGCGCAAAGAATTTCCAGCGAATCCGTGGAGCAGCATAGAATCGCTGCGGAAACCCAATAGTGCGATGCATGAGTCCATTTTCGTTGGCATACTCGAGAATCTCGCGCATTTCGTGGAGATCACCTCGACGGGTGGCATGATACAGTCGCGTTCGGACGACTGCAATCATTTTCTTGGCCGTATCGAGTTTCTGGTGCGACCGTAAGCGAACCTGCTTTCGGAAGTCCCCGGTTTGGTCATTTTCCGTGAACGCCCCAAGCTGCATCTTGATATGTTCCCGGTATCGCGCGAAATAGTAGAGCACGGTGAACAACCCGGAGTAGCAAAACGCGGCACCGACAGTGAACGCCTGGGTAACAAAGCTCGAGCACGAACTCAGCGCTCCTGTAGAGAGCACATACAGGAAATAGAGCACCAGTCCAGCATCGACGAAAAGCATGAGCACTGCAAGGACTTCACACAGTTGAAAGACGAAACAGCGTCGAATCGTCGCAACTCGTGCGCAGTCCCGCTCGGTTTCCACACTATTGGCCTGTGTACCGCTTGCTCGACTGGCTGGTCCACCTGGCCTTGCTTCCTCCCGCTGGAAAGGCTTGAACAGCCCAAGGCCGGAGCCTGGTAAGGTCAAGACAATGGTCGCTGGCAACGTCTTGTAAATGAGGTAGGAGAACGTCGCGACGCAATCGCAGTCTTCGTAGTCGTCCGCGTGCATGTGGTCATCCAGCCAGGGCTGGACGAACGCTCGATAGAAGAGGTAGCCAGCAATCAGGCAAGCGGAGAGGACCATGCCTGCCCGCATGAGTTGCCGGGCAAAGAACGAGTTGTCGAGGACTTGGATCCAGTGCCAATAGCGGGGCAATTGGCCCCGGAGACTCGCAATGTTGGCGTAATGACGTCGCTTCATCTTGATCCAAAGCGGTTGGTCCGGTGAGGGCGACTGCACGACTTGGTAGGACGACTGGGACGTGGCACTCGAGCTGTCCCGGCCGTTCATGTGGAGGAGGAAGCGCGAGGGGTGCGGGCGGGCGGGGAGAGACACGTCGGCGGCCCGAAGCGCGCCATGGCCAGAAGGAGGCAGGCGGGGAGTGCTCCTGTGACTGCTGGCAAAGGCGGCGTTGGAAGGGGTTGACACGGTCTCTCCGGGACTGTTGATGGTGTTGTTGCTGTTGTTGTTGTTGTTGTTGTTGTTACCGGTGGAGGTCATGAAGAGGAACGAGAGGAGGAGAGGAGGACTGTGAGTGTGGGTGGGGCTCCTCTGTCTGCTGCTTGTGGTGCGGAGAAGGAGAGCGAGCACCTCAATGAGCCAGCGCAAGACCGGGCAATGGGGATTGGGCGGGATGGCGACGCCCGATTTGGCAGATTCGGCCAGGATCATGAGGGTGAGGATGAGGATGAGGCTGATGGGTGGAGCGAGAGCGGGGACAGGGAGCTGCGTGTGCAGTGAGGAGGTTGTGACTGAGGGCTCATGACGGCGAGTGGGACTTGCAGTAGTCGTGGGAGTTCGACCGAGACGGTGGACGACGTCCTTGTGAAAGTTGGGATTCCACGTGGATGCGACGTCTGGCTGCTGGTCTTTTGCTTTTCCGTGGGTGGGGGCGCCCCTGAGCTGGAGGGAGTGCCAGGATGTGAATGAATGGCTGCTGCCACTGAATCTCGTTCTGATCCGAGGAATGTTCGACCGGTGGTGAGTGACAAGACCTGGTGGACGAGGTCCTCGGCGACGACAGCACGGGCAAAAGTCGAGCGACAAGGACCTCGTGCACACAGTTGGTGCGATAGCGCTATTCGAGTGCTAGCGCGACATTATCAGAAAGCGCTATGTACGCGATAACGCTTCTCGATGACTGCGATACTCGAGCAAAACGCTGCACTATTGGAAAGCGCTTTTGTATCTAAAATCGATGCTCTATCGATGTCACTACTCGATTAAAAGGCGCTACTTGTGCTACAGTTGTTCTAACCATGGCGCTTGCTAGGGCGGTCACGCTGCTCTAACGAATATCGCTAATGACTTTAGAAACAAACGTCACAGACTGGAGGGGGCACCTTCTAAACGTCGCTGTCGAAATCTTTCGATGCGCAATCAGCTGATTACCAGCAAGCTCGCCGTGTCTCATCTGCTGGCGATCACGTCGGTCCGATCGATGATGATGATTTCATGACCGTCTATTAACATATAATTATGCTAAAGATGTCTGAAAACTTTTAAGCCAGGACAATAGCTCCGGAACTGGTAGCTTGTCGTGGCTGTCACCTAAAGGTATCGGCCCATCCCGAGGTTCGAGAATAAAGAGGTCGATACAGGTATGCATGATAGCCCCGGCGACAGCTGTGTCGGGACCGCGATGTTCGCGTTTCGCTAACGCGGTAAGATGTCGAATTCCCAGCGCCCAAAACGCGCGGCGCTGTGGAGAGGCGTCGACTGCACTCCTCGAAAAACCGCGTCGTTCCGCTCATTCCATAGGTGGGTCAGACAAATGCTGCTCATAATAAACCAGAGACGCTTCCAAACCGCGACACCAGCCTCTAAGTCCTCCGGGAGCATATCGTAAATCCGAAGACGCTGCCTGGCCGGTATCTCCGGCGCGTGACGATTCACACTCCCGACGAACCTACGCTCTCCCCCCGGCCTCCCAGCCCGTTCTCCTGTCCAATGGGTAATGAGTTGACCCCAGCACGCGCGCGCCTTGGGGCAGTCCCAAAAGATGTGAGCCGGCGTTTCTTTGCAACCGTGACACGCCGATAACGCCCGGCAACTATTGTCCGCCGGACGGCCGGAATGGTACAAGTTGAGTTGCTTGGTGGCTATAGTGAGTGAGAAGGTGAGGTATATTTAGGTACGCGTACGACCTGCTATATCCTGTCATCCGGCAACAAAGTTACCTAATCGACCGCTACTTTATATACTAGGTAGCGCTAGTCCTCGCACAGCAGAGCGCCTACGCGCAGACTCCTGTCTCGAGATAATCAGGTTCCTCGAGGTCAGCCCGGGGCCCTGTATGACGAGTTGATGGTCGGCTTGAGAGGTCTCCAACCAATGATTGACATCAGTGTCAAGGAAGTTTAAAGCCTCCTGGACCAGACCTGGGTTCGAGATAGCGTGCGTTTGAATAGAAGATCCCGTGTCCATAGCGATATTTGCCAGTCGATCCGCCATTTTGTTGAAGGTGCGGTATTGATGTCCCCAGCTGGCGACATCAATATCGTTAGCGATGGCACGTGCTTCGTTGAATAAACGCACCAAGTGCGGCTTGCGTGGAGGGTGTTGTGTTCGGAGTTAAGAAAGTACAAGTGCACTGTCCCCAATGACGTGCAGGGGTGAGTAGTCGCCTGTCTTTGCTTGCCGAAGACCATGCACGAGCCCCCAATATTCAGCGACATTGTTAGTAGTATCGGCAGATGCATAAGCCATACTTGATACCCACAGAACGCATGCGGCGTGAGTCGGAACGTGTAGTCGTACAATCACAGACCCGGCTCCACGTGGACCTGGATTTCCGCGGGACCCGCCGTCAAAGAAGAGGGGGTAAAGCTCGCCAGGGAGCCGGTCGATAGGCCGGACTAGTAACGAAGGAGGTTCATCGTAGCAGAGTAGGGTATCAGCCAAGGCCGACCGTACCTGCGCAAACAGTTGCCCATCTTCCCCCATCTCGGGCTGATAGGTTGATCGCCGAAACTGTCTGACCGACCGACGAAAGCTCGTCTTGGCGCTGGCTATGTGCACCTCCTGTGATAACGACGAGTCTTCCATGCGGCGGAGGCGCTCGACCCAGATTGCATGAAGGGTCGTTGATACGACAAAACGCCACAGCTCTCTAGCTGCCGGAAATATAGCAGCCTGAGCTTTTGATAAATTAGTGCCTGGGTCCATGGATTGCTTAATTACATCCCAGGCGTAGGGTGGAATCGCCGGGAGGTCCAGGCCAAACACCCAAACATTCAATTCAGCCTCCTGGAAAGTTCCAAGCCATCGCCACCGATCAAGGAGAAACTCCCAGTGACGACGCGCACTAGAGCATGTCCAAAAGATATGGCTTGCCAGAGCTGGACCAGCATTCGCACACTCAGGGACCGGGCAAGACAGATCTTGCTTCGCCCAATTCCAGAGCGGAAAACTGTTAATCTTTAGCCTATACAGCGTCTGAGCGTTTGTCGGAAAGGACGCTCGTATTCGTCGAATGTCCCTCCAAGTAATCAATGTTGTACCTTCCGAGATCACGTGAAAGTCCGTCGTTGCCACACGTTTATCAAGAAGTCTAGTCCCTACAGCACGGCGCCGCCGGGTGATAATCTGTTTCAGTTTACGTCGTTGCGGCCGCCACCTTCGTCGTCCAGCCCACATGTGGACAACGCGAGTAAGCGCCGGATGCACTCCAAAGTGAACAGGAGACTTACTAGCTGTTGACGCGGCTATATCGCATGCCGCCATCGACGCGACCGGTTGCACTCCACATTCCATGCCCGTATCGAAATGTCTGAGCGACTTACCGTCACCAGTTAGAAGCCAGTCATGGAACTGGTGCACCTTTGTAGAGTATGCAATCACAGACCCAGGCTCCAATGGTCGATATACCAGTGACGGGAAATTGTAAAGCAGCGCGAGGCAGAAGGACCCAAAATGCCGTCGCTTTGCCATAGCCTGGGACGCCATGTCACGCGTAGGAGAGAACAAGACCATGCCACTCTGCAGGGTCGTCCACGTCATTGTCTCGCCAAGGTAATTCAAGTTTCGCGCAAATTCGGCCCCGTTCAAGCTGTATGCCTTACCCTGTCGATCTCTGAGCCACGACATATGCTTAAGCGTGGCGTATGCCAGCCACCGGTGGTCAAATCGCCCTGATGCTGCTACATCAGCTCGCATCCCAACGCGCAATCTGTCATCAATAACCCGCCGAACATCAATTGTGACACTACTGTCTTCATTATAGGCGACTGCTGCTCTCGACGTAAACGACAAGGCTCGTCTACAGACCTCGCTGACCGCACCTTGGCGTGCATGTTGAGCCGAAGAAAGTCCAACAATTTCAGACCCGGTTAGCCAAAGCGTCGCGCGATATCGAGGGAGCTTGTCTTCCGTCCAACAAGGCGTAATGTAAGCCGTACCCGACCCGGTAGATCCCCATAAGAAGTCACCAATTAGTAAGTCTCTCGAAGAGACAGTAGCAGCCCATTGTCCAACTGCTGTTGCCGCCATCGTTATTAATTCCGTCCGAATACAGGGAACCGCTAGTCCTCCCTGCTGGATAGGTAAGGCCGCTATCTCGGAAGATACCCAGGGTCTGGATCGCTTTATATCTCGGACACCCCATACAAAGTCCATTATTAAGCTGTGCAACCGGGTAACCACTGCGGGAGGAGGCCAACAGTGCCGTGCTAAGAAGTTAATTTTGGGCACCGCGATAGCACTTGCTAGCAGAGCACGTTGTTCCACTGTGTGCGTCTTCTCGCGGGCTAAGACAAGTCGGCTCCATATAGAACGTATGCACTTATTCCAGTTATCGGCCACCGCGTCCTGTTGTCCCACCAATACACCAAGATACGTGCAAGAGTCACTAGGGGCCTGCAGAGTGAGACCACAGGTGCTAAAAGGTTGCTCTGATCCGCGAGGGTCCAGCTCAATGATCATTGATTTCGACCGATTCGTCCAGAGACCCGACACATGAGCAAATTCCTCTAGAATAGCTACAACAGGCGTAACCGAGGACCGATCGCGAAGGTAGACAGCAGTATCGTCAGCGTATCCCGATACTTTGAACTCTGTAGCCCGCCCTTTAATGGAGATAGGCACCCCCCGAATGTCCTCCCTCGCTTGTAGCACCCGATAGACACTATCGAGGGCTAAAATAAAGAGAAGTGGCGCAAGGGGACATCCTTGCCGTATTCCACAAGTAACGTCACGTCGACGAGAGCGGTATCCATTCACAAGAAATCGGCAGGTAGTGTCGTGGTGTAATGCTGCCACGACTGATACGAAATGAGGCGAAAACCCAAGCCATGTCAGAGCCGAAAGCAGATATGGACGTTGCAACGTGTCGTAAGCCTTGGCAAAATCGAGAAGTAGCACAATGGCTCCATGTAGGCTGCTGTCCAAAGTCGCAGCTTTGCGTATCGTCGCGAAAATGTCAAGAGCTGTATGGATCGACCTCTTTGGAACAAAACCAACTTGAGCCGGCAAAACGAGATGCGACAATAATGGCCGTACCCGAAACGAAAGAATCTTGGTAAATAACTTGTAGTCGCTGTTGAGGAGAGCAATCGGGCGATGATCGAGCGGCAAGGCGGAGGACGCAGATTTCTTCAAACACTGAATGTTCGCTTCACCGAAGGAGGACGGGAACACGCTGCACGTAAGCCATCTGGTGTAGAATGTAGAGAGTACTGGACTGAGCGCTTCCGCGTAATCTCTGTAAAATGTGTTGTTAATTTCGTCCGGTCCCGCGGCTTTCCCACGTTTCAGCCTCTTTAAAGCCGCACTCACGTCATCGGGGGAAACGGCCGACATCACAGTAGTGTCATCAACTGGTCCTGGCGGGACTGCCCGGGAAAGAAAAGTGGCGGTAGCGTCGGGACAGGCAAAGGAATGAGTCATAATACGCTCCCAGCCATCCGCCATTTCATCAGCCAGCTCTTGAGAATGATTTGGCCCGTATGCAGCCTTTCCGCCCAAAGAAAAAATGGTGTTGTCTTGAAATTTAGTCGCCACCCGGGCGAAAAAACATCGAGATGTTTCTCCAGGAGTATACGTGTGCTGAACAAGAAGGCGCTCTTTTTTGGATCTCTGCCATAAGCGTCGACACTCCGCAACATTACGCCGCAGTCCAACCGGAGTATCGGTGGTGCTAGGCTTGTTGCAGTCCTTATGAGCTCCTGGTGGTGAGTTATCAAGTGTACGCGCCACCAATAGAGCTGCGTCCAGTCTTACATAGAGCCGACGTAGCCGCTGCCGATAGCTTGTTGTCATACCTTGACGCGCGGTCTTGGTCGTCGCCAAAAGAACTTTGCGAAGCCTGATCTTCCATTCATCCCACCAGTCGGCCAATCTACGGGCCGTGATATAGTCCGACGGCGGAACAGAAAGAGTATCGTCCGCTTTAAGCTGTGCCAGCTTAATGGCCGCAACAATTGCTTTATGCGCGGCTGTGTTTGCACAACCTGGAACAGGGTACACGTGCCTCGGCTTACGTACACGGACCACATAACGCGGCACTCCAATCCTGATACTGATGCCATTGTGGTCAGCTGCTGGACCAGGAACTGACAAAGCAACGCCACGAATCCAATCAGCATGGCGAGAGCTCACATACCACCGATCCAGTCGGGAACTAGCCAATCCACCGCCCGGAAGAGTGTAGAAATAAGTGTGAGAGGCCGCATGAAACGCCGGTACATCTCTTTCTTCTTCGGCCATCTCCAGATCACCATCAAGAACATCGCTAAGCTGCACTCGGCCGAGAAGCCGCCGAAGCGCCAAGGAATCATGTCTTCCTGGCGGCGAGACAAAAGAACGGTCAAGTCGCGGCTCCAAAGTACAGTTGAAGTCCCCTCCAACAAACATGAGTCCTTCGTATCCCTGAAGAATAAGTAGAAGGCTCGAGAACAGCGCCTCTCTTTCAGTCTTGGTACTTGGGGCGTAAACGTTTACAACAAGAACTGTTTCGCCCATTAGACAGACCCGGACAGCCATCCAATGCTGTGTCCATTGATCCTCATACCACGGAACCATTTCCGTAATTGTTGAGTATGGGTTTAATAAAATAGCCACACCTCCACGAGAGAACTCGGACTCGGTCCACAACGAGCGTCCGAGTTTGTGCACGAATCCCCAGGAGGAGTTGTAAAGCTTGTCCAGAGGAGCTGCCTCACCTAAAGTGACCCGCGTTTCCTGTAAAAGGACCAAATCGATGATTCCCCTGGCTTCGCTCTGTCGGAAGTGGCTGAACCAAGTTGCGCAATGTTCCGGATTCTTGGGAAATCCCGCGACATTCTGCGAATGGATACCTATGCTGTTGTCGCGTGGAATATATGAGGTCTTAAAAAGGCGTCTTTGACGACGTTGTGGCATGTGCCGCGACGATGCATCCTCTAGCTCAGCCGAGACGCCCTCAGCACTAGCAGTTGACCATCTTTAGCGATAAGGTCAAGGGCCGGCTGCCAGTTGGCAGGTGTGCATATAATGCTAATCACCGCCGCGCGCACCTCTTTGGAGAGGTGATATAGTACAGCCTTGGTTTGCGGCATTACCACGTTCGTCTTAACCTCAATAGGTGCGAGCTTCGGGAGCAATAAACACAGAACATTGAGGACTCCCCACTGATCCAAGTCAGAAAGCGGTTCGACGACAGTCGCGCACAGCAAATCGGGCTGTAGCTTACTAAAGCGTCTCCAGCGTTGTATATTGTCCGTCGTTCTCCATCGAATATGACCGGTTTGCGCGTCTGCCGTGGCGGCCCAACCCTTGCACAGCTCGCGAAGTTCTTCATCTGCGTGTGTGGTGTGTCGCCGAATTACAGCCAGTTGAGATTCACTGTTGATGGAATGTCCAAAAGACCGTAGGGTTTCACCCGACATCGAGGCAAGGTAAGCAACAGGATAAGGTAGTCCACAGACGAGTCCCGCCAAGTCCAAGGAGCACGCGTTTATATAGGCCATTTGTCCCTTAGGTCCAACTGGCATTGTAGTCGGTAGTGCAGCCATCGCTTTGTGCAGGCTAACCCATTTGCGAATCGCCGCTGTGTTCAATGAAATTTGTTTCATGCTCTCCGGCACTGCAGCAGCCGCCACCGCAGCAGATGCGCTATCTGGAATTTTGCGAATCCTTGTTGCGCGTAAAGTCTGATCGTGAGGATCGGGAGCGCGACATTGTTCCATCGGGGACCGGACCGCTACCTGCGTACAGAGACCACCCATGCTAGCGGTAGGACGTGTTAATAAACTAGAGGCACCCGTGTCGGAAACGTCGATAACTCCAGACGAGGCCTTAAGCTCTTCCTCAATTGCCTTGGCTAGATCCGCTGGAATAGGTACACTAGCGGCACAGGGAGGCGGAGTAACTGCCCCTCCATTTAAATCATTCAAGCACATAGTGTTCCCGAACGTAACCGTGCTCTCCGCCATAGTAACATCGAGATCTTGGGGACGCTGCCCGTCCGATTCTGGGGGGCACATCGGCGGTAGATCCGGTGGACCCGGATCACGAGGCGCCTTCGCGGTAGGTACCGTACCAAGAGGTTTATCGATCGGCTCACTTGGTACACCCCGTTTGCGGCGCACATACGAAGCCAACAAGCGTTGTATCATGGACCGACTCCGCTCTCTACTTCTTGCTGCCATCTCCGTAGACATCTCGCGAGGTGGTGTATCATCTTGCGGGGCCGTATCTTCGGTCACAGGCTTCGGTTTCGGTGTAATCTTTGCCAACCGACGTGTCAGTGTTTCGAGGGTTTTCGCTGCTATCGTTGCATCCGCATTCGCTCGGTTCGCCGTCGCACCTGCGGTGCGGTATTCGTACTCCATCCTCAGCAATTCCTCACTGACTTCTTCAGGAGAAGTAGGTTCTCTATTACTCGTTTTCTCAGTAGCAATAGCCACTTCGAGTGCCTGAGCGTGAGCCGCAAAGTGGCATGATTTCGTGGTGTCTGCCGCGCGCTGCTTCTCTTCGGCTGCTAAATTAAGTTCCTCGACCGTTTTTTGTGCGGTTGCTACTTGCGATCGAACGGCCTCAAGAGTCGCCTCTTTTAAATTCGTCGAAGGCAGCGCCGAATCGACCCCCGGATCAATCGGTGCAGGTTCTGCAACTTCCTCATGAGCACCACTCAATATGTGGTCCAGTTCCCGAATCGCCAGCGTGCGCTGGGTGTCCGCCTTCGAAGAAGCGGAGGGCGGTGGCGAAGAATGGACCGTGTTCGATTGCCCTTTTTGACGAACAGTTGCCTTAGTCTGTTGAGGTGGTTTCTTTTTGTCAGCGACCGTGTTCGTGAAAATAGTTTGGAAAACAGCCTTCGACTTCGGGAGTGGTGACTTTCTTGCACCTCCATCTTTGTTGAACTGCGGATGCTTGGGTAGCTTCACAGCAGGTCCTGTTGCCCGACTAGCCGGAACATCTGCGGGGCGCACATCCCTCTTTTTCTTGTTCGCTCCAGGATCGAACCACTCGTTCGTCATTGGACTACTGACGCGAGTAGCCCCGCCCCGAACGGCCTGTCCACCGGCAAGCGGAGACGTGTTCGGAACTGACGACTGCCCAGCACAAGGAGGTACCTGCGAGACCTCACTTAACAGTGGGGCCTTGTTGCCATCAGCCTTTAACTTCGCCGTGGTTGCCACCAAAGTATCCGCCAGTCCAGAGACATGCTGCAGGCGACCGGCAACGTCCAAGTGGTAAAAAGTCAACCCACTGACGTGAGGAGGAGCTATTGGAATACCAGTAAATTCTCGGTGATGCTGAATTTGAAAAGCGCCTTTGCGTCCACCACACTTAGCACTCGAGTGATATGGCGAATAGCAGGAAAAACAGGGAACGCGTTGAAAGTGACGAAAATGGTGGAGAAAGATCTCCGTTTCGGATGTTGCGATGTGCGTGACCAGCTTGAGTTGCTCGGGACATGACACCATGTCAAAAGTTGCCACGAAAAAGTTGGAATCATATGCCTCCGAGCCGAGTGGGCACCCACAAGACACGGATGTGACCGTACAAGCCACACTAGACGCCAATATAGCTTGAACCGTGCTTGCCGCCACTCCATTGACCAAAATCCGGACTTGGTATTGCAATTGGTGTCTACCGCTTGACGTGGCTAATAGCGAAGGAGCAGTAATGTCTTCGCGCTCCATAGTGGCCGGGCACAACAGCTTAAGACGCTTTCCGCGAAACAAAATCATCTTTGCATGCCAGCTTGCTGCTGCCGCTTGATCCGGCATAATGAAAGTCAGTCGCCTCGTTTCGGCATCGTAACCGGTCCGCTTGGCGCCCTTGACCAATTCCCGACTCATGACATCGGACTCCGTCTGCCCCTCACTGCGTTCCAAGAGCTGGAGTAGCATCGTTTTCTCGGCGATGTACTGAGGCATGCGCACGTACGGAGGGACAATCGTAATGACCTTCCCTTCCAGGTACTCTTCGAAAAAATCAAGCATTACAACTCGCGTAGCCCTCGGGTGCGTGCACACCAAAAATCCAGGCGGAGACTGGATCATGATAGCCCCCATCATCCATGCCGCTAGAGCCTCCTCTTCAAGCGGAATCATCGAACGGAGATCATCGTCTGATCTGTCGGTCCACACTCTCGTAGCCGCCCGCACCAGCACCCGGGTGTGGTCAGCAGATGAGCGCTGACTCCCATCCTCTTTGGAGTCAGCGAAAAGTCCCGGACCCTGCCCGTCTACCGTGTCGGCCCTTCCCTGCTCTGTTGCAGCTCTCACCGGTCCCGAGCCCGCAGACACCAACAAGTGAGGCTCATGCGCCGACCCAAGATTTCGAGATCGAGCCACAACGTCACAGGAAAAAGCTCCCGCGATAGGAGAGGACCCGACCCGCGGTCCTTTCCCCTGTGCACCCCGTTCTGTAGCCACTGGATACTGACTATCTCCGTCAAGGAAGGATTCAGCCACTGCGGCCGCGTGCGAACGCCGATCAGTACGGTTCCCACAAATAGGCGCAGTAGTTGGGGGCCCGAGGCCGCCTGTCCAAGCTCGGGATTGGTCAGAATTCCCGTGCTCATCCCCTATCGTCTCGTCTTGCCCCGTCTTTTCCACTCCTATTGGCACGCTCTCGCCCGACACGAGCGTGGGCACACTCGAGCCACCTACCTCGTCATCACTCCATGCCACTCGCGTACGGTGCCCGGTTCCTCCGTCCACATGTTCGCCGTTTTCGAAGTCACCGCGCTCTTGGGTCGGCGAGGGCTTATTACTAGGCGCTAATTCGCCGATGTATGCGTGCATACTGCGTTGACACACTCCCCGGTGCCACAACGATTTGATTGCGCGATTGGCCGCAAATCTGGAAGTTGCTTGGTGGCTATAAGGTATCACGTCCAGACCTGATGGTCGGTAAGGCCATTGGCATGCTTCCAAACGTGTGTTGGGTCTTGGTTTGCGGCAGCCCGCTGCCACTGATCGAAGTCACAGACGGCGTCCAGACGCCGCACCAGCGGGCGCAATACGACTGCAAGAAGTCTTTTGTGAAACGTGAACGCCAGGCGTGAAATAGCTTTGCGTAGAGCTGAATTCGCGATCGACTCGGCGACGGCCCAAGGAAAGCCATGATGCCCGGGATGGGAGTAAAACACGACGCCGTGACGACGCAGGCGTAGGGCCCAAATGGATCTGTCCTCGTCCAAATTAGTAGCTAACTCCGGTAGGTGAGAGGTGAAAAACCAGCGAATTCCATCCGCACTCTGCTGCAGTTCAACAGGCTGGTCAGCGACTTCCAAGTACTCCTCTCGCCTCCCGACCACTCGACCTTGTTGCACCGAGGCCCAGGTCCAGTCATGTCGAAAAGGTGGTGCATGGCGAAGAACCAGCTCAGGTTCGAGCGCTATTTTGCCCCCAATGGGAAACGTAGGGGATGCCAGCAAGATTGCCGTCGCCCACCGACGGAGTTTAGGCTGCGAGTGGTGAATAGATCGGGGTCCAACCGGCTTAATGCGAAAAATAAATTTAGTTGGCCCTGTTCGCCGAATGTCCAGGTCCGAGATGGGGCAGATCGCGATCCGGTCGTAGGTAGAGGATTTTGACGGAAGGCCATTGCCGTCCTGGATCCACGGGTTATTACTCCAGCCTAGTGTCCCCCAAAAGCGATGTAACGCACACTGGTGAGGATCTAGCGCAGGTAACCCAGCCGGGAAAGGGTGATGATACGACAGAACCCATTCCTCCTCCTCCCACCAGCTACTGGCGCCGTGGAGGACGGGGTGGTAGTACGTACGTACCCGCTCGCTGAGTATGGTGGCTTGCTCTACCATAGGGTGTAGAAGCTTGTCAACGTCCGGTACCCATAAATTTGGGGACGGTGCCCCGAAACACGATGAAGCCCCAGCTGCCTGCGTCTTGCAATGGATAACCAGGCTCAAATTTGTCGGCCGGCCTTGATAAGCCCACGCACTCCAGGCTCCAAAATACTTGTCCTGAGCTTGTAAGAGCCACTGTAAAGCGTGCTTGGTACGCTGCGTTTTAATAGCCACATCCAAAGAGGCCAACCCAACCCCCCCCTGCCTTTTTGGGGGTGAAAAGTAGTCCCGGGTTAATCTTGTGTCGGCTGGCTTCCGTTGAAGTCGCATGAGCTCATAAAAATTGTTTGGACAGGTTGTGGACAGCAAGTCGTGCCCACTCAGGCATATCGAAAACCGCCGCCGTGTCAAGAACAGACGGGAGAATGATGGAGTTGAGGATCAATACCCGATTCGCCACACTGGTCGCCACCCTAGAAGCTGTCATTAGCCTCCATTGAAGCTTCCGGATGCGAAGCGCCCAGTTACAATTGTGTAAGGGTCTCAGTCCGACTTGAAAGCCCAGGTATCTCACCGTGTCCGCCTCTTGAAGGACCGGAATGCCCCGCATGTCAGCTACGTGCACAGCCCGATTAAGACAAATGATCTGACTCTTGGAGGGTCGGGCAACTAGCCCTGATAGGGTCCCAAATTGAGAGACAAGAGCTATCGCTGGCTCCAGCTGACTGGCCTTCTCGAGAAAGATCGTTGAGTCATCCACAAACGCCGAGAACACGTGCGTTGCCGGATGTCGTCCAGGGACAGGAAGCCCAGACAAATCTGGTGATTGCTGTACCGCAACGCCCAATATCTCCACCACGACGAGAAAAAGCAAAGGGGCGAGTGGACAGCCTTGCCGGATACCGGAAACGACGGAGATGGGACGAGACTGTTCCCCATTTACAAGGAACGCGGCCGTAGTACCAGTATGTAGTCGAGTAATAAGCTGAACATACCTTTCCGCGAATCCAAATTGGCGAAGAGCCTCATACAGGAATTCGCGATCGACCGTGTCATAAGCCTTGCGGAAATCCAGTAGGAGGATCACTCGGCTGTCGTCGGCGGATGTAGTTGTATCCGATGTTGCTGTCGCCAGTTGAGCGAGCATCATCAACACTAGCTTAGACATCTGGCGTCCGTGTACGAAGCCTTGCTGCGAGTCACCAATGACTTTTGGTAATACGCGTTGCAGTCGTGTGGCCAGCACTTTCGCAAAGATCTTGTAACTGGTTTGGATTAGAGAAATCGGTCTGTAATCCATCGCATCCGCCGGGTCTCCCTTTTTACGCAAGGGTACGATCAAAGCTTCGAGAAACGAAGGCGGGGGATCAGCTCCAGCCAAAATTTGATGGCTGAGCTGGACCAGGGCGGGGACAAGAAGTGCAGACGTATCCTTGTAAAATCGTTGTTGAGCCCGTCCAGTCCCGCAGACTTATGTCGACTGAGCCCAGAAACGGCTGCAAGGACTTCCGCTTCCGAAAAATCACCCAAGAGAGCCCGGTTGTCGGCAGAAGACAAGACCCGGTCTGTGGGTAGATTGACAAAACGGCGAATGGCTGATGGCAAGTCCACTCTCTCCTCCTGGCAATGAACTTTGCCAAGGCCTGTAGACCATTCGGTGGCAAATTTATCCGCGATAGTCATATCCCGGGTAAAATGCGGGCCGTGGATGCGCGAAATTGTTGTGACTGTTTGATTGCGTTCCCAGTCGGCAACCCGCTTGTAAAAATAGCGCAACTGGTCAGCCTTCCTGGCGAGCTTCTGACCCAGTCGCACCAGATGTTCCTGCCGCAATTCCTCCATATTGCAGGAGATAAATTGCGGCCGGGTGAGGAGAGGTCGCCGAGCTCTGCCCTGAATCTTCCGATGAAATCGCGCTCTGCGCTGTTGAACCCGCTTCCGGATGCGTCGAACGCACTGTTGACACTCTGTGACATCCGCGTCCCAAGTGAGGGTAGAAACGCTTTGACCTATATCCCTCCCGTCCATTTCCGCGACAAGTTCGTCAACGATCCTGCCAGGGTTCAATGAATGAATCGGATATGTTACACGCCCATGCCGGCTTGACGAACGAGGTTTGTTCAGGTCACGTAGGTGTAGCACAACCTCCTGATGGTCCGACTGATTTGATGGCATCCGCGCTTCAATCCACAGCACGCGATTTACCCACCCCTCAGGCACATAGAAACGATCGATGCGACTGGCACGGCCCCCATTCCAGTAAGTGAAATGGTCAGTAGGATCGCCAGTGCCCTCGTCATCCGCATGATCCAGAAGATCTCTCGCATCCGCCAAGCTCAGTGTCGCAACTACCGCGTCCAGGGCAGGGCTTTCCGATCGGTGCGATCGGTGACTGCCGTACCGATCGAGGAGAGGGCACTGAACGCAATTAAAGTCGCCTGCCATAATAGTGTTGGAGGTCATCGAATTCCAGCTGAAAAGGGAAGTAAAGAAGTCCTCCCGTTCACCTCGCAGTGTAGGTGCGTACACATTGATCAGAACATCCTCCCCAATGGAAATTGCGATCGCCCGGAATGACCAGCGTTCCGGTTCCCAGGCCGAAGCTGTACGAGCAGAATGAGGGGTAAGAAGAATGGCAACACCAGGCTGGAACAGCCAATACTCCAGAACGATAGAGGAGGGGCGTCAGGATCAAGGTGTTGATCCCATAACTGAGCCCACCTGGAACTCAGCCTACCTGCCTCTTCGTCAGTATGTACATGCGTCTCCTGAATACACCAAGCCTGCGGGCGACGGATCTGAGGCGCACCACGCCACGCCGACAACCACCCTTCCCGAGCGCTAGCCTTGAAGCCCCTCATGTTTTGGGAAATAAAGAGCCTGTCCCCACCCCGAGAATCCGGTGGATTTACTGCTGAAGTCCAGGACGGAGACCAGTTTTGAAGTTTGCGATGCCGGTTGTTGGCGTCGGCTTCCTCAAAGAAAGGAACTCCGGGGGCTGAAGAAGGAATTCTGCTGTAAGCTGCCCTTAGTACTCGAGGAGGAACCTCTGCTCTGCCGGGGCCAAAGCAGTAGTAAAATAGCGAACGAGCGCAGTCCAGTCGATCGGAGCATCCCCGTCTGGGTAGTACGTATCCTTGTAGGTACTATTGGTCCGAAGTAAGCGAAAGTGGCAACGGAGTTGCTCGGCAGGGCGTACTGGCTTTCCGCCAGTCCCCGTCAGCGCAAAAATCTCGTTGTCGAACACGATGGCACACATGAGGTGGTGACTCATTCGGACGCGTCTGTGCGGGTCACACAATCGTAAAATGTCGTCCCCCGCATAGTTAATCCCTCGCAACTTTCTCCAATCGTCGGAATTGTCAATCAGAGGGGCCAGCAGAGACGGCGAAAGGCGCTGCTGCGATCGAGCAATCCATCGGTCGACCCAAACACCCGTGGGTAGCTCTGTCACTCGCTGTCGGAATTTTAGGAGCCCGGATAATAAGCACTCCTGGCGCCACAGCGCCGTCCACTGTACAAAACCTGTGTCGGACAAGCTAGCAAGTACTTCGTCTGGAAAGACGAAGCGGCGCAAGTGATGGAGTAACAATTCCGGCTCCAAACGAGCCGTAGCCTCCCACCCGTTGGAGTCTCCATATACTATAGGATACGGTGTTGCTGCTGTTGTCGGCCATTCGGCTCCCAGATAACTCCAGAGCTCCGGCCATTCGTCCCGATCGATTCTGTCGTCCGGCGCTTCTAGTGAAGAATTCCGTAGGGCTGAAAGAACCCGACCTTTCTTGTGGCGAGAGCCGATCGGAACGACGGCACCTGGATCCGCAGACGCCGCCAGGAGCGGGGGAGAGCCGCCGTGGCCCCGTTTCCGTGCCGCAGAGGCCATCCCACGTTCGCTACAGCTGATCGAAGTAGAAGTTAAAGCCAATTGACAAGAGGGTTGTGCCGAGGTCCCAGCGACCGCGTCTTCAGCGTCGTAAATGACGATAGACGTCCGGTCACCGCTGTCTGGAAGGCGTTTGTCGTCTGATGGCAGTGCTGAAGCGCTTTTCTCCTCTAATGGTACCAACGATGTGGCTCTAGCGTCCCCGAAGGAGTGGACCGGATCCTGCGGCGACGCACTCGGCCCGTCCTGGGTATCGGTAAGGTTTAACGGATCGGCCACTCCCGCTTAATGGAGCAAGGCCGAGTAGTGGCTGCCGCCAAACCGCAACACTAACGGTAGAGCCTGGGTCACCTCGACTTTGGTAGCCTGCAGCTCGTCGATACACGCCATTATAGAAAGGGGGTACTCTTTTACAGAAGCCACCGCCTGTCCCCGTATAGTCATTGAAACGGGGTGATACTTGCGGCAACGCCACTGAGGGGTGGCTTCCTCGCGTTGAACGAAAAAGATGTCTCTCTGTAAAAACGTGGCTGCCATGCCGAGTGTGTCACTGCCCCCCCCCAACAGTCCGTAGGCACATGCGAAGTTCGCCCCGATGGGGTGGCCGCAAAGCCCGTCAAAAACCAGCGGGATTGAGAAGCCGACTCTGTGCGCGTCATCGACGCCCACCCACGGCCCACATTCTTTAGTGCCTGCACCCGCAAGTCGTGAGGGAGCTGATCCTCCAAGTTAAAGAGTCCTGTAAACGTGATACCTCGTTTGATGCAAGCCGTGAGAAGCTCCTGGTCCTTGGTAGGGGCGGTCAAGGCAGACTCAGCCACCGCTTGAGCAAGAGCTATCGCCAAACAATTGCCGTTCGCTGGTATGTTAATTTCCCGAAGTCCCAGAATGCTCACAAGCTCGCCCATGTGGATGGGTTCCGCTGGCGGCTTAGGATTCATGGGTATCGAGTGATATTGCCGATCCGGCAGCAGCTTTAAAAGCTTTTCGCAAGTCAGACGTTCCCGTCGCTGCTGGGTCAGGAGAGCCGGACCCGCGGTAACTACCGCCGGGCCCCGGATACCGGCTGCTTGTTTCCGGGCCTGATCCTCCGGCAGAAGCCGAGAGTGGGACAGCCGTGCCGAAAAAGCAGGAGTCGGGGAGCCTCCAGTCCCCGGCTGCGGAGGTGCAGAGGCGACACTGCCTTCAAATGGGGAAGACGGACCCTCCTCTGCCCGATCATTCTCCTGGAGAACGTGATAACTCCCGCTGCTGACGTTCAGCTGAGGCGGGGAAGGCTGAACTGGGGGCCAAGGCCGACGACCACCTCGAAGGGGGCGTCTCATCCATGGCTGTTCGGGCCGGGGTTTTGGGGCCGGAGGCGGCGGGCCCGCGTGCGCGACATGAGTAGTATACACCGATTGGATAGGGATACCTGTTGGCTGGGGCTCGGCGGCCGGCGGTGGACTGGAAGTGGCGACCGGTACCGCCGGAGTCACCGCAGCTTGTGCCGCTGCATCGGCTGATTGCTGCACAAGCAGTCGTCGCTGCGCCATTTTCCGCATTTCAGTGGGGCTACTAAAAGGTTTGGCCAGATCTTCAACAGCTAAAAGCTCGGCTTCGTGGACCTCCAGCCCGCCTGGCCCCCGCGTCTGCGCATCGGTGAACTGACACCTAGACGCCGGGTGGCCTAGTGTACCACATTGCAAACATTGGAGGCGACGGCCCACGTCCGGATGCCGGACGATTATGGGGGTCTAAAACCAAAGCAGTCTGACTATTCCTTGGAGAAAGGTCGGGCAACCCGCCAGATGAAAGGTGACTTTCCAGGCAGTGGACGTACGTGAGTTCGGGGTACAGGTATCCATATCCTCCAGCTCAAAATCCGTTGGTATCTTGGAGCGGAGGTAGGCAGCAATGCGCCCAATATCATCAAACCGGGTGAGATTATACAGCAAAATGGTGTATGCTGCCCGAGGGTGGCTCGACCGCCCGTCTGGTCCCCGCTGATTCAACCAGACCGAGCCCCTGACCGGGTGATGAACATTCTCGAGCGTGTACGCCCTCCCCTGAAAAGTCACTACGACATCCTGGTGCGCCTTGGCAATGGCTCGCGTAAAGAAATAGAAGTGGATTGACCGGGTAGAACGATTATAGCTTATCGTCTTGGCCAACCCGAGGAAACGGTGAAGATCCGGCAAGCAGACCGGCAAGATTTCCGCCGACTCCAAAATCTTCTCCGTAAGAGCGTGTGTCGTCCGGCGTCCAATTGGGATATCACGACCATGTCTAAGTTTTAATACCAAATGTCCCTCGACCTGCGCCTGAACAGTCCGACACAACCGAAGCCGCTCGTCGCTGCCAAAGACAGAATTAAAAAAATGAGGCAGCCGACGACAGGCAATATGCCCTTCCGCAATCCCAATGATGATGCGCCATTCATCATCTGTACCCTCGCGCAGACGTTGAGTGCCTGTCAAGTTAAGGCGCGTAGCGCAAATGGCTCGGAGCGTGGTCGTCTCTTCCACCGAAAAATGTGCCGGATCAAACATAAAGTCATCGAACACGGGACGCTGCTTGCCTGTCGTACTGGCAGGTGCAGCAGAACTGCCTGTCTGCACGACTTGAGACCACAGCCGCGGGATTGGAGCCACAGCCCATTTCTGTCGGCTGGCCAGCTTACGCAAGATTTCTTTAAACGCCCACTTCGTGACGAGGATCTCCTTACTGATCTGGTGGGCTAAACAGGTCCAGTCGACGTAGCGGCCAGATGTCACAACAAAACACTGCTTAAACAAATCCAGCAAACTCACCAGCTCAGTACTTGTGAGCTTGGGATACCGTTTGCGTTCGGCCGGCAACGCGTCGAAGCTGACTGGAAGGCGGGCAAATTCCAGCGCAAATAACTCCTGGATGGTCTGGCGCCAGACATCTAGGTACGGGGGCCCCGAAGAAGCCTTCATCGCCGCGGTAAGGGCCTCAAACATTTCGCGCGGATGAATACGGGGGCGTGGAAGCCTGCGAAGGCGACGAGGAGGACGCGGAATCCTCCCCCGAAGCGCGCCCGGTGGGTCCGTCCAGCCGTGGCGTTACTGCATCCGTCTCGCCGCTACGCAGCGGCTGGTCTGCCATGGTGAAGGAAGCATCCCCCGCCAAGCCTGACTCCATAGCCGCTGAGGAGGTCGGCAGCTGAGAGTTCGCGAGAGGATAAGATGCGGCGTGCTCTGGAACCCCTGTCTCGTGAGCAGAAGATGCGGTGTGCACTGGAGCCCCTGTCCCGTGAGCAGCAGATGCGGCGTGTGAGCCTCTGCCCCGTGTGCAGAGGATGCGGGGCTACCAGCGGAGGGAGAAGGAGCCTTCTCCGGAGGCCCCGCATCCTCCGGTAAGGCGAGGGCCGGACTAGAGTGTCCCGGGTCGTCCGGCTGACCCCTTGGCAAAGCCGCGCCCCCCCCTGTCGGGAGGGGGGCATGGTGGCGGCTCCAGAGCCGTCGTTGGAGAAGAGCTGGCTAACGCCAGTTCGTGTCCTGTTTATACTCCCCCACCCAGCACTGCAGATTGAAGAGTGACGTCGGTCCGATCGAGTCCTACGTGACAAGCGTTGATCTTGCCGTAAGTATGCAGTGAGGGAGAACGTCCAGTGTCTTCATTCACATAGAAAAGACGCACCAGGTCGCTGGGCATCAAACGTGACCGACCGTCGTCACGACTCCATAAAATACAGTAGAATCTGTCTAAAATACTGTGTCTAAATTAATGACAGCCCTAAAGTAATAAAGACATCCGTCCCAAGGTCGAGCCCATTCTACAATTAATAAACCTCTGTAATTTAAATATTAACTGCAATGTAAGGTCCCTTTTTATTAATTTATTTCGTGTTTTTTTTCTCTAAAAAGGGTTGGTGCTGTTAAATGGTGTCAAGTACTACCTAAACATGTCTAATGAAGTCTCGATAGTCAAGCTGAACCATTTAATTTGTGCGGATCGCCCCGACTTCGTCCTTTATTCGCTGTAGTGACTTGATGAAATTCTGCACATCACCATTTTGTTGCAGCCAGAATGTCTTAAGCAACTCAGTTGCCTTGTTGTTGTCACAGGTGGTCTATTTACACGGAATTAACTATGTACAAGATCTCTGGAATAGCCGGAGCCACGTTGCCAGCGCCGGACGAACCGAGGTCTGACGAGGGCTGAACCCCGGACAGCCTGGAGGACGTCCCGGCTCGTGCTCGAGAAATTCGATGCAGGCATAGAGCATGGCTCCCCAAATTGCCGATGACGCTTGTCGATGCTCGCGTAGCGCGATTGCGCGTAGTTGACGGATGCACGTATCCGATTAATTAGTAGTGGCGCGTGTAATGTCCGTTTCGGCCTCCTGGTATATCGCGTCGTTCCGGTCTGTCCACAGTTTAGTTTGACATTTCGTCGCAAGAATATACCATATTCGCTTCCACATGCGCTCAGCCTCTTCCGTAACTTCCTGATACCGCTCTTCTAGGAGGGTCTTCCGATGATCAGGTACACTAACGATGCGTCTGCTGGCACATGAGCTTAAGAAGCAATCAGTTGTCTGGCGTGAAGCTCGAACACCCGTCCATTGCTCCACCAGCTTGGTCCAAAACGCGACGGCGTATGGGCAGTCCCAGAACAAGTGCGCCATTGTCTCCACTTCTCCCCAACAGCCCGGTTGCTTACGACCGGTATTGTCCACACGTCGCCCTGCATGATGCAAATGGAGTTGCCTCAACGCGGTGCGATATCCCGTCCAGACTTGATAAGCCGTTAGGCCCTGACTATGGTCCCAAACCTGCTTTGGGGTTCGACATAGCGCTGCGCGATGCCATTCGTCCCGCCCCGCCCGTTCGTCCAGCCGGTCCAAGAACGTCCCCAATGGGCGAGCCAATATTTTTTGTGGCTTCGAAAGGCTCGACGTGTGAGCGCCGCTCGGATGACCCTATTCGGTGTTTTGTCTGGGACATCCCAAGGAAACCTGTGAAGCTGAGGGTGTGCTGCGAAAACAAGGCCGCGTTGCCGCAGTTCTTGAATGAGCCCTTGCTGTTCGACTTCTGATTCAACGTCGAGCTTAGGGATCGGTCCAATACATCTCCAATGCACACCATCGTCCCCCTAGTTCAGTGTTATAGTCTGCGTTGGGTCCTTCGCGTCCTGCGTTGATCTACCTGCTATGCCGCCTTCGTGAGTCAGTGACCAGCTAAAGGTCGATAAGGCCGGGGGAGCATGGCGTAATTGTAGAGCTGACGGCTGGCGTATGCTCTGTCCGACGGCAATAGTCGGTGAGGCTAGCAGCACCGCTGTTGCCCATCGCCGTAACTTTGCTGCAGAGTGCGGCCTGGATGGGTTGGTGGACTGGGGTATCTTCAGAACGAATTCCGCTGGTCCCGTTCGTTCCAGGCCAAGGTGTTCAAGCGGACAGGCTTGAATCTGATTAAAAGTGGTTTTGGCCAACATGTTGCCACGTTGATCGAGGATCCAAGGGTTCTCCGCCCAATTGAACGTGGCCAAGAAACTTCAAATCGCCGTGGGCATATCCCCATCGACCGATGGGCGCCGGGGAAACTGCGACGAGTAGTCGAATACGAAGTCATCTCCGTCATACCAACTAACCGCCCCGTCAACTAACCCCCTATGTGTGTTTCGACCCACTTCTTCAGTTGATGTAGCTGGTCTGGAGTTGGAGCTAGCCATGTCCCTAGCGTCCGTTGTAAGTCCAGCCCTGGGGTACTGCGCGGGCGTGTTTCCGCTTGCCGCGGCGCCATAGCTGGTGTCACCTGCCATGTGTGAGCTCGGTTTATCCCACGAAAGGCCCATATCCGCCAAGCTGCAAAGTACTTGTCCGACCGCTGGTTAAGCCAAATGAGGGCGTGCTTGGTTCGTTGGGTTTTGACTGCGACCGTCATATCGATCAGCCCGATCCCGCCCGCATGCCGAGGCGTTACTAACAACCCCGGGTTGACCTTATGCCGCCTGGCGTCTGTCGATGTCGCGTGCGCCCATAAGAAATTATCGGACAGATTGTACAGCTCCTTTTCAGCCCATATCGGGAAGTCAATTACGCTCGCTGTGAACAACAGGGAGTGAAGGACTATCGTTTTAATATAAGAACTCTGTTCTCCATACTGGTCGCTACCCGCGTTGCCGTTAAGAGTCGTCTTTGGATCTTCTGGATCCGTAGGGCCCAGTTCTTGTTCTATAATTCCCCTGTTCCAATCTCGTAACCCAAATACCTGGTTGTGTCTCCCTGTGACACGACTGCTATCCCCTCATAGCGCTTAATTGTAATTGCCCTGTTAAGAGATATGATCCAACTTTTGTCCGGTTGAACATGCAAGCCTGACAGTGCTCCAAAAGCGGTGACAATGCTTAAAGCATGCGAAATTTGCCTAGCAATCTCGAGAAAGAGCGTGGAATCGTCGACAAACGCTGGAAAAGGTGCGTTTTCCCCGGCAACCCCGGCACGTCGAGGCCCTGTAGCAATATGTCCTGCTGTAATGCCTGACTCAGCCCCTCCACCACTAGCAAAAAAAAAAGCGGTGCAAGCGGACAGCCCTGCCTAATCCCCGATTGCACCTGGAGAGCGTGGGACAGGCAGCCAGCCATTCACATCAAAGCGTGCGGACGTTCCAGTGTGGACGCGTCTGATGAGGTCGACAAACCGTTCATCGAAACCAAACAGGCGTAGCGTTTCGTACATGAACTCTCTATTGACCGTATCGCACGCCTTTTTTTAGTCCAATAGCAAGATACATCTGCTCTGGTCTGCTGTCACGTCGGCCTGACTCGTCGCTGTCGTTAGTTGAGCCATCATCATCATCGCTGATTTCACATTTTGCGCCCGTGTACAAAACCTTGTTGCGAGTCGCTGATAGCTCGAGGTAACGAGTGTTGTAGCCGGGTTGCTAGCACCTTTGCAAACACCTTGTAGCTTGTTTGCAGCAGCGAAATCGGTCTATAATCCATGCAATCGTCGGAATCACCTTTTTTTCGAAGAGGAATAATCCGAGACTCCAGGAATGAATAGGGGACCTCCGAGCCCGCTAATATGTGGTTGCTGATGATGACCAGAGCAGGGACCATGAGCGCTGCCGTGTCCTTGTAAAAATCATTGTTCAGCCCATCTTGGCCTGCCGATTTATGGCGGCTTAGTCCAGTGATAGCCGCGAGAACCTCTGCGTCCGTATAGGGACGCAGCAAACGCTCATTATCGTCAGATGTGAGTCGTTGCTTCATCGGTATGGTTACAAATGCATGCAGCTCCGCCGACAATAATGGGTGCGCCACGGTTCGGTGACTCCTGCTAAGCACTTGAGCCCATTTCGACGCAAACTGATCCGCAACAGATAGTTTTTGCTGAAAATCGCGAACCATGACGTGCCCGTAAAGAAGTGACGAGTTGATCTCGTTCCCAATTTGCAATTCTCTGGTAGGACCATCTTAGGCGCTCCGACGACCTCTCCGTCGCCTCCCCTAGTCGCACCAGATGGCCCTCTCGCATCTCCTTTACATTTGCTCAAATCCAGTGCGTCCGCGTTGTAAATTGCCGCCTGGAGCGCTTGCGTAGCTTCGCTACGTAGCGTTTGCGCCTCTGCTTGTCTCTTCTCCTTACCACTGATATACAGTGTATGCTCTCGGCGATGTGGGAATCCCGTGACTGAATTGTTGGGGCATGCCCCACACCTTTGTCCGTCATCTGAATGACTTCCGTCAAGACTTGGTCTGGCCGGTTCGACTTGATCGGATAGGAAATGCTTTGCCGTTGCTGTAGTCGTCGGCCGTAACTAGTCTTCCTTAAGTGTAGCACAACTTGGTCGTGATCCGAGCGCTGAGGTGGAGGATCCGTTGGTACCCAGAGGACGTCCGGACCCCATAAATGTGGCACAAAGACCCGATTTATCCTGCTAGCCGTACCTGTGGTCCAGTACGTGTAGTGGTGACTTGAATCAAATCGTCATCTTCCGCATGTTCCCGTAAAAGTCGAGCATCACTTAGGGAGGATGATTCTAGCAAAGATCACGGAACCGGTCTCTCAGGACGGCTAGCCGTTCGTGGGCCCAACCGATCAAGCCGTGGGCTCTGAACACAGTTAAAATCTCCCAGTGATACCGTTTCGCTGGCTGGCCAGTTCCAGGCATCGAGCCCCTTAAAGAATTCTTCACGCTGTGCTCGGAGGTTCGGTGCGTATACGTTAAGCAAAAAATATCGTGAACCCTCACCCCAATAACGCGAGAGGACCACTTATCGTGATTCCATTCGGATGCGGCTGACGCGGCCTCGGGTGATAGCAAGATTCCAACCCCCCGAGACGTCGACGAGCCTACACTCCAGAAAGACATTGGCGCTTGGCTCCGGTCCAGCTGTTTGCCCCAAATTCTTCGCCATTCCTGACTCAGTGCAACTTCTTCTTCTTCGTTGGCCACATGCGTATCTTGTATGCACCACGCCAGCGGCCTCCGACGCTTCGGTGTTTGACGTCAGGCTGTCATCCATTGCCTCCGTGTATCTTTCGAGAATCCACGTACATTTTGAGTGATAAGCCTTAGGTCTGGCTCCCGCTGTGTCGAGGAACGCCGAAGTGCGTTCGCAGATTTCAAGCGCTGGAGCAAAGCGTGGAGACCGTAGGCGTCAGCATTGTTGAGATCCGACCTATAAAATTGTGGCGTTAAATAATCCGTGTGGTGCCCTTAGTACTGAGTTTGATCGGTCTCCTCCGACTGTGCCAGCCCGGCGTAGAAGAATCGTTCTATTCCCGCCCAATCTGCCAACTCGGTCGGTGCGTAGTAAGCCGCCTTGTATCTGGAATTGGTTAGAATTAGCCGCAAATTGGCCCTTATTTTGGCCGGTACCTCGGGTCCTAATGGCGCTCCATCGACCAAAGCTGCAATCTCGTTGTCGTATAAGAGTGTATACAATAGGTGATGAATGAGACTGGTTCGGCGCAGTGGATCACAGAGACGAAGCAAGTCGTCGCCAGCATAATTGTTGGCTTTTAACTTGTTCCAATCGTCAGAGCTGTCAAATAGTGGTCCCAGCACGCAGGGATCCGAACATCTCAGATTTTCTAGCCAGTGGTCCACCCATGCTTGCGTGGTCCGATCCACTAATGCTTTTCGAAAGAGTCTTAGAGAATCTTCTACACATGCCTTCCGACTCTCCGACATCCACTGGACAATGACCGAGACATCAAGTATCTGTAGGATCTCCCCGGGCATCTTGAACCGCTTGATCAGCCATAGTAGATGGTCCGGTGCGAGTTTGACAGCGTTTATCCACTCCGCTTAGGAGCTGTCCGCTGTAAGAAAAGGAAATTGCTTGGGATTCAGCCATTCAAATTCCAACGTCTCCCAGGCAGAAGCCTAGTCCCCGCGATCAATGCGCTCATAACCGTCGTCATCGACACCTCTCTCGGTTGGTGCGTGACCAACCCGGCCTTTTTGTGGCCTGTGGTATTAGGCTGATACGGGACAATCGCCCCAGACGTACGATCGTGGACAGGTGATGAGCTGAGCCCTCGTTTGCGATCCGGCAGTGGGGCCGTGCGCGGCCCATACGGTGGCGTTACCGGAAGTGCTGGAAAAACTATCCCGCGTTCTACAACAACGAGCGCCTGACTGTGTTCGCCTAGTCGCTCTTGATTTGTAAGTCCGGTCCTGACTTGTTCAGGTGGAGCTTCATTGAGTATTGCGGATACCGCCATCTCAGCTGCTGGTAGTTTGGCTCCGCTGACCGGAGTGGTTCGAAACGTTCGCAGTCGTTATGCTTAGTCGTTACTGTTGCTGAAGAATCGTTCATGTCCTTCTCTCTCTCAAAATCCGGGAGCTGACTGGCTTGCCCGGAGTGAATAAACGCGGAATAGTGACGCTCACTATATTGTAAAATGAGCGGTGGGCTGGCAGGTGTCTCGATCTTTGCATCAACTATCTCATCCATTAGTGCGCATAGTGACAGCGGAAACTCCGCCGCTGTTTCGGCTACTCGATTCTGACATGAGATAGTAGTTGGCACGTACTTCATACACATCCATCCATGTGCCTGGCCGTCAAGGTGCTGGACAACATATATAGGTTGTTGCAGAAAGTTGGCCGCCATACCTACCGTATCACTCGTCCCCCATGTCGTCAGGCACTACTTCCGTCCGGGCCGAGGAACTGGATGCGTAGTCCTCCAAATACCACCGCACCGGAGAGGCTGAGTCAGTGCGCGACATACCGGGCCAGCCGCGTCGGACGTTCTGAAGCAGATCCACCCGTTGGTGATGGGAAAGCTACCCGCTGAGATTGAGCGGCTCCGAGTACTTGATGCCGCATTTCAAGCTAGCCGTAAGCAACTCCAGTGACCGGTCAGGTTTATCCAGCGTTGCATCCACGGACGCCTGCGCAATCGACATTGCGAGACAATTGCCCATAGCCGGTGTTACCACTGGACGGAGTCCAAGTTGATGCGCGAATTCTGGAACGTCTACCGGAGGTTGCGGTGAACGCTCTCCCAGTTGTAGTGCCGTCGCCGACGGAGTGCACGTCTGGGCGCAGAGCTAACGGAACGAGATCCGCTCGTGGTGCTTTAACGTCAGTATGACTGGCACTGTTGATTCAGGAGCTAACCCTCGCTGCTGTCCGGCCGCTTTCCGAGCCTTATCCGCTAAAGAGAGTGTTGAAGACCTGGCTGGGCCTGATACAGTAATTCTTCCCCCCTTTGTTAAGTCGACCACGTTAAAACTCGATTGAGGTTCTTGGCGCGTCGGTTGGTCGGCCGTATCCGCCGACGGCTGCACTCCGTCCTCCTGTAGGACTGATAATTGCCCGTAGATCGTGTTGACGCGTGCGGGATACTCTTTGGAGCTTGCAGGTGGGTGGCGACGGCCCTTGCTTGGGCGGGAAAGCCACGGTTGCTGTGCGATCGGTTTCGGGAGAGGCTGTAGATGCTTAAAAATGTTCCTTTCTCCACTTGCGGAGCGCTGCTAATGTCGGGAGCTGATGGGAACAGCTGGGAGCCTTCTGTTCCCGGTTGTACTGCTTCTGTGGGAGTGGATGGCGTTACGGCCATTTGAGCCGTCTGGTAAGCCCCCTTTTGGAGCTGCAGTCGTTTTCCCGCCATGGCCTTGAGTTCCGCTAGACTTGAGAAATGTATGGCGAGGTCATCTAGTCCGCGTACATCCTCTTGAGATACTACGATTGCTCCAGGACCCCGCAACTGGACATCCGTAAAACTGCACAGGACAAGGGTGTGGTCAAGGTTGCCGCGTTGTAGGCACTGCAACCGGTGTCCCACATTAGGGTGCCATGATGATTGTGGTGCCGAACCAGAGTAGTCTTACAGCACCATTCAAAAATGTTGGACAAATTGCGAGTTTAAATGTCACCCTCCATATTGTGGATGTTCGTGAATTCGGTGTGTGTGTGTCCATGTCGTCCATGTCGAAGTCCGTTGGTATCTTTGTCTTTACAAAGGCCGCGATTTTGTCGACGTCACTGAAGCGCGTAAGGTTGTGCAGGTGCACAGCGTATTCGGCTCGCCGCCCAGTAGGAGATCCATTGTGCCCTAGCTGTCTCTGCCAGATCGACCCTTTTTCTGGGCGGTGGGCATTATGCAGCCGATTAACCCCACCGTAGAAGGGAACCATCACCTCCCTGTGACTATGTGACGTTGTCCTAGTGAAGAAATAGAAATGGATTGTCTTGGTCACTTGGTCATAGCAAATTGTCTTCGTTTGACTTAGCATACGGTGCAGGGCCTGTAGCATAGCCCGCGCGAGTTTAGCTGACTCCAAAATGCTTTCAGTTATGGCCTTCGTTGTCCTTCGGCTAACTCTGTTGCCGCGGGCGCGATCCAAGTGTAACACGAGTTCGCCCTCAACTTGGGCTTGGATCGTTCTGAGAAGACGAAGCCTTTCCTCGCTTTTGAGGACTTCCTTGACAAAATCTGGTAAGCGCCGACATGCCACATTCCCTTCCACCAGCCCCGCGATGACCTTCCACTCATCATCCGTGCCCTCCATAACGTGATGCAGCCTCGCTCGAGCTCCCGTGGCCGCACATAGAGCTCTCAGTCGGGAGATATCCTCCTCCGAGAAAGCAGAAGGATCAAACATGAACTCTTCGTAACGGGGCAACTCAGCGTTTTTGCGCGGGGTGTCCGGGCCTGACGCCGCCGTCCCCGTCCGAACGACGGTAGCCCACTGACTCAACACCGGGGAATAAGCCCACTTTTGTTTGCTCGCAATACGACGGACGATATCCGTGAAGGCCCATTTCGTGGTGATCAATTCCTTCGCTATCAACTTTGCTATTTTTTCCCACTCAGTAAAGCTGCTTCGTCGCGTTGCGCAAGCCTGCTCAAACAACCCGAGCAATGCGCTCGCTTCAGCAGCGTGCAGGGTGGGAAAACGCTTCCTCTCCGCCGGCACCTCCTCCGACTGCACAGGCACCGCATGGTTTACTTCTGCAAAAAGGTGCTGAATCGTAGCGCTCCACGCTGCCACGTGTTCGGTCCGAGGAGATTGCGTCGTCTCCGCTACCAGCGCCGCAAACATTTCGGTCGATGTGACCGAGGGGAGTGGCGACCTCTGCGTGGGAGTGGCCTGCCGCGACCATTCCGACGTCACAGTCGGAGATGCCGTCGTGTCTCCGTCCGTGCCTGTTTTGCCCACTCCCGAGGCGTCCGTCTTATCGCCAGTACCCGAGCTTGAGCTCGCACGCCCCCTGGACGAAGACACGTCGGTGGGTTCCTTCGGTGATTCGGGTTGCCGTCCGTCGGTCGAAGTCACTTCCTGGTGGGTGTCTGGATCCTGTTTGCTGGTGCCCCTCCCCTAAGGCGCGTCGCTCCCTATGGTCTCGCTCGGTGGATCCCCGATGGAGGTCCCGCCTCCATCCGGTGGAGGCATATAAGGTGTCTGTCGTGCGCTTGCAATTGCAAACGCGGAACCGATTATACTCCGCCGTGACCACTGGTCTCTGCTCGGCAGATTGAGGAGTGAACTCAGTTGCCTTCTGAGCATCCATGACAGCGATTTTGGGCAATTCCTGGCTTTCATCCTGCTCATCCTTAGGCTGAGCCAAAATGTAATCTGAATGATGTTATCCACGTCCGGAATATACGATGTAATTCATTCAGTAGGATAATCGAGCAGGTTGCGGATGTCCATCGGCTTGGGATACTTGAAGCGTCCAATCTGGTGTTCCACTTCATTCATAACTTCATTATCTTGGCGCTGCCCCTCTAGGACTGGTGGGGCATCAGCCGGTTCAGACCGGATATTGTAGTACCGGAAAAAATTGGGGATATCCTCAGTGTGGAAATCGTTAGCCCATACTAAGACTGACATCTGGATAGCATGAAGGATGTTGATCTTTGCCGGCTGAACTACACAATTATTGTAACGGGGCACCCTTTGCTTGGGTGTCACAAAACTTCACGTACACTCTTACGTCAGAAAATGTAAATCTACTAAAGTTGTCACGCTAGACAAATTTCCTATTGACACCTTTCGATGTCAATATCATGTAACGGGCTACCCCGTACAACTGTCGAGATTCTGAAGGAGCTTACGTTTATAGCTGCGCCGGTTGTATGCTTTGAGGTTTCGTATGATTTCCTGGTCACAAGGCTAGGGCTTTGATGTCATGTTGGGCTGAAGGTAGTGGATTGTCGTGTTGCGAAGTGTGATCCGCTGGGGTAGATCAGCAAGCGGGACGTGTGCGCTGCAGTTATAAGTATCAGCAACACCTTGCGATTTGCCATCCTTCGATCGAAGTCCCTCAGCCACTCCAAGAAGATGAATTGTGTCATCCAGGCCTTCTTTTCGCTGCAATATTGACAGCCAAGGTTCTGGATATTGACATGGCGGAAGCAACGAGGAGTGGCGTACTTGCCAATGATTCACAGGGGTACTTTGTCACCAACCACCGTTGCAGCAGACAGCCGCGGTAACCCGTTCCTTGTTTTGTTTCCTTCCCTCCAGCTGCCGCGTTGTATATAAAATGTCAGCCTGACACATAAGGGATGCATTAGTCAATATCAGTCAAAAAAAATTGATGTCCTTTGCAGAGCGCTTGCCTGCGTCCGATAGAAAAAGCCAGTCTCATCCATGTTGTGGATCTTTCCGTTCGTACTGATTGAAGACCTCACGTAGGGAAGGCAGTGCATCCTCCACAGCAACCATGTCCACCGATTCGCTCTCTTCGAAGCGGCGATACGAGCGTATCCACTGCAAGCTTTGTATGATTCCAGCCATCAATTTGAAAACTAAAATGGCTCATGTAATGGATGAAGACGAACCAAGATCCGCTCGGCATGTTCACAGACAAGGTCTCCGCTGAGATTGATGCGATACTGGTTGGCATTAAACCAAACAAGAAGAGCTGATTCCACCACCGGATACGTGACTGAACGCTAACGTTTAAAACTCATGTTGCTTTTCTCTGGAAGCAGAAGAAGGTCGGTCTTCCTCTTCAGCGTGTTGGAGACTGTTGCCTGGCTGACCCTTAGCTGATGGTTGTCCTGTATCTAGTTGGCAAGCTGAGCAAAAGTCAGTGCCGGAATCTCAGCATGATGCTTGCAGAGAGATACACGGACATCATCCGTCATTGTGGTGTTGCGTGCTCCTCTCAGAGGCATTGTTGACGTGCTGCTGAATTGTTCTATAAGAATCTGTCGGAAGGCTTGAAGACTTAGGCTGAGCACTGGTATGTAAAATGCAAAGTGAATATACATAAAGGTCCTTAGTTCAAAATCTTGTGTTGATACTTCTAAGTCTGCTGGATTCATTCAGCCTATGCGTTAGTAATCACCACATCGCGCATTACTAATCGTCTAGTCGCGCATGACTTATTCGTCTAGTCGTACTAGTCTAATTTCGTTCGTGAGTTTCACAACACCTAAACGTACCTAAAGTGGGGGACGTCACTGCCTGGCAGGTCAGTGCTGGTGACCCCAAACCAAACACCAGGCCCGAAGATTTAACTACTTCGTCTATGTTCCTCACCGGTATTGAGCAAGTGACCAAACCGACTGAGCTACAGAACACTTTTCTAAAAATAGGCCAGACTTTCATTCAAACAGCCCTTTAAATTAGAGAAACAATCCAATTATTTATAAGAGTGTTTCAACATGTTCTTCTTTAATCCCGCTTTAAACTTATCAGCAATGGAGCTCCCCGCCTTATTATCAATTTAGACAGGCTCTGCTGTCCCAACCCCGCCCCGTCTCTATCATCCATGCGATCCACCGACCGACTTCACACAACCCAATCCGATCCCATCCCATCCCATCCCGTTCCAATTGCCAATGGGCGCGACCAGCAGCTCCGAGCTGCCCATGACCGAGCGCGACTTTGACTCGTACACGGGCAAGCGCTACACTATCGAAGTGCCCGATACCCGCGACGCCACTCACGGTCCCGTCTACCAAGTGCCGGAGCAAGAGCCGCTCGTTGAAGCCGAGATGACGCTCTACCACCTTTTCCGACACGGCTGCAGCATCGAAGACGGCACGCGGCCATTGTATGGCCAGCGCGTCATCGAGCCGGACACTGGCCGGGCCGGGGCTTTTAAGTGGACCACGTACAATCAGGTCAAAACTCGTGTGGCCCACATTGCCACCGGCCTCACCGCCGTCGGTGCTATGACGAGACAAGCAAAAGTCGGTATCTTCGGCAAGAACCAGCTCGAGTGGTGTCTAGTCGCCCATGCGTGCGACTCCATGAGCTACGTCCTCGTGCCGCTCTACGACACTCTTGGACCGGACGCAGTGCCGTTTATTGTGAACCACACGGAGCTCCGTGTGCTGTTCTGTGGCTTGAAACAATTCCCGATTGTCATGGAGTGTGCAGGTCGCTGTCCGACCCTTGAGCTCGTCGTACAATTTGAACCAGTGACGTGGCAACAGGTCCAAGAAGCCAAGGCCAAGCACATTGAGCTCCGGAGTTTGGACGAGCTCGAGCTACTGGGCAAAGCAGCTCCACAGCCAGCAGATCCACCATTGCCAACCGACGTGTCGACGCTTTGCTACACTTCGGGCACGACAGGAGACCCCAAGGGCGTGATTCTATTGCACCGGAACTTTGCTTACGTGGTGCGACAAGTGTGTCGTCGGAACCACGTGTTTCCCTCGGACGTGCACTGCTCGTACTTGCCATTGGCGCACGTGTTTGAGCGTGCAGTGCTGGGCGCCGTGCAACAATGTGGGGCTTCGGCAGGGTTCTATCAGGGTGATTTGTTGATGTTGATGGACGATCTAGCCGAGCTCAAGCCCACGGTCTTTGTGTCGGTGCCGAGGCTGTTTAACCGCGTGCATGACAAGATTATGCAAGGCGTGGCAGCTGCTGGAGGAATGAAGAAGTGGATGTTTGAGTACGCTCTTGCAAGCAAAATGACCGGTGTATCGGATGGACACAAGACCCACGCGTTGTGGGATGCTTTGGTATTCTCGAAAGTCCGGATGGTGCTAGGGGGTCGTGTGCGTCTTGTGTTCTCAGGATCCGCACCTTTGAGCCCGGATGTCAAGGCGTTTATGAAAGTTGTTTTCTGCTGCGACGTCTCGGAAGGCTATGGACTCAGTGAAACGGCTGCTGCAGTGTCTGCAGGGGCAGTTGGTATGCCTATGGGAGCTCATGTCGGCACGCCGCTCATGTATGGCCAGGTTCAGCTCGAAGATGTGCCGGAAATGGGCTACACGAGTCGCGACAAACCTCGGCCGCGCGGAGAGATATGCGTGAAAGGACCGATGCTATTTGCTGGTTACTACAGAGATCCTGAGAAGACTCGCGAGGCGATCGATGAGCGTGGATGGTTCCACACGGGCGATATTGGCTGCTGGAATGCTGACGGTACACTCAGCATTATTGACCGGAAGAAGAACATCTTTAAGTTGTCTCAAGGCGAGTACGTGGCTGTCGAGAAGATCGAGAACATTTACGCCAAGAGCAAATATGTGGCGCAGCTGTTTGCGTACGGTGATTCACTGCAGAGCTGTCTTGTGGGTGTGCTTGTGCCGGACCCCGAATTGGCTGAGGCGTGGGCTCATGAGCGCGGTATGACTGGAGAAGATGCGTCGATCGCAAAGGTGGCGGCCAACCCAGAGTTCCAGAAGACGGTGCTGGCAGACATGGCTCGGGTGGCTAAACAAGCCCAACTGCGAGGTTTTGAGCTCGTCAAGGCCTTGCACTTCCACCCCGAGCCATTCTCGCTGGAACAGGGTCTGATCACGCCTACTTTCAAGCTCAAACGTCCCCAGCTCAAGGCGCACTTCCAGCAGCAACTTGACAAGCTGTACGAGGGACTGAAGTAGAAGGTGCAACAAGTAGCCTTCATTCACTGAGTACTGAACCGCTGAACGAGGATGTAGCGCTCGTTTTTTTTCGATTGGTGTGAACGCGATAATGATTGAGCGCTCTTCGTTTCAAACTAAATTATTGCGAGCCCGGTGAACTGTAGCCGGTATCCTAACGTCGTGGTGGGTAAAGGTAGTAACTATGCGAGAAAGAGGCTGGTTTGGGGTGATACTCCTACATTTCCTCGATCCGTGCGAAGACAGAAATTGGGCTAGACTTTCCACTGAAGAGGGTGCTGCTTCCTGCGGTGTCAACTCATTTGTAGTCGCATCAAAGAAGCTCCACCCTCGACTCGAGAAAACAAATTGGTACATCGTCGAGCTGACACGCTTGGCCGGCAAATTGTTGCTACCAAACGTGCCAGCTCGACGATGTTTCGATCGGTCTTTCGCGTCGTCCATAGTTTTGCGTAACATTGACCCTACTCTGATCTCCATCACATCCATCGATCCACCGTCCACTGTGCGTGTGATCGCAAGCTCTTTTAGTCTGTAAGCTACATCAGCATGTAGTCCGCCATTTCGTGCGACTCAAATGCAAATGGCTTCAGGTATAGCAATGTGTGCGCCGACAAATCGACACATAGTACTCAAACTACAAGCCATCGCACAACACTACATTGTGACATGAGTCAGTCTATTGCCATAACGTCGTTCACACCTTTTTCTCGGTACGACGGTGATGTCAATGCTTGCTGTAGCAAGCACAAAATGACAGCAGTACAAAGCGAACGTCTGTCTTTATAGCTATAACCTAGCAGGTAACGTCGCCACCCATTTTATGCGAGCAGTAGTACCATGACTACATGAATGAAAGCGTCGAACGCGACCAAGCGCTACAAGTGATTGACTACCACTTTAACAGCGATGGAAGAGCCAGGCTCCAGGGAAGAATGATCCGACAAAGTAGTTAGGAAGCTCGTTGTGAAGATGTCAAATATGTGGATGAAGCAGCTGCTGCTCATGCGGCTTTCGTAGCTGTTAACTTCGTAAACAAGAGACCCGGAGGATTGCGTTGATGATACGCAGAATGTTTCAGTCGAGTGTTGACGGCCGCTGCATCGTCAACAAGCCTGAGCTGTGCTAGATCCCCAACTTCTCACTGAACTGAGCAACCACCAAATGTTACCGTAGAAATACTCTCGCTGTCTTTCGTGCTGCTTATAGAGAGCGACAGGAGAGAGAACTCTGGTAAGAGAGGCCAGCAGGCTACCGTGCTATTACCACTACGTTTTACACAGCTAGGCGTCATCGTATCCGATGATAACATCGAGTCGTTGCACTTACCATGTTCGATTCCCACACCTTTCCGAAGCGATGCGAAAGAGTCGGTACATGTCATGCAAAAGCGAATGACTGGTCGTCAATGCTAGCCCGTTCGTCATAACAAGCGTCTAGTCTCGATTCACAGTTATCCCCCTGAGCATGATCTGCTTGTGCGTCGTTCCGTTCCATGTTAAGAGCTGATTAGTCGTAGCTTGCGAGACCTTATGCAAGTGCGTACCGAGCACCCCTAGCTGAAACTTCCTCAACTTTCATCGTTGTGTGGCTGAAAAAACTACCTTCTGACCTCAGAAAACTGGTAATCTGAAGCGGGGCTTGATCAATTGCAGGATGGTACAAGGTCATGGACAAGAGTTTACTCAAGTCTACTTCTGTACAGCTACTTGAAACTCTTGTCCATGACCTTGCATCATTTGGGTTTGCCTTGGCCTGGCTTGCTTGATCGCGCGTGCATTTTGCCTGGTGGTCTAAGGTTGGCGACAAAGACGTCGCTATCGCAAAGACGGCAAGCATGACGTTTATCGCGAGTTCTAGACTAATCATGCCACGTGAATTTGACATCGTGATGCGATGATAAATTCGGCAGCGTGGGGTCAATGTCGATGATTCGAACCTCAGTGCCTCATGTCGCCAAGACTTATATATCGCAGTTGCCGTGTACTTTTGCCTACCTACTATTCCCACTCGTCACTGTGATGATCGACCTGTGCGCACGGGAACATCGTCATGCTTCGCATTGATACTGTTGGCTGCTTGCTATAGAAAGAGGACGCCACCGCACATTTCTTCATTAATAACATGATGAGATGTGTTCTCTAGACAACAAGTAGTATTGACCAAGTTGACGGGACGTCATTTTCTGGCATTCCATGCACTTTGTCGATCACCGTTCCTAGTTTCCTGCCGTCGTGTACTCTTTATTGCGAGCCCGTTGAACGAAGTTGTTCGTGACTGGGCGCCGAAAGTGAATACCCAATTTTTCATCACCTATTTTCTGTGAGCGTCTGCATGTCTCGTCTATACATGACGCTAAGTGTACCTAACACGTTGTGCTAAGTGCGAGGTAGCCTCGTCATAGTAGATATGCGTCATAGGTATCACTCTTTGATCCGGTCACAAAAATTGCGACCGAGAAGTGTGTAAATTACTTACGCGCACCAATGGCCGCACGTGATTGGCCAAACAGTGACCAAGGGTGAACAAAGGGCAGATTAGCACGCGCTCATCGCTGTGGTCCCAACTGTAGTAAGAAGTTACGGTCCCTTGTCCTTTGGACTGAATGAATCAGATCAAAGGGCGAGCTTCAGAGCTTGGTTCCCTATCATCTTCAAACCAATGTCTTTACGAGCAAGTGCTCACATTGCTATTTGCCTTACGTAAAGACCACGAACCGACACCTCGTTACCGGTAAAGCTAAGTGACATACGAGGTCTCATTCAACCAGCAATAACTCTCATGCGCAACGTGATCCAACAGTGCACTCTTCAGCGTACAATTAGGCTGGACTGCATCCAGTCATCACACACGCATCCTGCGCAGACCGACTCTGACCTCTTACATGACCCTAAGTTTCTTACTGGACGTGTGGGCGACGGCCCTGTGTTCCACTCCTTCTCGAGCCTGTAGAGCTGGACAGGCACGTCTGCACACGTGAACAGAGTGATACCTAGCTGCTTCTACATGGAAATTCGAGAACGCGTGAGATAAACAAGCAGGCAAACGTGGGGACACAAGAAGAGAAAGCAATATACGACATCACGCACCTTCTCGACAAAGACATTCTCTTTTGACGTGTATTCAAATCTTGCGCTAGTATGTGAGCTCTTTGCGGGAGCCAAGGAACACGGCATAGTCGCTGGAAATCTGGTCTATAAGATCGTTTCGTCACCGGGCAGGAATGGACTAGGCTCCTTGAAACCAGGTTCGGACAGCAACGGAAGTTGTGCTTGAAATGCGTTCCTGACGTGTTGAGGCGACTTGTCGCTGTTGCGCCACACTCGGAACTGCTCGTTCTGCAGCGATATCGCAGTGTGCGACCTCTCTTTGACTGCCCGCGAGATCAATATCGCCAGCTCAAACTCGCTCAAGTAGTCTCGAAGCGTAGCGAGCACCGGAAGGTCTGCGATTCCATAACGGTTCAGATAAAGGAGAGGAGCAACAAGGAACTTGCAGAAGTCCTTTGTAAGCACAACCTTTGCAGCAGTAGTTAGACGGACGTCGAACGTGTGTTCAATAAACTCGGATCTGACCAACATTAGCAACGCCTTATGAGGTGATGCCACGTGGACGAGTTGCAAAAAGACCATATCCATGAAGTCACGGAAGCTCGAGGTTGTAGAGACTGGACGGCTATGAAAGATGGTGCCATGTACCTTCGCAAGCAACTGCTTCAATTCGGTGAACGCGGCTTGGAACGGCTTAATCAACTGGATGAACATGGTAGTAATAGGGCTTTCGAAGGGAGCGAGGCGTTCTTCCGGTTGGTTCACGTCAGGAGAATCACCCGTCAGCAGTCCATTAGTAGCCGTGGACACGCGTTCCTCATCGCCAGACGTCGTGGCCACAAGCTCCCTCGAGGCTGACACGATGTCAGCCATGACAAGCACAGACGTCGCACTCATGAAGAGCGCAAAGAGGTGATGGGGCCGCATGGTTTGACAACGAATCGTGTGGCTTCCCTTTGGAGACGTTGCGAGCAGGACTTGGCAACGAAGGTGCGGAACGAAAAGTGAACTGATCCCGAGGTTCAGAGTGCGACACACACTACTTCCCAATCGGCAGCGAGCTGCAACATGGACAGAGGCGAGACCCTCTTGGGCGGGAAGTCTCCGATTGTGGGGCCGAGGTGAAAGGGAGGGGGGGTCTCCTCGCTGCGTGCGCTACGGGAGGCAGCGCAGCGTGCGGCTCGAGAGAGAAGTGTTCGCTCATAGTAGTCGATGAGAGGAAGTCTGCAGCGCTGTGGTAAAAGGATTCTGTCATTGTTTTTGGTGTTATCGTTTCTTGCTACGATGATGGACTAGTTGTTCTTGTTCTCCATCACTTCTATCCAATCAATCAACCATCCACTATGCTGTCCACTCAATCACTAATCTTCCTACATCTCTTCAAGTCGTCAGCCGTTACTTCAACCGTTGCTACAACCTTTACCTCAACCGTTACGGGTAACAATGCCGTTTTCTAACACTCCTCCTCGGCTACGACTTACCGTTCAAACCGAGGTGCACCAAAGTGCGCATCGTCGCCAGCTTGTGTGGGTCAAGTGCCTTCGTGAGCAGATCAGCGAGCATTAGCTCCAATCTCACATACTGCGCACGCGCGATCCCGCGCCGAGCAAAGTCGCAGACAAACTTGACTCGCACGTCATTGTGCTTTGCCTTGAGTGACGACGCCTCACCCTCGAGCTGTCGAATTGCCGCTTGATTGTCGACGTGCATCAACATCGGTAGCTCTGGTGCCATTCCAATCTCGATAAGCATCTCGCGCACGCCCAGCAGCTCACGAGCGATCTCTGACGCCGCCACAAACTCGGCTTCCATTGTCGAGAGGGACACTCCACCTTGTTTCTTGGCGCTCCAGCTGATCGCCATGCCGTTGAGGAGGACGATGCCTCCGGTCAACGACTTCCTGTCGCTCTTATCTGCGGCAAAGTCGGCGTCGCTAAATGACTCGAGCTTGGTTGACGCGCACCTGACATCTCTTGGCTTCATGTTAATCTTCATCGTCTTCGTCCCCTTAAGGTAGCGAGCCACACGCTTCGCGAGCTTCCAATCGTGAAGCCGCGGTTGGTGCGTCTGTCGCGTCGTCTTGTGAACGGCGAACGCAAAGTCGGGCCTCGTACAACGCGCGACCCAAAGCAGAGATCCGACGAGCGACTGGAAGTCTCTAATTGTAGGTGCTCCATTTGTGCTCGTGGCCTCAAGTTGCACGCTGTCGATCGGCTGCACTTCATAGCAGTCGGCACCGATCGGTGCAAGTGTCGAGTTTGCGTTTGTGAGGCCATGTTCTTGCAGCAAGTCGCTAATCGCCTCCTCCTGATCCAGTACGTAGCCGCCTTCGCCATCGAGCGCCACTCTCATACCGAGAAACTTACTCACACGGCCAAGGTCCTTGATTGACAGGCTCGCGAGACTGGCAAAAAACCGATCTACCGCAGCTGCTCCGGTGCCAGTTGCAAGCAGGTCGACGACCACGACGGTATCCTTGCCGTCACGCTTCCAGTAGAGACACATGTCTGCCACACACTGTGTAAATCCTGCGCTGCATAGCTTCGCATGCAGGAGCTGGCTCCAGAGTCGTCCGGCTTGCTTGAGGCCGTATAAACTCTTTCGAAGCTTGAGTGCCAGCTCCTTCGTACTTGCCGCACCTAGCTTCTTCAGTGTCGCGTCGTCGACTTCCATGGCTTGCGGTACCTGTAGCAGTATCTCGAGGTTAGGCTCCTTGATCGCCTTCACATACGCATTCGGTATGTCACCATGTTTAGCGGGTACGCCCCACGTCGCCGCCAGAGCCAAAAGCACCTTCACCGTAGACATGTCCATGACTGCCGCGAAGGTGAGCTGGTAGTCGATACCAAAGACCTGCTCGTTTCCACACGCGACAAGTCGAGCCTTGAGTCGCTCGAGGTCGCCGTGCGCGTCGGTCTTCGTCTTGAATACCCACTTGGTGTGTAGTGTGTTGCTTCCGGATGGCCGCTTGATCAAGCGCCACACGCCGTTGTCTTCGAGCGCTTCGAGCTCTTCACGCATAGCTTTCTCCCAGCCTTCGCGTTTGCTGCTGCGTATCGCTTCACCATAATTGTTGGGGTCTCGCTCAAATACGTGAGCCACCACACTTTCGTCTCGTGATGGCTCCTCCTGAACCCCAGATGCCTGCGAACGCTTCGCCGCGCTGCGCGTCCTGTGTGCTGCACGCGTCCATGACTTCGAATTTTTCTTTCCTCTGCGTATCTTCAATGTCGGAGCTGGGTCTGCCGACATCAGGGTCGCCGTCGCTGTTTCTGTTGATGTCGCACCTGCTTGATCCTCGTAGTCGAGCGCCCTCTGTAACTGATTGTTCTGTGCCTCGCTGAGCGTCTCAATATCCTTCACGTGCTGCGTGACTGTAACCTTGTTTTCCTTCTGAAGGAACACTCTGTAGCCCTTGGTTTCATCGCTGCGTCCGATGATGATGCCGACTTGCGATCGCCTTGCCAGAGAGTTCTTGCGTGGATCGCGGTAGACAGAGCAAACAGAGCCAAATGCTACTATGTCTCGCAAGTCAGGCGCGTGCTTTGTCAGCACTTCCAATGGTGACGCTCGCTTCGCGTTCGCACTTGTCGGGCTGCGGTTGAGAATGTACGCCGCATATTCGACCGCGTCACCCCAGAATGACACGGGAAGTCGACTCGCAAAGATCATCGACCGCGCCATGTTTAACACCGTTCGGTGCATGCGCTCGGCTTTGCCGTTCGATGCCTGGCTGCGTGCCTCGCTGACCTGTCTTGCGACACCAGTCGACTTACAGAAGAGGTCGACATTCGCGTACTCGGCACCTCCGTCCGTCCTTAGCACGTGGATGCGGCACTCAAACTGGCGCTCGAAGAATGCCAAGAAGTGTTCGAACTTCTTCGCGGCCTTTTCCTTCGTTGGAGCGAGGAAGACGCAACAGTAATTGGACTTATGGTCCACAAAATTGACGAGGTACCGGTTTCCGAGCCGGTCCTTGGGGGTCATCGGACCCTTGAGGTCGGAACAGATGACGCCACCAATGCGGTCAATAGGTGAGTTAACACCCGTGTCCTTACGCGACTGTGCGTTCTTCGTCTGCTTGCCTTGGGCGCACGAAATGCACGTCGGCCTCGCACGATCTGTGAGTGTTATGCCGGACTCTGGATCGCTTGCCATGCGCTCGACCGTGTCGTACGCCAAGTGACCCAGACGCTGGTGAAAATGGTAGAGTGAGCCAATCTGGACATCCATCGCTGATACATCCGTCGAATCTTGAGTTAGGATCGCCATCAGCACATCGCGTGGTGTCCCTGCGCGTGTCGGTGCCACTGTGTCAACGTATAGTACGTTGTTTTCCATTTTTATGTCGAACACGACTTCTCCATTGCTGCGTCTCGCAAGTGTGCGCTTCGTACCGTCGTAGACAAGTCCAAAACCCTTGCGTTTAAGCTTTCCGTACGACATGATATTTCTTGATAGATCCGGTGCGAGGTAGACCTCCGTCAGAGTCACATCTCGCTTATGTCCTTCTGCTTTCACAGTCAGTACAACGCTACCGACGCGCGACAGCTTGATAACCTCGCCATCGGCTAGGTGGCACTCGTATTCGCAGTCTCGCACACCTTGTAGTAGAGACGCGTTGTTGACGAGGTGGCGACTGGATCCACTGTCCAGAATCCAGTCGTCGCTTTCTTCGTCACTGTCATTGCTAATTGCCAGTGTCAAATTACACTTGGCATGACGCTTGCCCTTCTTGCTGATGCCTTCGCCAATCGCAAGTACAATGTTGCCACCGCTCTTACCGCGACGGCTGCTGTTCTTGTCGCTAATCCTCCTGCTACGACAGTCGGCTTTAACATGTCCCATCTTGCCACATCCATAGCAGGTACGCGTTTCCTTTCGCGGTGTGGACTAATCCACGTGGGCGACAACCTCCTTTCCAAAGAAGCGTCCCGGTCGAGCTTCCATCTCGATTGCCTGCGCGAAATGTGCGAGCTCTTCGGCGTGCACTAGGTCGTCGACACGATGCGTCTCGTACATGGCCATCAGAATCGTCGACAGCTCGGGCGATGCATACCGCACGATATTATCAAGCACCTGCTGCTCAGCGCCACCAGCCGCATCGCTGACTGCGACTAGGTACAGGTAGTGCTCCGGCCACGAGCGCTTGCCTTCCTTCCTTGTCGTAAACAGCTTCATTGCTTGGGCTGCGGTGATTGTCGTCTTGAATGTATCAAGCATGCGCTGCATCACGTACTGGAGAGTCGGTAGCACGGCCCACCACGTGTCGACCTGCTTGCTGAAGTAGCGCTCTGCTGTGCCAGTCAGGTACTGGCCAAGAACATCAGTCTTGACGTTCTCGGTCCACAGAAATACGCACGACTCCTGAGCCATGTCTACTTGCCTCCAGAAAGTCTTGCCCCAGTCGAAGAAACCGGACCCGAGTCCGACGTACACTTCGGTCCCGTCAAACTTCCGTATCGCGAGCTTGCGCTGCCTCGCGTCGGGCGTCCGAAACTGAGTTGGCAAAGGGGATTGCATCGGCGCAGCTGGTGACTCCTGTCGATTTGGCATAGGCGAAGGCTGATACGCTGGTATCTGGACAGGTGGCTGATGTGCGCGCTGCGCACGCTGACGATCGACACACAAGCGCGCTTGGTGGCTTGTCAAGTCCGTGCAGTCAAGCGCGTCACGGTGAAGCTTGCCCGCGAAGTCCGCGGCAAGCATTGAGGTAAACATTCCGCTGTCCACCGCTCCACGCATGCGCTCGTCTTGGTCAATCCTTGCCTGGGACAGCTCCATCTTCTTAACGCGCTCGTCCATGCCGCTCAGCAACTTGAGAACCTTCTCCAGCGCATCGTTGTCCGCGCTCCTTGCGTGAGCGTGCGATGGTACGACCACGGCAGGCTCCGACGCAGCCCTTGCGTGACTGTTAATCGGCGGCGCCTGTGCCGTGTAGTTGTCGTCAGACGACCCGTTTGGGCTCATAACCTGTTCGCTCATAGTAGTCGATGAGAGGAAGTCTGCAGCGCTGTGGTAAAAGGATTCTGTCATTGTTTTTGGTGTTATCGTTTCTTGCTACGATGATGGACTAGTTGTTCTTGTTCTCCATCACTTCTATCCAATCAATCAACCATCCACTATGCTGTCCACTCAATCACTAATCTTCCTACATCTCTTCAAGTCGTCAGCCGTTACTTCAACCGTTGCTACAACCTTTACCTCAACCGTTACGGGTAACAATGCCGTTTTCTAACAAGAAGCGGTCCGCAGGATATCCTAGTGCAGAGCACGTTGGTCATGGATCGAATCACCCTGCAAAGCGAAGGAGGTCCTACCCGTTACGGTCTGCCTACAACTCGCCGACACGTTCGCTGAGCATGAGCCCGGTCCTGTGATAAGAACATCCCCAAGACCGTGACGACCCCCGTTGAGATCCCGTAGCGGTCGTTTGTGTGTAGTAGCACCGAGCCAGATACTCTTCGTTCATCTGGGCACATTTGAGCACGTTGTGAGTCCGAGCTGACCTGAAGAACAACAAGTCGACTACAAGGTGATGACCGGGGATTACGTCGAGATGGCTCGCTGGGACTACCGCATTGGTAACAGGACTCCTAGTCAAGCGTCCTCTGTCCCCTGAATCAAATTGCATCGAGCGCGAGAGCAGCCCCGCTATTTGGTAGAGTGCACACAAGAATCGACCCTCGGACTTGGTCAACGGGCGGTTTCCACGGACCCTTTCGGGAGTGTCCCGACGTGACGCCCGACGTCTTGAGCCAGTAGACTGAGAAAGCTAGGAGTAGTAAGACCACACGAGGTGGTTACCACATAGCCAGGTATCTCATTAGTGCTAAGTCGTTCTGATAGACACAGTTCGAGCTTCCGAGTAAGGGATTCGGTCCATTCTTTACAGATCACAAGCAGTATAGGCCACGATGTAGTGCAGCTTTTCGACACGGTGAACAGTTGTAGATGAAGAACAAGTAGAGCTCAATCCAGTCAGCTTGTTCTTTGAAGCTTGCCAACTACCGGCTGGTGAGTCATGGATACCTCACTTGTTCCCTCGACCCGCACGATACATGTCAACGTACAAACGTCCACCCCTTCGATCGGGCCTGATGATGGAAGGGCCCTTTAACACGATGCGTGAGGGATCCGAGAGCTAGAAACTGGACGACGTCGTTGCTGCCGGCTTTGATGAGTTGATCTCGTGCTTTTCCAGCATGCTTGCCGATCACGTCCGACGCATCTTGGGACGAAAGTTTACTCGCGACCATCGGTGATCCCGGCATCACAAAGATCATACTGTAGCAGAGGGGCGTTCGTCGAATTAAAGTTTGTTGTGTTTGGAGCGTCCCGTGACGAGCAGACCGGCGTGAATACTAGTGCACCCTCCACACACTATCACCCTCATAAGTGTTAATGACATCAAGTGTAAGGCGTGGACGCTTAGAGTACCGCTAGAGCCACCACGTGCCTCATCCAATGTAGCTTAAAGTCGGATAAGGTAGGAGTCTTTGGAAATTAGTCCTGATTACATGTACCTATGTTGAATCCTAGCCGCTGTCAAAGGCGCTGTCGACTTCGTATCCAGGTGGTGATCGTCGACCACCACGGTATGTGCAGCTGGTCCAGCCGCACCACCCACACATTTGGTTGGACTCACAACCTGTTGGACTGTAGTGTGGTTCTCTGCACTTGTGCAGAAGATGTAGGAAGTAAGGGTGAAATGTATGGCCTGTTAACTATTCTCTCTAGTCCACCCTATTGTATGCATTGCACCAGCACTGTAACTTGACCTGGTCAAGTTACACTTGGCGTACATCCATTGTGCCCTCACCATGTGTTGGTTTTGGTCCCACATGGCGTCCGTATGTCGCTGTCTCACCTACCATTTGTCTCGATAGTGCGACATGACGGTCGTCTTCTCTTGTCTCATGTGTCGACTTGTCTCGTCGTCTTCGTCCCACCTATCAACTTGTCAGCTGATCAGGTGAGGGAACTCGTCCATCAGGCTCGCGATTTTCACTACAATATAATCAGCCTCAGCATCGATTCGTGGCTGAGAGCATCGAGTAGTCGAAACAGCTCGTCCGCGATTTTCTTCTGGTCGTTCAGTTAATAGCCTAGGCATTTGCTCAGCACGGGTGAGAGGGATTGCGGAGTCGATAGCGACATGGCTCAAGGCAAAACATTGGCTGGGAGTCATTTTTTGAAGCATGTAGAGAACGAAGTTGTGTGTAGGCAATAGCATCGTTTTGTGGGAAGGACGGCAGATAAGTCTGACTCATCTCGACGGAGTAGGAAACAACGAATTTATCTTCTCACTCGAACTACTTGGGTCTTCTCGTTTACACACTAAACAATGCCTGTACGCTAGTTTGTGCTGCTCAGACTACATTAACGAACAACTACAATAAGGATGAAAGTTACCACCTGCTAAATAAATGTCAGTGTTCTAGTTTACACGTCATATCTGTTCGCGCCCTCTCTAGGTCGTTGAGAGTGCTGAATGCAGCAGAATACAGCAGAATGGACGGATTCAGCCTACTTTATCGACTGGCCAATGACGAATAATTCAGATAGCACTGCTACAGCACGTGCCGGTCCTACTTCGATTCGTTCAGACCGAAAGCGCCAATTGACAACACGACAGGTGTCTTGTGGCAGACAGAGAATCTATTAGATGCTGAACGCGTCATGCTTCCAAGGTCGATTCCTTGCTCACCCTTCGTTTTTACGTTAATTCAGTCACTCTTTTTCCCGTCAGCACTTTCTTTTGTACTTGTCAGCATGCTTCCTACGCTGCATGTAGACCTTAAATACGTGTACCGAGCAGTTCGTTGCTTTGTCTTACGATGTGGTTCTCCTTAGGCATGGACGCGTTCGTGTACTCGACTGTCAGGCACTATCACTAGTGTAGCGCGGACCGATGGCGTGATCCTTAGGTCAAACAAGCAAGATGGCGACAAAGCTACTTCGATTGGTCGTGGCTCCTTCCTATAGCGAAAAGATGAAAGCGAAGCCTCGAAAGGTCGGATCGTGAAAAGATCCATGTCGTGCTTTGAAACATCAAGCTGCACTTTTGGTTGAACGTTGCTAGCCATTCATGCAGTAGTAGACTCACATCTATTTAGCCATCGATAGTGTCTGTTTACAGACGATCGCGTTCTTTCATACCGATTATATGGCTGCACGAAGTTCCACCTATTTCATGAGCGGAGCGATCAACCGTTTGGTTTGAACCGACTGACTAACGAGATAAAAACACTCGCCTACACTTTCATCATTCTTACATGCCATTGATCAAGCAGTTTAAAACTTACTAGTTCATGTGAAGGTCGCAAAGTCGGTGCGTCAATTGGCGCTGCCCTATCCCAGGTACATTGGATCGGACGCTTTTCACGGTCTCGTATCTTCTCATTACCCGTCAAGAACTTCGACTTAAGCGTGGCTTTACATGATAGTCCACTTGCATGCCTTCTCCACCTTTCTCGATATGAGCTTTGTTAGGAATGTAGGTACCGACTTGCGGACTTCTTCGCCGTCGAAATGTTTGCGATTCTAATACCCGTACGATGCAAATTCGTCAAGCAACACGTCAAAACGACCCGAGTTATTGGCGTAACGTGGGCTAGTGGAAGACAGAACGAGACACGGTCTGAGTAATTTTGTATCATGATATCAGCAGAGCTGATGATTTCAATGTGCAGTCCTCTCACTCAACTATCATTATCCACACCGTCACTTGTATCTTACTACGTCAAGTATCGACAAAAGCTGCGCATGTTCACCTCGATGTGGTAACCGCTTCTCCGTACCAATGAATTCATAGTCGAATACCAGTCTGTCGAAGTTTATTTGACTGACACACACGATGAGTTGTGAGATACAAGTGCATGTCAGCTCGGGACTGAGGGAGATTCATGATGAACAAATACTTTGCGAAAGACTAATGCGCTGCGCCTGTCGAAAGTGTTCTCAACTCTTGACGATCTGTCAGCTTCCTGTTCAACTAAGCTTGCGATCGCATAACAAGTATGCTCACTGGGACAACAACATGAACCAGATGCTGTCAAGTCTGCGTCATTCGATTTAGTTGCTGCATTCTACCCGAGTATGCGGCAACACAAGGCACGTATGCCTAGGACTATTCATTCACGTTGCGACTTGAGCCTGTCGTCGGTACATGGCATTCTGGATGGCAGCACAAAAGGAGGATGTTCGTCGTAGCATTTGTTACGTTCACATATGTGAAAAGATATGCAACAAGAGCATTCAGCGTCATCGCCAACACCCGCGACGCCTGGAGCTCCGTTTCTATGCACGCATTTTGTCCCACACTCATCCACGCAATCGGCCGACGTTATAAAGTGCGCTGTAGGCGCCCTGAATGCCTACTTGGTGAGCGGTCATTGTCTCCGTTGCTTCTCTTTGTCGAGCTAGCAGTTGTGGTTGTGGAGCTGCTGCGAGTCGCATCACCGCTAACCCCAGTCGTGGTGGTTCCGGTAGTTGTCGTCGTCACCACCGCAGCGCCATCACGAGTTCCAGTCACGTCGACAGCGCGTCCAGCTTCTCATTCTCAGCGCGTTTTCGCATGCGGCGGCGCTGGTTTTTCGTAAGCTTGATATCTCCCGTACCAGTGGTGCCACCTACGGGGCCTACGTTCTTAGCAAGCGGTGGTTGTTGTACCAGCGGCTGCGACGTTTCGTCAACAGCTTTTTCGTCATGTGCACTGCTAGTATCTTTCTCATTGTCTTCCTGCTTCTCAGATTCGTTCTGGCAACGACTGTTACGACGCTGCTGAAACTCGTCCTCACTGCGCAGCAGTTCCTTGATCTTGTCCCCCATAACAGTGTTAACCTTTTCGACTTCGGCTGCAAGACCCTTTAGCGTGATAGAGTTCGTATCACGACGAATGTCGATCGTCACATTGCTAAACTGCTTCTGTAGAGCACGGATATTCGCACCGCTCTTTCCGATCAAAGATCCGATCATGGAACTTGCAAAAGAAGGCGAGACGGAGGTGGGCAAAGCAATCGTCATCACCACACACTTGTCGAGGAGATGCTCGATCATCTCCACAATGCGCTCGCGCTCGTTGTGATCATCGCTGCAGATCACAACTTGCAAATCACCCTCCTCCTCACCATCGGTAACGTGAAACTGCACACCCTTTGCAGCATCTTTCTTGACGGATAATGCCACGTCCAACTTGGCCTTGCTGACATGCACGACCGAAGACAAATTTTCATGATGGATGAGGATTTCCTTTACCTTTTCGGTTGCCGTCTTGACAGCCGCATTGTCCTTCGAGCTGATGGTAAGGACACGATCCTTGTGGCGTGACCCCGATGGCGACGGTGCACTCAAATCCAGTCGAGCATTGCTTTCCGTGCTGATCTTTTTGATGGTGTCACCATTTCGGCCGACCAAGATCGGTACGAGCCAACCAGCAATCGGCAGCTCCACAAGTTGCTCCTTCCAAGCCTTGACATCTTGTTCTAGCTGCTTTGCAATCTCCACAGCATGCAACTTGGAGTCCGTAAAGACTTTGAGGCTCGTCTTAGTAGGCAGCGAAAATACGACATTATACTTGACGCGGAGAGAAGGCAGCAGCTCGTAAAGACGGGTCGCAATAAAGATAGGGAGATTGTCCAACGTCGTGAAACAGTCTGGGTAGTAAAACTGAAGTGCATTTTCGACCTCCGTCTTGGCCTTGTAAACATTGGAGGCGTTGGTGCCTTCGATACGAACAGTGCCTTCTTCAGCAGCACCAGCTGCTGACGAACGCGTAATGCGAAGGTTGCATCCGGTATGCTTGCAGATCCGCAACGCATTCTCATTAAGCTTACCAGCGTCATCCTTGATCCCCAAAGCACTCGCAAATGCAATCGAAGGCAGCGGGACGGTCTCGACAAAGTGTGATCCGGGTGACACCAACATTTCCAAGAATTCTTTTATCTTGCGAATTCCTAATGCAGGACCACGAATCTTAGCCACCATGCCACCATCCTCAATAGACACTCGCATACCTCCCCCACCTTCGGCCTCCAACTCCCGCAACCGTATCGCGACAGACTTATTCTTCTCTAGAACGGTACTAAAGTTGGGTGAAATTGGCACAGTAGAGCCACGCGGCAACCCTGTAGCTCTTTGCGGCTCATGCTGCGAGACATGGACCGTCTCAACCACATGAGTTTCACGCAGCGTCTTGAGCACGTCATCAACACAAGCCTGAAGGGCTTCAGGAGTTACTGCCTTCACGCGAACTTGCCCACGGTTTGGAAACGCGTCTAACGTAGCATCAGGGTGAGCAAGACGCAGTGCCTTAATTCGGTCTCCCTTCTTGCCGATCAAGCAGCCTGTGGAAAAGGCATCTAGTTGTAAGAGCTGGCGGTGTTGCGTATGCAATAGATCAGCAACGGCAGTCTGAACGACCTTGAGCTGATCTTGCGTGCCAAACATTTCTAGCTCAGAAGACTGACCGCCTGTTCCTCGCAGCACGCGGACCTTGGATCCACTTTTGGTTTCAAGATCGGCCACAGTTTCACCGTTCTTACCGATCACAATCGGAACTTCGTCATCATCCAGCGGAAGGTACTGGACATGATGGGTCTCACTTAATTCCTCTAGCTGTTCCTTGGCCATTCGAATAGCATCCTGTGTACCAGCAACCGAGATCCTAACTTGATCCGACTCGCCACCGCTACTCCGGGCTGCTGCATCACGTACTAGCGGGGGCAAGTGCAGCTTGCAGCCGCTGCTGTTTTCAATCGCAGTCAACTTGTCACGCTTGGACGCCATCAAAATAGTAATCAGACCACGCGACGTTACAAAGACCGAGCGCTGACTGCTGTCGACAATCTCCATGATCGTAGCTCTAGCACCGTTGATGGCCTCTGCATCGTCGCCAAACACGCACACGTACGTGTCCTGAATGTCAATGCGTACGTTGCTCTCCTTCCCTTTCCTTTCGATCTCCTTAATCTTGCTTCCCTTTTTACCAATAACGTGGCTCAGCAAATGCTTGTCGGCTACTTTGTGCATCCAGTGGCATTGCTCGAAGTCTTTAAGACGTTCACGAAGTGCACTTTCCGAAGCGTCAATCTGCTTTCTGTTGCCCACGACCTGAATCTGACGTTCCTTTTTGAGCACCTTGATACGCGCTCCTAAGGCGTCTGCGCGCAGCAAACGCAGTTGCTTTGCCTTGTTGGCCATCAAGAATTCGGCAAAGAACTCAAACTTATACGGTGGAGACTCTGACCCCTTGAACAAGTCGCTATTCTCAGGTGTATAGTTCTTCTCCTGCTGAGACTCTTTGCTCATGAGCTCTTGGATATACATTTCAGCGTCAGCAACGCTCTCCATTGTACCAACAAGTCGGACATTGTTCGTAACCTTATCAATGTCCACCAGAGCCCCTGTATCCTGCATCAACTTGTTAATTGCTTCACCCTTCTTCCCAATAAGCTTTGGCACAATCTCCGATGGCAGTGCAATGTCCACTTTGCCAGCCGTCAGACCATCAATTGCGTTTTCCAATTGCTTGGCCTTGTCAGGCGAGGCCATGACCGTCAAGATGCCTTCAGCCTTGCTAATGTCAATCTTCAGCTGGTGTGACTTTTCCAACTCCCGCAAGAGCTTGGCTTGCTGACACATCAGCACTTTCACCGTATCCGGGTGCAAGCCAATGGCATGACTGGTCGCCAGCGTAACGTCCTCGATTGCCTTCTTGGCTGTCTGCACCTGTTCCAAGGCACTAGTAATCTTGACACTGTTGTGTTCATTGTCCACTTCAAGTATAACACAGCACTCTTTCTCGAGCTGATGGACACGGACAAATTCCTTGCCAATGAGTGTACCCATCTTGTCCGCCGGGATCGGCACGGAAATCGTCACAAAGTCAGCAACTGCTTTCTCAAGGTGTGCTGCCAGCTGAAGCTGTCGACGTTGGTGTTGCAGTTGCTGCAACGTACTGTCCATTGCCTTATGTTGCTCGAAGCGCTCCTGTCGCTCCGCTCGCAAAGTGTCCAGCTCGCGCTGGAACTTGTCGCACGTCGTATGTTGCGCAACTTTGTCCTGAAGGTGCTGCAACTCGCGCAACACTACGCGCTCGTCTGCTGCCGACATGGACGTCGTTGTGCGGTGCCACTCTTTCTGCTTCCTGTCCTCCTGCAGGCGCTCGAGCGACACGGTTGGGCGTCGCGGAGGACTCTTGAACGCGGCGCGCAGCTTCTCGTCCAGCGCTTTCCCAGCTGCTGCATTGGCTGCTTTCGCTGCTGTCACCGTCTCGATGCGCTGCTGTAGCTGGTGGAGCAGCTCGGCGTCGCTGGGCGTGGACATGGAGGACGGAGACGGAGGGGAGAAGAGCAGAGACAGGAGTGGGGACGCAGTCGCCACGTCACAAGTGAATTTGAGAGTGAGGAGTGGGGGTCAATGTGATGTGGTACACTGGGTGTCCGAATAGTAGAGAGTGATGGTCGGACAGAGTGCAGGTCGAGGAGTTGACGTTTGGTTATGTTGCGGAAGCAAGATGGAGGGGGGGTAGGGTAGTGAGGGCTTGTCAAATGTGGAGATAGGAGAGTAGACGGGACGACATTCTGTGGATACCGGTCGCTTTTTGAGGTGAATTACCGGTACACAGCGGTGGTGTGCCGTGTCGAGTCGTGTGTTTGTTTTTGATTGCGGTGGGTGGGAGTAAATGTTGGCAGTTAAAGTGACGTTTGTCTGAGGCGCGCTTGGACGTGCCGAAGTTGTTATAAGCTATTATGTTTGACAGGTGTTTAAGGCTCAAGGGATATACCACGTTACGGACTCACTGATCGGCAAGTAGTCGTGTTGCTTGTTGGTGCACTTGTGCATTTGGAGTAGGAAGTAAAAGTAAAATAAGTGGAGTGTTAACTATCCTTCGTTCACACTACCATATGTACTTGACCACCACTGCAACTTGACCTGGTCAAGTTGCATCTTCATACGTCCAGCGTGCCCATCACCGTATGTCATCCCTGGTCCCACATGACGTCCGCATATCGGTACGCAGGTCCTCTTCCCCAATCCTATGTGTCGCGCCTTGTCCCATATGTCGCGCCTTGTCCCACATGTCACGTCTTGGCTCACATTTCAGCTTGACAGCTGATCAGGTGAGGTTGAACTTTACCTGTCACAGGTCCTGCAGTCTTCACCCTGAGTTTCCATGACCTGTCAGAAGCAATGTCTTCTAACACTCCTCCTTAACGTCAGTTTGAAAAGGCATCAAGTTGAACATTACTCGTAGTTCCTCCAACCTTGGGGCGGGCAACGACTTCGTGAGGATGTCCGCCATCGTGCACTCCGATTTTATGAATCTTGGTACCACAGTCCCTTCGCGCGCGTGATGACAGATAAACTTGAAAAGAATGTCCACGTGCTTCGCGCTTGATGTGCTCTTCTCTGCCTCGAGTTGCTTGATCGCCGCTTGGCTGTCCATCCACATCGACATGGGCTCGACCATCGCCATTTTTTGCTCTTTGAAGAGCTCCCTTAATCCCAGCAACTTACGACTACCCTGCGATGCTGCCACGAACTCCGCGTCCATTGTGCTGAAAGCCACTCCTGACTGCTTCTTGCATAGCCAGAACACAACAGCCCCATCCATAATTAGCACACACCCAGTCACTGACTTACGGTCGGTCTTATCCGCAGCGAAGTCCGCATCGCTCCAACATTCAACCTTGATGTCGTCCGTAGTCGGGCCGTTTCCATTGAGGTGCAACTTCAACGTCTTGGACCCCTCCAGGTAGCGTACGATCCGCTTTGCTGTTTTCCAGTCCTTGACGGTCGGTGTATGCGTTTGACGGGTGGCTTTTTGTACCGCGAAACAAATGTCGGGACGGGTGCACCTCGCAATCTAGAGCAGGCTTCCGACCAAAGATTGGAAAACACCCAGACTTGGGTCACCGCTTGCACCTCTCGCAGGTAGATGATCCGCGCCTTCTGCGTCGTCCTCGTTGCACTATCGCCGACTGGTATCCGTACATAGTTTGCTGATTCCAGCTTGAAATCGCTTACCAAAGCGTCGATCACCACTTCCTGGTATAGAACGTATCCATGTGTATCGTCCAGCGAGATTCGGAGTCCCAAAACCTTCTTCACGACTCCCAAATCCTTGATTGACAGTGTCTCCAATCCGGCGGAGAAGTCGTCCACTGCATCTTGTTTGGTGCCTGTCACCAGGAGATCATCTACATAAACTCCCACCACGGTCCCAGTATCACCTTCCCGGTTGTAATATAAACACATGTCCGTGGTGTACTGTTGTAAACCTTCTTTACTCAGCTTTGATTGTAGGAGTTTGCTCCACAGTCGTCCAGCTTGCTTCAGTCCATAGAGGTACTTCTTCAACATTAGTGCAGCTTCCTAGTCTGTATCACTCCAACACCTTCGAGCTCCTATGGGGTCACCTGCATGCCTTTTGGTATCGTCATGTTTAGGTCCAGGTGCTCCTCCTTTCCTGCCTTTACGCAGGCATTTGGCACATCGCCATGACGTGCCGTTACGTTCCATCTTCTGGAGAGCACCAAAAATCAACTTGACGGTCGCCAAATCCGTTACCGCCGCAAACGTCAGATTGTAGTCGATGCCGAAAACTTGTTCGTTTCCGCATACAACCAAACGAGCCTTGTATCGTTCGATACCACCATTCGCATCCGCCTTTGTATTGTATACCCATTTGTTGTGCAGGACGTGCGCGCCTCTTGGAGGCACGACTATTTCCCACACGTCGTTCGACTTTAATGTATCTAGCTGTTCAGTCATGGCTATAAGCCATTGATCACGATTCTTGCCATTCATCGCTTCACCATAATGCTTCGGGTCTTAATCGATGACGAAGTTCACGACATCACGGTTTTATACCGTGGCATAGTCCTTTAACTGCTTTGGGTGATCTACTCTCGTCGACGTGACGTTTCCTATTCCAGATAGCTTTTCGACCATTGCGGACCTTTTTAACACGTCTCGCACCATCTTGATCATCATCATCATCATCAACCTGATGATTACGTCGTGGCTCGTCCTGACGGTTTACTGCATCAGGATGAGTTTTCTTGTCATCTTGATTTATTATCTGGTGGTGCTTCGAGGTTTTGCACGTGTTAAATAACAATGACTACCTTGTCCACTGGGATGTACACCTTGCACCCCTTCTATTCGCTGTCTCGTCCAATGATGATGCCCGCCCTGCATCGCTCGCCGAGTAATTTGTTGCTCGGATTATTTCACGTAGTGCATGTTGAACCGAAAGCAACTGTGTCCTTCAGCACGGCAGCCTTACTCGTCAGAAACGCTACAGGTGATAATCCTTCAGGATTCGACTTGGTGCGGCCACGGATCGAAATGTACGCAGCGTACTCTGCGGCATCGCCCCAAAACGACAGTGGGATGTTTGACGCAAAGACCATGCTCCGCACCATGTTCATGATGGTGCGGTGCATCCTTTCAGCCATGGCGTTGCTCGCTTGGTTTCTCGCTTCACTCACTTGACGCAAGATGCCTTCTGTCGAGCAGAATAATTTGATGGTCTTGTGGCCTCCTCCACCGTCAGTGCGTAAGACGTGGATCTTGAACTTAAATTCACGTTCGAAGCTTGCCATGAAGAGTTTGAGCTTTAACGCAACTGCATCCTTCGTCTTGGACAAAAACACTCGACAGTAACTTGACCGATGATCAATACAGTTGACCATGTATTGGTTCCCCAATCGGTCTCGTGGGGTCATGGAGCTCTTGAGGGCCGAGAATATGACGCCCCCGACCACGTTGATTAGTGAGTTTGCGCAAGCGTCTCTCTTTGACTGGGCCGCCTTGGTTTGCTTACCCTTAACATAGGCCATGCACTTCTGTCGTTTCGTGTCAGTCAGACTTATGCACGACGCTGGGTCTTCATCCATCTTCAGGACCGTGTCGAGACAGAGGTGTCCCAGACGCCGGTGAAAATTTATTACCGGACTGAACGTCCGAACCGGATTCATCATCAGGTGTGTCCATGACCATCATTAGCGAATCTCGTGATGGTATTGAAGTACGATTACTGTGACTCATCACAGTAACAACCAGAACGTTGTTGAAGCTTTCCACGTATATGATGGGTGTGCCACCCACTCCGGAAGACAACACGCGTCTTCCTCCTCGATATTCGAGCACGCATCCCGTGGCCTCAATAAATCCAAACAAAAGGATGTTCCGCTCAAGGTTTTCAGCGTATTAAACGTTAAGGAGCCTCACTGTGTTGACGACCCCAAACGCAACGACTCGAACGCCCAAAGTGCCTCGCAGCGTGATACGTCGGGCGCTTCCATCGGTGGCTGCGGTCGTGCAATCACGTTTGTAGGAGGTTGGGTCGGTGAGTAGACTTGAGTCGATAATTAAATGTCTACTCGGCCTGCTGTCGAAAATACATTGATTCTGTTAGTCGTTTGCACCACGATCAACCATGAAGATTAAATTCGCACTCGAGGACTTCTTCCTTTCCTGAGGGCACCGCGAGCGGATATGTCCGACTTCGCCACACTTGAAACACTTCCGTGTGTCTGTTCTTGTCTGCGTCTTCCTTGGTTTTGATTTCTCCTTGAATTCCTTCACTGGTTCGACAGTATTTCACCACGTCACGCCAAAAATTTCTTGCGTGGGTGTCGACATCCGTTGACTGCGCAAATTGAGCCAATTCCTCTTCCTGACGCAGGTAGTCAAGCCAGTTGGTGTTCAACCTGGACAACATCGCTGTCCGCATATGTGGATCAGCATATCGGACGATGCTGTTCAGCACGAGGTTGTCGGCGCCTCCACAGGCGCCACTGACGGCCGTCAAGTGCAGGAAGTGGTCCGTCCAGTTTCATTGGGCTGCCTTGGGTGCCGTTAATGAATTTATGCTCTGCGCCGGTAAAATCTTCGTGGTGAAGGTCTGCAGCATTCTCTGCATTGTATGTTCTATTGTGTTGCTCTCGAGCCACCATGTTTAAACCTGCCGACGATAGTACGTATGTGTCTTTCCGGCTAGGTGCTGGCCTAGAACATAAACCTTGATGTCCTTCGGCCACGCGAAACCTCATGCACGCTCTGCAAATTCGACTTGGCGGACGAACTCCTTTTCACACTCCATGAAGACTCTACCGAGACCATGGAAGAGATCATTTCCGATGAGAAGTTGCAACGTGAGCTTCCGTTGTTGCGCATCCGGCATGTCAATTCTCGGATGACCAAGGTGATCATAACCTTGGTTGGGAACACCCATGCCGTGATGGTACCCCGCAGATATGCCTACCCCGTATTGCCTGGGGTCGGGTCCTTGATTCATGTTGACGCCCAGGTCTGCGTATCTTACAAGGGGGGGGCTTTAACACCTGCCTGATGTTGTTTTCGCCGTAAGCCAAAATAGGTTGCTGGCGACACGTTTGGCGATACCATAGGAGAGCTTCCGCCTAACGCCTCAATGTTGATCCCTGCCTCGACTTTTCTTTTCCAAATTTCGGTACGTAACTCGGGTGAGTCCTTGTTCAGCCTGCCGCCATGTTATCTCTGGGAGACCTCCATCCGATTCATCCTTTCGGTCAGGTACCCGAGCATGACCAGCATTTTCTCGATCGCCTTCGCAAGCGCTGCCGACTTTCTTATCAGGTAGTGATTGTTGGCATTTTCCTGGGCCACCTACCACTACGTCAGGTGCCGCTGGTATAGCCGCACCGCCAACACGTTTGTTTGGGCTCATAACCTGTTGTTTGTTGGTGCACTTGTGCATTTGTAGTAGGAAGTAAAAGTAAAATATATGGAGTGTTAACTATCCTTCGTTCACACTACCATATGTACTTGACCACCACTGCAACTTGACCTGGTCAAGTTGCATCTTCATACGTCCAGCGTGCCCATCACCGTATGTCATCCCTGGTCCCACATGACGTCCGCATATCGGTACGCAGGTCCTCTTCCCCAATCCTATGTGTCGCGCCTTGTCCCATATGTCGCGCCTTGTCCCACATGTCACGTCTTGGCTCACATGTCAGCTTGACAGCTGATCAGGTGAGGTTGAACTTTACCTGTCACAGGTCCTGCAGTCTTCACCCTGAGTTTCCATGACCTGTCAGAAGCAATGTCTTCTAACAGGTCAAACCAGGTGACATGTATGACCACTCTGAGGCGATCAGGCTGATGGGACATAGATAGCAGTGTAACGGGGTCACAATAGACATCGGCTAAATTGGTTGAAGGCCTCCCATACGTGATATGGGAGACAAGTGTGGTCTTCTTTTTTTTAATAGAGAATACCGATTAGTCGGTATTCTCTGAGCTACGGTTTTTACCGTGGAAGTACTTTGCATCGTCATCATTTGATGACGGAGTGATGTGCCAACCATCCACTTAGTTTGAATACTGTTATTTGTATTAGTTCTAATTTAGTATAATATAGGGTACGTAAAGAAGGAATTTCCTTGATGTAATTCTACAAAAAATCAGTTCTCAGTTTGAGCATAAGTCCGTAGACTTCCCCCCTTTTGCACGTTGCGCTTGAGAGCTCCTTAGAAGTGTCGTGTGTTAGAGAGTCCTTAGACTCCTGTATTCCCCTGTGCAAATGATGCGTGTAGTTCCTAAGAACTACAGTAGTCTGAGCTAATAGGTCATAGAGTCCGCGCTACGTTCCGTAGAACTAGCCGACCCTTTAACTTAATATAATTGGCTAACAGACAATTAGTTATGAGGTCTAGTAGCCGATTAGTTCTAAGTAACTAATATGTCATGAGGGCTAGTAGCCGATTAGTTATAAGGAACTAATATGTTATGAGGGCTAGTAGCCGAATAGTTCATTCGAACTAATCGGCTACTAGCCCTCATAACTAAATGTCTTTTAGCCGTAAGCCGCTGGTTTAACCCGTAACGTCTTCCTCTGACTTTAGAGCTGTGGTAGCTCCGCTACACTTGGTAGCACTTGTAGTCAATCTCACATCGACTGATCCCCTGTAAGATTTAAAGAGTCTTGACTACATCTCCGAGGCCCAACGTCTCGCGCTCGGTAAGCTTAGAGCATTGATTGGGTTCGAGCGCACAGAAGTGCTCAATGCACGCCTTAATGCGTTCATGCAGTTTGAGGCCACGCTGATTGGGCAGGTCCATGACCAATTAGCCTCAGCCATACCTACACGTTACATTCCAGTACCTAACAGTGAGCCAAAGGCTCGTCCTCTCGATCTTAGCACTAATTCTTTCGACGAAAAGAGGGCAGAATCTCCTTCTCTGGCAACGAGAAGTCGATATGGCTATTTATGTCGCAATGCTCCAATCTGAGCAACAGAAAGTTGGCTTAGCCGATTCGAAACTAGACGGTAGGCTTAGAGAATGGTCTCTGACGTGTGATGCGTTGGTAGACGCTGCGTAACCCTCATGGGTTTCGCTTAAACGAAAGCTGTCTCGGGTGTTTGCACCACCGAATTAAGCGTATCGTGTACACTCCCGATTTCTTGCCGCCAGGCGGGGGGAGGAAAGAATTTGTCCAGGAGTTGCAAACTCTCATAGCTACCATGCAGCTGGACCCTCTTCTACACATGGCTCTGCAGAATCTTCAGGTGGTAAGGATAGACAAAGCTTATTTTTAGACGGACTCGTGGAGGTCGCCACGTGGCGTAAGTATAAGCCAGGCCTGTAAATTGCCTCGGCTACGATTAAGGGCTTTGAAGAGACGTGGTCAATTTTGATTGACTCTGGGGCGTCGGGCAACTATGTTCGGCGTCTATCCCTTGAGATATGTCAGCTGTATGTTGAAGCGCTCGAAGCGCATGAGGGTGATGTCTTCACTGTTCGTTTGGCTACAGGGACCCGTGTGACCTTACCCAAAGTTCCATTGAGCTTAGGCGTAAATCTTTTCGACTTCGATAGTATCGAACGTTGTCTTTTCCTTTATTGAACTCTAGATATGATCTCATCCTTGGTATGGTTTCGGTAAAACGCCTTGAACCATGGATTGATGGGAGGTCAAAGACCTTAGGCGCAACGCGCAATGTTCCTAGAGAGGCTTTGAAGTGTCATGATCCCACCATGGCTAGGCAGCAAAATGAGCTATTGGCGCGAGCCGCGAACTAAGTCTGTAAGTGTGCTGGACATCAGAGTGTATGAGTTAATCAACTCCGACATAACTAACAATAATGAAACGGCACGTACTCCGTTGAGTGACACAGGTAATAGTGAATCAATGAATGATAGTAGCATTTATGCTTTCGAGTCATCCTGAATGCGATCCCTAGGATGCATGTGCAGTAACACGTACTACACTGAGTGAGTTCGGCCGTGTTAGCGCCCCACTAAATGTGGGCGATGATATTGTTGGCAAAATGCCAAGGCATCCAGGGCTAGCCCCGAAAGGTGCATGTGCAGTGGCACGAACTCCACTGAGTGAGGTCGGCCGTGATGGCACCCCACTAGATGTCGGCAATGATATCGGTGGTGATTCATCGAGGCATCGAGAGCCAGGCTCATTTGATGCGAATATCGTGGAAAATAGTCCACTGAGTGAGGTCGGCCATGATGGCATCACACTGAATGGCGGTAATGATATTGGCTCTCAGAGAGAGCATGTTTAGGTTGGAGATGATCTCATCCCCGTGTAACCGGATGTTTCTAACACGTTAGAGTGTTCAGACTCTGTACAGAGACGGCAGTGACGCCAGATGGCTGCTACAAAAACAAAATACATCTGATATGTCCCAAAAGAACGCCAGTGAACAGTTGTACACGTTGGTCAATGGGGTTACATGCAATTTTGATGTAGGAGTTGGCCTAGAGTTCCTCCCATTGCTTAACGATCTATTAGATCTAGACAAATGTCTGTAGATGAATTTCATCAGGCCTTAAGGTCTGGCGCTTTGTCTGATATGGTGGTCCTTAGACCTGACCTGGAGTTGAACTCGTC